AATTCACCTCACTTTGACCTTCCAGTAGCCCTGGAAGGAAAGGTCATGCGACTTTGACTTTAAAATCTAAAATGTTTATCAAGGTATTGTCCATTAGTTAAGTTACAAGTTCATACCATATACTGTTTAGGAGAAAACCCACGGAGAAGTATTGTCCGGAAAAGAAAAGAAAAGAAAGAAAGACCCAAACAAAGAAGATTTATGAGAACAATTCTAGACAGTGGTCGGGTTGTGCCCGACCACTCAATGAAATTGCGATTCTTAATTGAAAAAAACTTGGGTGCTATCATGGATGGATGAAGGAAAACAGACCCTTCTCCATAGTGCCACCCAAGCCTTATGACATGTATGAGAATACAAGAAGAGACATGGATGTACATTATTGAAGACAGCTATTTTTGTGCATCACAATGTTCAAGGTTTCATGTTCTTTCAACCCTATTTGCACACGGAAACACTACACTAGCATGTGAAACAAGGGGAATATTGATACGTTTCTCATGAAAACCTCATGGCAATAAACAAACCAAGCCTTGTATTTCTAACCTAATCTGTGTTAATAACCAGAGGAGGATTGTAGGTGTATGGTGAGACTGATATATGAGTGGTGCTGTAACTGACACACAATCCCTCATTTAAATTAGTAGGTAGCTTTGGCACCATACCAGATACTGTACAGGTACATGTACACTGCGCCTTGCTCTATGCTTCATCCATCAGAGTTCACTTTCAGCAAGAAACTATCCGCAGCACTTACATGTATTCCTCCATGATGTACCATAGAGCAATAATGAGCAATGACATTTTGTTAGTGTTTATTAAATCTGAGACAGTGACTAATTGCATTCAAAATTAACTTATTATACACATGTACAGTGTATGTGGTTGGTTGTTTGTGGGCTATGTTTGTTTATTGCACAAAAAATCCAATAATTCATGCATTTATAAAACTACAGCTGTTTTATCCTGATGACGAATTTAATTTACATGTTTTACCCTTTTTTTATCAAGTTTATCAACATACATCTGTACATGTCCAAGTTCATCAGGGTAAAAAAAAGTCAAAATTTTCAACAAATAATTAACTTAAGTGTCAGTGCTGCATGTACACTGTACATGTATTGACTATGCGTGAAGTTATTGGCATTGTGATTTTTCGAAACAGCCATGAGGCACCTGGATAATATTTACTAGATTTTGGGAGTTTGCATTTTAAGGTAGCCGGTAGATTGCCATTCAAGTACATGTATGTACGGTACTTGTATCAGCTCTTAATTTGAGTGGTCTGGGAGATGTACCATGTACATACCACATGTATGTACATGTATTGTACACATGTACGTGTACATGTACATGTACATGTTCGCTGTACAATGTACCGGTAGGTTCGACGGTTTTTGGTTCTCATTTGTAAGAAATAGTTTTTGCATCACTTATCAGCAGGTTCAGATTTGACATACCGGTACATGTACCGGTACATGGGTGTTATTCAGTTTTCTGTACACCAAATACCGTATACAGTTGAGGCTATCCGTTATACAGACATCGTACATGCAAAAGTATGATCATTAGCATTAGAAAAGGCATTATGCTGACATGGTGTATGACGATGGTGTGACTCATCCATTCTAATATGTCCAAGCAAACAGTACATACATGTACATGTACGTCAATCCATGCATTGTAGGTCATGGCCAGTGTTAAATCAATGCTGAAGGCTGGACAAGTCAAGAATAACAAAAAAATGCAGTTCTTTGTCTCAATGGAGCATGCCTTGTAAAGCTGAAAAAGAAATGTTACACCAAACTCAAGCAGTGGCATAGGATATAAACAAATCACTGACTTGATGTGGGGCTTGCCTGTACATTACTACATGTACATGTACATAAAACAGGAATAGAAAAAAAACCAGCGTTTGATGGTCAGTATTTTTCAACCAAAAACAGTCAAAATAATTCATTGCAATTATCTGTGTTCATTTTGCAGCCTAAAATTGTGTTGCCTTTAAAATAAGAGTTTTTGCTTTGTTGTTTTCCCCAGTGTTTTATTGTTAATGTTATTGGCACAATATTCATTTACATTTGTTGTACATGATGCACATTATTTTGTTCGAATTTACACTGTTGTCAATGCACATGTATGTTGTAATGCCTGGCATCTCCAATATGTAGCCTGAACCCAACTGAAATGGTCTCTCTCAAAGATGGCCATCTCTGTAGGAGAACTGCAACTGGGCAGTTCCACTGTCATTCACGTTACATAAATGTACATACCATGAGGCTACTTTGACCTCTCACTGCTTCATAAGTATTTGATCAAGCTGAATCAAACCAGCCATGCAACAACCTTGGGGTAAGGGGTACTCAGAAATGGGGGAAAAAATTCAATCCATTCATTCACTTTTTGAAAACATGTGTTTATTGGTCGTCACTCACGTTACAACTTACAAAAAAGACATGGATTGTCCTGCAATTTTGTTGTTAAAGTCTCCTCTAACTGCATTCTGCACCACAGAAGAAACTTCTTCTTTTTTACCTTTCACTCAACCCATAGCTGTATAGAAACCCTTTTTGAATCAAATAAGTGTGTATTTTAGATGCAAGGGACATTAGATTACAGGTGGATACCGTCACTCACGTTACTTCCTCTTCATGGTTTCTAACACAGCATAAAATCTGAGTTTGACGAACTGCAACATAATGAAACTCTTTTCTCATAATATATGAATCTTTCTCTCTGCCTTAAAAAACAAAAACTCTCAAGACAGTCACATTTTGCATGTGAAAAGAAGGTGCCAAAATGACTACCAAAGTCCATGATTTTAGCCCCCAAAAAGATTTTTGACCCAAAATCACACTTACATGTAACTACCAGTACATTCCATTTCATTGGCACACCACTCAAATGAAAGATCTTGTTGTCCCCTTTAATTTGACACCTCTTTGATGTTGTGATGCTTGTATTTTGGAAGATTTGTTCTACATACCAAACATGTATCAAAATACCAATTCTAGAAATGAATCTGTATTCGCTTTGTTCCATCATGCAGTGAATCCTGCATGCGACCGGCCAGGGGCTTGAATACACTTACCATGTAGTAGCACCTTCAATGATGGCCCTATATTTCCCCCACAAAAACAATCTATTTTGTAAAAACGCTTATGTAACATTTTGTTATTAGTCCTTGAGTTGAAAGGGTCATCAAAGGTCTCATTTTTACTCCGTAGTCATTTAAAGGAAATCCGTCAGTACAACATACAGTAAACTCCGGCTAACCGACATCGTATAAACCGTCATATCGCTTAAATCGGCCGTCTGACGAAAGTCCCGATTGTCTCTAATGCATTTCCATTGACATTTTCATTTCTAAGACGGCCTTTGTAAGCCGCCATTTCGCCTATGTTGGCGTGTTACTTTCAGTCCCATTTCCTCAAAACCACAAAAAATCCTCTGTATCAGTCGGCATCATGCTCTGCGGTTTGCAAGAAGTGTCGAGTGAAAAGTCCCACAAACTGCTAACTGACATCTGTTTATCAATGGCACAGCCCGTGATTGATGCATCGGCCAGCACGTGTACACTAATCGCATGTGTACACTGTTTCATGCACAGTCTGTACATTGTGTACATTGTTCGCTTGTAAACACGTGCGCGATAAAAAAGGGGTTTTCCCGATAGCACATCAGTACCAGTACCCCCTCTCGACTGCACGCATGCACTCTGTTCATTTTGGGGGTCCCCTTATTGTTCCAGTACCATGCACACATGTACGTGCACAATGTACACTACATGTACATGGACGTTCAGTATGCAAGTGATCTGTATATCATACCACTGTTAACGCTAGTCGGCCACGCCGTCCTTGCTTCGTATACGTACGTACGTACATGTACATGCATGACTTTCTGTGATCAATACCACAGCCTGTTTGTGATGATAAACATTGAGGATATATTTGCTGGAATCAACCAATTGGATGTAGAAATAAACCAGGGTAAATCAAAGCCTTTGAATTTTAGCCATGAATCTTGTTTGCATGATCCAGATACAGATGCGCATAGGCCATTAATTCAATCTATTTTTTCACTCCGTGATTCAATTTGTGTATTTGTGTAAGTCGGCAAAATGACAACTTGCAGCAGAAGCCGACATTCGCGTAAGTCGTCACAAATTCTCTGGTTCCGAGAGTGCCGTCTTAGCCGGAGTTTACTGTAACTGTCTTTGGAACTTGACAGAAGTCAAAGTGGTTTATCTCAAAGCATACATGTATTTTCGCTGTAGTAGCGCAGTCGGGTGCAATTGTGTTCCGCTTCCATAGCACAGCATGAAACAAGTTTAGCCAGGCTTATGTCCCCATTCTTTGCTTTACTACTGCAAGGTAACCATGTACATATAATTGTGGACAAGGTTATTTTGTATGGACTTAGGTCACGATGAAATAACCTTCCATGAGCGTGGTTCAATATTTTGTGACTCGTCAAAAAGTTTCCATTATTTTAGAATTATGTACTTTGCAGATTGATTTTAAAACTTGGCGGCGATTTTCTAAGCTGTGTGGTAGTCACGCATAGCTTACCGGTAGCAGCCGGCCAGGCTTGTTATACATATACAGGTTACAGAACACTAAACTGCTGACAGATGCTATGGTTTTCCATTTTGCCAGATTTTTACCAAGTACATGTACATGCAGCAGTGTCCTGCTGAAATAACATGCACATGTACAGACATGAGAATCACAGTCAAAGTTTGGTGTATACAATTTGTAATAGTACCCTGTAAATTGGACACTTTTTAAGTATTAATTGAAAGGAAACCCCAGAAGGTTTTTGCGATTGAGCCTAGGATTCATTGGCATCAACTGGCACAATGAATATGGGGAAGAGTTGTTCTGTACAAGTACACGTTAAACCATGTTAACTGTAGAAGTGGCATCAACGATTACCGATTCTTAATTACATGTATTTTATAATACCTGTAACTGTTATGTTCCATCTACATGTAGCTTACATCCAAGATGCCAACCCATCCTTCATGTGCTTGGCCAAGAATGTCAGTGATATCTCAGGTCGTGTGTACTCTCATCTGGATGTAGAGAGAGCACCCTATGCCCCCAACATGGACTGCCTGTTCACCATCAATACGCAGCCAGGACGACGAATCAACCTACGCTTTGATTTCTTTGACCTGGCACCTGGATTTGATCGGGCCAGTAATAGGTGCCGATCTGATGCAGACAGGTGAGCTTGAGTTTGGATCTTTTTGTCCAGTTGTCTCTGCTACATTCATGTAGATTTTGTAGGACAGATGACTTAACTCTAAATGTAACTCCCTACACATTTTGCAAGGAACCTTCCACAGTCTTCCATTGTGCAGGAAACCAATGGCGCATTTTTTTGTTCATGTACTTCCTACATGTAATCCAATGTTTGAAAATAGTGACTTGACTGTGAATTGCACAACATGTTTGCTATTTCCTGGGCTATACATAAGACAACATACAGGTTTAAGTCTTCTGAGTGGCGCCTCTTGACAAAGGCATTGGCAAATTTGGAAACTGCAAACATACGGCTGGATAGCTCAGTTGGTGGAGCACTGGAATGGCAATCTGGAGATCTCAGGTTCAAACCCCACTCCAGTCAGTATCTTTGTTCAACTTTAAAAACTATTATAATGCACCTAGTCAGTTTCCCTTCGTGGTTTATTTGAACATTTGTAATAAAAATCCCCATTTGCTATTTCCCATTTTTTCAGCATTGGTAATGTTGCTAGCATCATGATTTTGGGCATGATGCCTGGTTACATCAATATATGGATTATGGCTTCTGATAAGCTCCCCTTGAACAAAAACATTGACAAATTGGGGGCACTGCCAACATAGGGCTGGATAGCTCAGATGCTAGAGCACTGGAAGGGCAATGCAAGGATTCAGGTTCAAACCCTGCTCTAGTCAATTTTTTGTTCAACTTTGAAAATTAGTATAATGCACCTTGTCAGTTTCCCTTTGTGGTTTATTTGAAAACAAAATAACTGGTTATATCCTGGGTCATTTCACAGTTCTTCATATAACTAACATGTAGTGTGATTCAAGATAGTTTCTCATTTATTTAACCAGGGGTTGAAGAAGTTAAAACTATTAAAGGGGCTCAACAGTATCCTTACACAGAAAAGGCACAAGAGAAGTGTGTAGAGTCTGAGTATTAGTTCAAAATTGACATGTTTAGTAGAGCTGTTTCTTTCCTTATCACCACACCAAACTATTTGCTTAGTCTAATGATGTGTTGCCCCTGGCTGTGGCTTGGGCTGATGAAAGACTCTTCACAGCCATAGACACAAACTAACCTAATGAGGAATAGCTAAACACCATGTTGTGTATTGCTTTAGATCAAGATAAATGATTGATTCAGAACATGTGCACATTCTACATACACTGTGTAATCCTCTGACTAATCATATGTCCCATCTCGTACAGGTTCATGGTTTACGAATCTGACAAGGACTTTGTCATCAAGAATGACATTCTCCAGCCGGAGGTGACATACTGTGGTGGAACAGGCAAGTTCCCCAAGGATTACCAATCCTATGGCAACATTGTGACCATCCGCTTTCTGACAGATGGGCTGAGCTCCCCGGATGCGGGCGTCAAGTTGGTTTACACATCCTACAAGCCTCCACAAGGTAGGAAAGTCATACAGGAGTCAAGCCTGAGTTGCATGGTGGAACACTAAACTTGGGAGAAGTTTGTAGTTACACCATGCAAGTCAATACCGCTCTTGTTGTCATTTCATATGGTGTATCCCCAAACTCCTCTCAAGCTTGGAAAGCTTTAAAAGGGGACGCCATGGATTTCTGTAAGTTTTACACTCTGGTAAATTAAAAGTGACTACAGAGAAATGAACCTGAAATTAATGAGTAGAACAACCCTTTGGATTTAATCTTTCACATTCTAAGTAGATACGCCAGAAATGCAATCTACCAATAGAGCCAAAGGATTTTCATTTTATGAAAAACTGCAATTGATCAACAATTTTTTTTCGCATTTAGGCAAGCTAAGGCGTGATGGTGATTGACCATATTTTGGGCTTCTTTTAACAAATCAATTATTGCACATGTATTGATCCTTTGATTTCACTTATACGTGTATATAATCTTTAGAGGCTAGTGGTGGTTTATGGTAGGATTTGAACTCAAAACTCTCAGATCAGGAGTTAGGAGCACTAGCCAGCCCACTGTACTATAAATGTACTAGGCACTGCATGTTCATTACCATATACTGCTCAACATCTTGCCAGGTTAGGGGGTAGACAGTAAAACCTCATCCTCTGAATTCTTATTGTCATCATTTCATGTTGCCATAGAGGGATCTGATGACTGTTTCCGATGTGTGGACGACAGCATGTGTATTGATGAAGAGCTGACTTGTAACGGCGTGCCCAATTGCAACGATGACTCGGATGAAGCCGATGCATTGTGCCGTGAGGGTGAGTCTCAGTAAATAGAAACAAGTCTTGTCAATACTCTTTAGTATTGGTATTGTCTTGATTGTTTATGGTGCCATCTGGCATGTCATGGTATACCCACCTGATGTTGCTGGATATGCATTTCCTGTACAGAGCAAAATGGTATGTTTTGATTTTTGTCATTTAATTTGTACATTTTTTGATTGGAATTGTTGATATAGGTGTCATTTGAGTGTATGTGTAATTTAAACACTTCAGATGATGAAGATGTACCTTTCAGTTGTGAAATGTTTTGCAGGATTTGAACCCTTCACTTTCTGCTTACTTGAGTGCAGATAACTCAAGTCTTTAACCACTAAAGAAGTGAATTTGTAGTATAAGCGTAATGCTCAGATAACTGCTTCAAGTCTGATGATAGCCAGAGCTGCAATATTCCATTTGTCTACATTACTTCAGTGAAGGGTAAACCCTTGCTTGCGGATAATGCCATACTGGAAAAAAATTCATCAAGTGAAACATGTGTTGTTTTGTGCATGGTGATATAAAATGTGTTACTCTTAAAAATGTGATTGCCAACGTGGTTTTATTATATTCAGAACTGAGTAACTTCTTGGAGATCATAATTGAGAAGCTTGGTGTTGGTGTGGTGGCTACCATCGGCGCTGCAATTGGCCTTCTCATTCTCATCATCTTCATCACCTGCATTGTCTGCTGCTGCTGCTGCAAGAAGGGTGGGGAAGATGACCAGAAGCAGTACCGCACACCCCCCACCCCCCGGCCAGGATCCTACCCCTCCCACAACTCCAATTACTCCTCCTATTCCTCCTCTGCCTCTACCACCAACGGTGGTATGCATCCGATGCCTGGTCTGCACAGCAGGATGTATGAGGGTCTCCATGGGATGAATGGAGGTGGGAGTATCAATGGAAGTATCAATGGCATGAATGGAGTAGGTTCCCTGCCTGACCATCATCGCCACCACCACCACCATGGCCCACCCCAGCCCTGCCACCCCTACCCCCACCAGCATAGCATGAATGGGCTTAACAGGACCCCCTACCCCAACTACCCACCCACCTACCCATCCCTGCCCAGTGGTGGCTCACTGCAGAATGGTGGCTACAGCGTAGCATACAATCACGACAATGGACGCATGGAGTTCCCCCACAAAGTCTAAATAAAAGCCAGACCATTTGAATTTATTTACCGTATAAATTATTAAAGGGATCAAGTGTGTACACCACGACAAGAAAACTTCACAGGGTATTTATTGAATGTAAAATTATTAGTGCTTGGGATTTGTAAGCAAACGCCTAGGTATTTAGCGAAATGCCATCTGATAGGCCAATGCAAGTAATGTAGTCTTAAGAATTTCTTGTTGTGGTCCTTCCCATGGCAAGCAGCTGACCCATATACTGTGGTTAATAACCTGTGATACTCAGCGGTGTTTCCAGCTTTTTATGCCAGGGAGGAGGGGGAAAAATTAAGACTGTACTGTATCGACATCTGAACCATCTTAAAACCATCTTTGTAGAATACTGTTGTTTTCTGTTTTATGACTTCATCAAAATGGGCAAGTCCCCCCCCCCCCCCCTCCCTCAAGACTGGATACGCCACTGTTGGTAATTCTGTGGTAACTACTTCAGTGGTTTACAAGCATTTTTCAAGGAACTCCTCATTCTGCCCCTGTTTTATTTGTTGTCATAATTTACCTTGTTTGGTTGTCTTTACAAGCAAAGTGGCCCTTATGTGGTCTGGAAAGGTACTGCCCATAATTGGACCTGTGGCCAAAAATATAAAGTGACTGGATAAGATTGGTACATGTACATGTCATCCCTGTGCATATGGTGATTGGCCATGCTGGACAGGTTCTGTGTTATCCATGAGTACTAGACTCTGCCTAGTGATTCAAGTAGACCAGTGCCCCTGATTTGTGTCCATGTTCTATGGCCATGTATGGTTGATGGCCCAAGTCGAAAGTTGATGCACAATCCAGGATTGTATAAAATATCAAACATTAGACTGTTGTCACAGTGAACAGTGTTAGTAGCGTACTAGTGGCTGGAATTTGTATGTTCTACATATGTGCAGATCTGAATATGATCATTCCCGTCACAAAGGTACTGTGGACATAGCACTTAGCAGTAGGTAGGAAGTAAAAAGAACCTTTTCAAACCAAATTTTACCTCTTAAGAACAAACACCTTTCTTTTTTTTTTACTGACATGTTTGTTTTAATTTTCCAATTTGAGTGAGAATAATGACTCGGTGTTTATCACTTATCTGAAATAGATTTTGTTTAAAAGTTTCGATTGGGTAAAGTACTTATAAAATAGCACATTCATCCTTCTAATAATTAAATAAAATGTTGATACAACATAACCATAGATTTATATCCCCTCTTTATTTTTTTGCCAATCAATCTGCAATCTTGGTCTGCCCTAAATTTGGAACAATTTGAACATTTTTAAACATATTTTTCCCATGTTGGTACGGGTACAGTAATTATATATCCATGCTTAATTCTTACTGATGATTAAAAAAAAGTATTGATTTATTGAAGTGTTTTAATCTCATAGAAATTGAAATTACTCTTTCCTGTAGTCCTAGCATACTTTTGTGATTTTAATACATCCACTGGATGCATTTCTAATCAGAACTATTATCTAACTACAGTAGATATTACTGGCTGTTTATTTGTGCGCTTTTCTTAATAATTATTTATTATGCAAGTTCATAATTTGGAGTGGATCATTCAATTATTTATGAAAGCAAACATGACCTCATGACATCTGTTTACATCAATGTAATTTAGAGATGTTTCAAATATGATTCTGAAGTTGCATTTTGTGACCACCATCTGGTTTTTTTGAATTCATTTTTATTTTGCTGTAGAAGTACTACTTATCTCCTCAATTTGGACGCCCAAAACTCCAGCCATGCATTTTGTAGTATGTATTAACTAAGGGCCAGGGGTTTTTTTTTGGCAAATATACTTTGTATAGATTTACGATGCTGAATTTCAGTGATGAAAAAAAGTGTATTCAATGATTATATTTGGAAGCTCGTATTTATGGGTCCAGAGATCTTGTTTCATTGTGGTTACATGTATGTCATCCGGGAAAAAAATATATATTTCACTTGATGTGTTTCTTTGAAGCTCATGTTGGACGTTATGGGAATTAACCTTTCAGGTTTAAGCAGTCAGACCGATTGAGATAGTTTACTTGCATGTAACACCGATATAAGCACGTTTTGTTCAGTATTTGAATACATTTTTAAATAGAAAGTAAATTCTTTTGTACAATACGATGAACTAATTCAATATGAAATAATTGTAGCTTACTGCTTTTCATTACAAACCTGATCACGTGTATGTGTGTGTACTTGTTAGGTAGGAAATGCATGCTTATAGAATTTTTATAAATTGAAGAATCTTTATGATTCGTAGTTCAAGATCATGGACAAAAATGTCCTGTATGTTTAGTCAGCAATTACAAAGCATAGTCTAAGCTCACAAATTAGTAAAGCAGTTTTAATGCTCATTACTTTTGTATTCATTTGTATTTTATTGTAAATTAATGTAACCCCATTTTAAAAGTAACCTTTGTGTTTTTATAGCCTGCGTTGTATTCATGTCTTCTGTAAGACAAAATCATGTGTAAAAGTTAAGTTTAAAAGTACTTGAATACCTGATATAAAAGTAGGTATATACTCTGTGTGATAAAGTGTTAGAAGCGTCAATAAACTAGTAGACTATATCAAAGGATATAATAGTAAAATGTTAGTATTAATCAGTGATTTGTTGAGAGTATGTTTTGAATCCGTGAGTTTGGAAAAGGGCTCTTTCAAGATCTTTGATTTCCTTTCAATACTGTACATGTGAACATCGAATTGTGAAAGTGCAATTCAAGTTTGTATCAAACCTAATCCTGACGGTTCATGTCTGCCATGGAATCTCGATATGAAAGCTCGGTCTTTTAATCTCACATCAGACATGATTCCAAACCAATAATGAAGGATAACATTGTAAATATGTGTAGAATGTTTTCAAGGCGACAGTATTGAAATAATGTGTGTGAAGATTTCTCGCTACTTTGTCGAGCAAACCACTGTAAAGACGTGACGTCTTCTCTACAATGAGGTGAAATAGGTAATCCTGCTTAAACCAATTGCACTAAAGTGTGGATCTTGTTAAACTCTGAACCCTTGGCAGCCGTTTCAGAAGGCTTCTCATTTTGCCGTTCACTCAGTGGGATTCATCAGGTTTTCAAGAAAGCCAAAGTGAATACAATGTAATTACATTAAGATTGGATGCCGAATTGTGGTCCGATGCTTTGTAACCTGGCAACCACATTACAATTGCCCCCATCGTAGCATTAGGACAAGATGGTAAATTTTCTGCGTTTTTGAACAGCTTCACAATCGAATTGTTGCAAGAACATATGGACTTCTTCCATGCTTTGTGGAAATTATGTGTTAAGCAAAAATCAGCAGAGAACTGGTCACATGCCATAACTATGTAGATTGCACGACAGTTTGCTGGTAACCGTTTGCTTGTTAGATAAATGTTTCGTCACTTTGGTGCGCGCGAATTGTAAACGAGGCATTTTACATTCGCGTGTATAGTTGTAGTAGAAAGGCACTGTTGTTAAAGCTACGTACGCATTTTGAGTGTTTTCGCTGTGTATGCAAAATGAAACAAAACTGCTTTGAGTGTGGTTCATAAAGATTTGCGGCTCAGCTCAAACAGTTATGACTGTTAGCAGTGTCTATGCAGGAATACACGACACGATACAGAGCGGCGTGTGCAATGTCAACGCACAACTACATTAAAATGATAGGCTAGGCCTATATTGTTTTTATCTCAAATTTATTTTAAGGATGTCAATGTAAAGTGTACGTAGTTTCAGCGTAACGTACGTAATTGCAAATTAACTGCTGTATAAAAAATGGCGTTTTGTGCAGTAATGGTGATATGCACAAATAAAAGTGTCAACAAACGAAATATCTTTGATGTGATTTGTAAAATGGTTTTGCGTTAAAAGTTCATATGCCCGAGTTCGTGCTCGAAGTCGAAGTAAGACCATGGTCGACACCACATAACTGTTTTTGGTCTCTATTGTTCTCTTTATCCTTCTCAAGTTTTTGGTTTTTGGTCGAAGTAAGACCAAAAATCGGGGGTGGGAATCATCCCCTCATATTTTGTGGCGAGAAACAAAAAATGCCGACTTTTTAGGTAAGACCCACTCCACTGAAAAATCGGAGAGGCTTCAATGGACATAATTCAGGCATGCAACTTTTCCTCTGATCAGCTGATTTCCTCTTTTTTTACTTCCAATGTGTGCCATTGAAAATAGAAAAACACTGTACAAAGTCTGGGAAAAATTTGAATTTCCTCTCTATTGTGATTTCCCAGTTGCATGCCTGATAATTATCGTCCCCGGGCTCCCTCCCGCATATAAAGTAGTCTCTGCATGGACGTTAATCCAGGGGGTGTGGAGGATATTCCCCACATTTTCACTAGGGTGGGAATCATCCCCTCGTATTTTGTGACGAGAAACAAAAAATGCCGATTTTTAGGTTGTCTTGTAACTTGCTAACGTACGGAGAATGGAGAACGGTATACTTTCGATGCATTTATTTAATGCATTTTTACGTAAGCGTGCACGTTTGCATTAGCATACATGTAAACTTCGTATCATGAACAGCGCACCTTAATGTGACGTGGTGTCCAGAACCCCCCCCCCCTTCCCCTTATGGTCATCCCCCCGACACGTGCACAAATATTCCCCACACGCAGACACACTCATCTGCCACTGAAACTCTTCTTTAATACACAAGTTAGTATTTCAATTGATGTTCATTGATGTTCATTTTGTATGAAGAAGATCCAATCAACACCCAGAAATAAAAATAAAAACTTGAGAAGGATAAAGAGAACAATAGAGACCAAAAAACAGTTATGAGGTGTCGACCAAGCATTCAAGTCGGATACCCGACTTCCAATCTAGGACTCTTCTGGGTTCTCGGCTTTCCCGACCCACACCTCCTTCCCTGTACATCCATATAACGCTATGGGCCAAGCACCATCATAAATTGGAGGAAACGAGGCAGCACCCTATAAAAAGGTTTTTTCTCTCCGGACACTTGGCCTCCGTAAAATCAAAAAGCGGGGGGGGGGGGGTGTCAAAACCGACAATTATGCACACAAAGGGCCAATATATGGTGCTTTTCAGGGCGATACATGTGCGAAATTCTGAAAAAGGCACCCAAAACGGCAGATGCCACAAAAAAGGGCACCACTTCTTTTTTGAAAAGGGCACTTGTTCAGAAAAAAAGGGCACTTCGTAAAAAAAAAGGGCACTCTTTACAAATTAATGGGGGGGGGGGGGGTGAGCCCGTTGAAAAAAGGGCATTTGAATGGGAAAAGGCAGTTTTTACAAAATATTGGGGGGGGGTTTAAATACCGCCCTATGTGTCTGCTTTTTGCGCCTGAACTGACCCGCTTCGCGCAAAAAATGTCGGCTTTCAGTAACTGAATCATGCCGTGTGGCACTCACAACGTGACCAACGGGCCTACATGTTATAGACCGATCGAGACAAACCGCAAACCATTAGTCGCACCGCGCGCAGTGACTGCACTAAATATAGTGCACCATGTGAATTTACATTCTGTTTCGGTTCATTTCGGTTTATTTCGGTTTATTTGGGGTTTTACAAAATGGTTTAGTAATCGACCCGACCCGACCCGAAAATCGAAAACGCAAAACCGAAACCGACCCGATCCAACTAAAATGATGGACAATCCGACCCGACCCGAGTCGGTATTGGGTCGGGTTTGCACAACATTAATCTCTATTTTATAAGGTGCGTTCGTTTAGCTCACCCGGGTCGACACGGGCGGGCCCCGTGGCGTTCGATTAGCACACTGACGTCATTCTCGGGGCTCAGCCGGGTCAGCCACCACAAACCCTGCTCGTGTACCAGAGTCACTGGTGGAAGTACGTCACGCATGCGTTGTTCATTCCCTAGCAACGGACCAATATGGCGGCCAGACAAGTGGACTTAATAGTTGACTTTATTTGAAAATTAAAGGTAATCATTTATTGAGTTCATTGCGACTTTTGAGGCTATAATTTCAGCCCAACTTTTTTTGAGTTTTACAATTGACTAAAAAGCAGTAAATCTCAAACTAAAACCCAATCCGAAACGGGTGTTTTGTCAGTGGCTGCGGCCACGGCTAAGGGCGTCACGTGAGATCGTGATGGCCCGCGGTTGAGCGTTCGATTACTAGCCTATTGTCTGCACAGATTACCTCACGTTTAGCCAGCATAGCTTTTTCATAAATATCATAAAGTTCTTTAACATTGAGGCCAATTATGTTTAATTGCAATTCTAGTAATTCTCTGAAGTTTCTTCAGATTTTTTGTTAAATTACTGTACCATAATACATGAAAATGTAACAACTGACTGAATGACACTTTGATAAAACAAAACCATGATATCCCGGTCGACACTGAATGATCTGAGCTTAGGCTACGTAAAAAGTGAAGTCGTTGGTACACATTAGTTTGATGAGTGTTTGTGTTCCAAGTCAATTTGTTGTCGATAACAGTGCCAAGGTACTTGTATTCAGTGACCCAATCTCTACATCCTCGTTTTTTATCTTCAAGGGTAAAATTGCATTTTGTTTTCCGGAAGTCCAAGATTATCTCTTTGGTTTTACGAACATTAAGCATAAAATGATTGTCATCACACCACTGAACAAAACGAGTGACTTCATCCCTATTTGCACTCTCATCATCATTCAATATCAATCCTGTCAGTGAAGTGTCATCAGCATACTTGACAATGGAGCAGGAGCTATTACTAAGTTACATCTAAGATCCAAGGGCGGATCCAGAACACTATTTTTGGGTGGGCCAAAAAAAACATTTGGTCCCCCAAAAAGTGGGTCCAAAAATTACGGCGTGGATTTTTGGATTGTAGATGCTCTGTGATGCGATCTGAGGCAATTAAACCACTTTGACCTATTTTTTTTAAGGAAAAAATGAAGGTGTACACAGTGCCTGCCTTTATTGCGACGTCATTTAAAAAAAACAATGGAAATTTTTTTGGGAGGGTGGCCCCCGTTGCCCCCCCCCCTGGTTCCGCCCTTGCTAAGATCACTGGTATAAAGTGTAAATAATAATGGTGATAAAACACAGCCCTGTGGAGCTCCAGTATCACAACGAACCATGTCTGAGTGCGACAGGCCGATAATCATTCAAACAATCTGGTTTGAATACCTTTGGCACTGGAGTTAAAAAACGAATTGAAGCTTTCCAAATCTCTGAAAATTCAATTACCTTTGTGCTCTAGTTTGGCTACTTTGGTGATACATTGTATTGTAAATAAAATCTGGAAATGGCATCTGGAAAAGAATTGATTTTAAAGAACTCCGACTAATTAATATTTTGTTATCAAGCTCTGTGGTCACGCTGGGAATAACCTCAAACGACTTGTATGAATGTTTCAAACAAAGTGGGTGACGAGGCTGATTTTCTCCCGACAACTGAGCACCAAACAACCCCGGGCTTGGATTGACCATAGCTTTATTCACAATAAATGAATGAAAATGGTCACAACATGGTCAACAAAAAGTCCGACAAATATGAAATCCTGCCCTTGCCATTGATTGCACGTTTGTACAACTATATAAAGCCACGACAACACTGTGCACATGCTATTCGCCTGTAGAGGTGCACACCTGCATTAAAATTCCCACAGACACTAGTGCTAAATGCCCATACTTCAAAATTCTTTTGAAAATACTCAGACCTCTCACAGGTATTTAAGCTGCACAGAAAAATGATGATCAACATGTCATCTTTCATTTTCTTTTCATTTTGTGGTGTGTTGACCATTGACTTTTCAAGAAATTCTCGCCCAAAGAAGACGACCCCTATTTTCCCCAAAGCGGAACGGTAGCCATCTTGAAAAACGATCCCTCCACAACATGGCAAAATAGCGCCACTTTCGAGCCCATTATTTTGTATCCAAAATGCTCAGAATTGGAAGCCCCAAGTCCGGGCCAGAGGTTCATTGCCATATCTCTTCAATTTCCCAATGTTATGGCTCTCAGAACTCTCTAATATAGAATATTTTGAGGGTATAACTTTTATTCATGAGCTCAGCGGATGAATTCAGGCCTATTTACCGGTGTGCACCCGAAGAAGTTATGAATTTTGCCCGCACTGTTCCTTGCATTTGCCTCACTACACATTCACTGACAAACGGAACAAGCAAAGTATCATACAAAAATAGTTTCCACTCTCATGAAGGCCTCCGATTTAATCTCACCCTGGCGGAGAATTCAGGAGGAATTTCTACCAACGGTTAATTTGAGCATATACGCGTCCATTCTTCGCAGTAGTTAGATCTACGTTCAATGGTTGTTGGACCAATTATATCTTAATACACAGTGGGGTAAAGTATTGGGGGACATTGCCGTTGGTGCAACCCTCGACCTTCTTCCAAAAAAACAACGGGGAAGGGTGGGCATTGTTTGAAGAGTATACACTAGTTGCTCTTGACTTCAGGCATCCGGAGTCACTGCAGTTGTCCCTGAGACGTTGCACGACGAAAGCAAGAAGTCAACAGCTCAAATCCATCAGGTAAATATTACCATCTACCTCGGCGAGTCAACGAGGACGGCAAATAATATACGCACGGTACACAGTAAGTTGCAGGGTCATGGTTTCGTCAGAGTTATGGTACGCCATGCGCTATTGCATATTTTGTTTGGTAAATGTATGTTCATTCGGCGTGAGACCAAGGTCAACCGACCCGTGCTAAACTTTCAACAGGTTACTTCGAATTTAACCCCGACGAAAAAAAGTTTTGTTTTAATATCATCAACTCTAATGCTAATAAATGCTACTTTGGATCGCCATAGATGGGCCAAACATCCTATAAGTATAAAGCCTTGGCTGCCGAATCAGCCAAAAGAGCACCGTACCTTTACGAAGATGCTAACCTGAACTTCGCGGACAATCCCAACCGTTTACCTAAGCGATGACGCTAAGTTTATATGGTATTTTTTTACGGAAAATTAAATCTCTGAGCTCATTTGTTGAAAAGTAAAAAATACTCCTATATAATCATGCGGGCCGGCCGCACGAGGGGTCCAGAAGCTCGCCGCGTGACATTTTACTTTCAGGCTCTTTAAGGTCGGTCGGAAAGGAGAACTAAAGAGATAAAAAGGGACCATTATGCATGCCATATATGTTCACCTGTTGGACAAGCTGAATGCCATCTTTTCTCACTGTTATATCTTGTCCATTAAAGCCACGACATCACTGTGCGCATGATATTCGCCTGTATAGGAGTTATGAATTTTGCCCGCACTGTTTCCTTGCATGATGCATCACTACACATTCACTGACAAACGAAACAAGCGAAGTATCATACAAAACAAGTAGAGTTATTATTTTAAGGTTCTATGTAATTTTGCAGATTACTTTATCACTACCCGGCAAAAACACAGTGGAATGCCCGTTTTCAACTTGCAAATTGTTTTAATCGTTTGCTTTATCGCCTGAGCTCTGGCTCTATTACGACACATTACGGTGGCAATTTCTCGTCAAAATTTGGGAGGGGGAACCATCGGGTTGGGAAAAAAGTGTTTACAGACGCCACCAGGTTACAACCATGTTTAAAATCACCCGTTGCATATAAAATGCTAGTCACAATCCTGATGAAGCCAAAAACTAGGGGGTCAAGGAAAGCCAACAACAAACAATTTTAGAGAACCCATATCTCAACATCAACACTTGAACAATCATTCTTTCCAAGAACCATCAAGGAACGATCTTCATCAGACTGTTATTAACTCCTCCTCACCAGCAGTTTTTAGTAACAGCTGTAGGTAACTATACATGTGCAATGCGATAACAGTCTCAAATCCAACTCAGAATAGTTTCCACTCTCCGGAAGGCCTCCGAGTGAATCTCGCCCTGGCAGAGAATTCAGGAGGAATTTCTACCAACGGTTTGAGCATACGCGTAGCATTCTTTGCAGTAGTTAGATCTACGTTAAATGATTGTTGGACGAGCAATATATCTTATATACATGCACTACAACGAGGGGTAAAGTATTGGGGGCATTGCCGTTGGCGCAGCCCCCGACCTCCTCTCCTTCCAAAAAAAAACAATGGGGAAGGGTGGGCATTGTTTCAAAAGTATACACTAGTTGCTCTTGACTTCAGGCATCCGGAGTCACGACCCGTGATCCTCGCTGCAGTTGTCCCTGAGACGTTGCAAGACGAAAGCAAGAAGTCAACAGCTCAAATCCATAAGGTAAATATTACCATCTACCTCGGCGAGTCAACGAGGACGGCAAATAATATACGCACGGGTACGCAATAAGTTGCAGGGTCATGGTTCCGTCAGAGTTAATAATTATGGTACGCCACGCGCTATTGCGTATTTTGTTTGGTATGTTCATTCGGCGTAAGACCAAGGTCAACCGACCCGTGCTAAACTTTCAACGGATTTCTTCGAATTTAACCCCGACGAAAAAGTTTTGTTTTTATATCATCATTTTCATACAAAATATTTACATTTCGTAGTCAATTCAACTTTGGGTTATCGGACAAAAAAATATGCCCACGTTAAGTTGTTGACACGGGCGTCGCTAGACCATTTTGAATGGGGGGGGGTGCCATCATGACATTTGCAGACGGACCGTCACGCAAAATGAGTGTAATTGATAATGTCTGCCCAAAATGATCCCTTTAACTCCATTTCTAATTTCCTCCACAAATAAAATAGGCCTATAAATGGTTAATTAGGCCTATGTTGATTACTTTGAATGGATTACATTTTTCAGTGGGATAAATTCAACTTCAAAAGTGCCCTATCATATTGACAAGTTTTGGACATTTATTTATCGCAAAACTGTTCAGTCCCGCTCCCTGATCCCAGACTGGGGGGGGGGGGGGTCTTTAAATCCTAAAGTGGAACGTTTTATATACGAGCACAGAGCGCGAAGCCCTGAAGGCGTGGGGTCCGGGGCCCTTAAGCGGGCCCCCGGAAATGTTTGTATTCTAGATGCTCCGTGGTGCTGAGGCATTTCCTGGCCACTTTCCCCTTACTTTTTGAATGAAAATTAATGTGCTCGTGTTTAGGGAGATGGGGGTGGGTCATCAAAGTTGATATATTACATCACAGACATCACATCAAAACTGTTGCTTGACTCTCTTTCGAGATTTCCATCTTTCGAGATTTTCATCTTTCCCCTTTCGTCTCCATTCTTCGTTTTCTATTTTGCCGACAGCACCATGAAAATGCTCAACGACAAAAAAAAAATGACAAAAGGTGAAAAAAAGGAACACCCCATCCCCCATCCCAAAGACATCTCATATAAAAAGGGGCGGATTAAAAAAAAATGCACATCCAAGTATATTAAAAACACTTGGTAAAAAAGTGGCAATGAAAATCCACCATTAAAAGATTAAGACCATAAATATTGACGCCCGGAATTCAGGCGGATGCTTTCATTCCCTTCAAAAATGCGGAGGAAGGGTATAACTAGTTACTGGTAGCGGCTGCGAGATGCTGGCGCTTTCGATTCCTTTAAAGGAAAAATGGCAAAAAGTTATACAAGCGAGACGAGCCCCCCCCCCCCCCCCCCCCCGATACGCCACTTAATTGGTATCATCAATTATGGTCAGAATTATCATAGCATAATTCAAACGGACCTATCTTGCTTGGTATTATGACCACGGTTCATGTCATATAGCCTCAACTTAATTAAACAACTTTGCTCAACACAATAAGTATTATGATAATTATCCTCCTTAATCACAGGCCGGTCCGACAAAATAATATGGACAAAAGGTTGAAGTCAGCGTCAGCGACCTTCAGTCCTTTCTGGCCTTAGTGCTTGTGTCCTTCAGGCTTACCTGACTTTAACCTCGTCCCGTTCCCATAAAACCCCGTCTCCCGCGAGCTCCCCTTCACAATATTATCTTCGACATCACATTAAAGTACAGGGGAAAAAATGATTTGTGGAGCAATAGGTTTCACCTTTTGGCGGTGCAGTGTGTTTCTGGTGTCGATTGTGATGATACAGATTTGGGTTGCTGGCGCTGCATCGGTATCAGGTAAGTTTCTTAAGAGATAATGGTGATCCCCAATTTGATGGATTTTGTGGCAATGTCACAAAGGTGACAGAAATAACATTTGTTTTCTCATGATGACACCGTGTTTCCTTGATCTATGCATGGTAGGTGTTGTGTTGATATATTGATGAGAATAAAGAAAACGGACACAAGATGACAGTATATTTATGGTGATGATGGACATACTGTTGTAATTTGTACTTTGCCTGAGCCAATCAATATTTAGCTTAGTAAAGGAGGTGATGGTTTATCGCCGTCGTCATCATTTTTGCGCCATAGTATGATCACTGTCGCCTTGCTGACAGTAGTCGTCATCCCGTCACTTCTCATAATTTTTACTTCAGTATATGTTGGTTGTATTGTTTGACCGTTTGTGTGAGTGCCCTGTCATGTTCGTGCTGCATGGATTAGATCATTTTCTATTATCACTGTTTCTGCTCTACCTTTTCTTATTAATTTGGAAAGGGTATTTCTGTACGAGCTTCGGCGTCTTGAAATTGTCCTGCGTTACTTTGTATTATATGTCATTATTTGGTTCGTGTTTGTGTCATTTTCACGATTGTATAGTGTAGAAATTAAATGTCTGCATAAATAGAATTGAATAGTGATGACTATTTTGATTATAGGTGCTGACATAAATTGTGACATGAATGTAATATAGCGATAATAGCGATGAAAATGCCGTCACACGGCGATAGTGATCATCATGCGAATGGCGAAAATGACATAATCACAACAGTATTATGTCCATGCATTTTCTTCCATTAATTATAATGAAGTGAATGCATGCGGCTATGTTTATTCGTCCATGCATCATAGACAAGAGCCAGTGCTTTCGATGTGATGAGATTTCACCATGCCTGGAGCAGCAATACGTGTGCAACTCGGTACCAGACTGTGCTAACGGTCGAGACGAGCAGACTACCAAAGGAGGTGGATGCTCTACTGAAGATGGTGAGCTCATTTCACGTACATACATGATGATATAGATCTGCTTAGCAGCTGAAATTGCAGGGGTGGTTCAAAAAAAAGGTTTTATATAATAATGTGCTCAGTCAGAATTCCGATTAACATGATCTCCCCATACCTCTTTGTCCGTCTGAAAATAGTGTTCTCGTTGATTGTTCCTACGCTGTTCCGGGTGTCCCTAGAGAGGCCGCAACAGATCCTTCACTTTTTAATCTGGAAAAAAAATTATGTCGTTTTTATCTGTTTTCGGTTTTTTTTTAGAAGGGCTTGAAGACAAGTACATGTTGCCTGTTATCTACGTCACGGTTGGCATCATCGTTTTGGAGATAATTGGTGTTTTCGCTATTGTCATGTACATCCTGAATGTCCGTTGCTGTAAACTGGCGTGCAATCTGAAGTCCAAGGAAAAGCGTAGGCCCACCCGGTCGACACAGCAGTCTGGACCCGTCAAACGCAGCCACAAGCATCATGGTGGCTGGGGACATTACTACATCAAGCCTCGGCGCGCTCAGGCCCTTCGCCCCCTTCCTCAAATACCAATCGTCGGCGTAGATCGCGGCAAACCATTCCACATTCCTGAGCCCGTATTTGACCCGATTGTCCCCCAAACTGTCGATGCAGAACGTCAGGGTCAATATTACGACAATAACACGCGATTGTGGCCACAAAGTAACCAATCCTTCATGAAAAGCTCACCTGAACAACCCTTTTGTAATTCCGTATGGACTGACCCTGTCCCACTGACGATGCCAACAGTCACCAGAATGTCGACCGATGAAAACAAGGACCAACCGCACCTTGAGACAAACAGGAGAACCAAGCCCGAGCCACACACTATTGTCAATGCCTCTAGTAATGACCGAGGCATAGTGAGATCGGAGCCCCGACGCGTTGTTCATCATCACCACACCACAATCAAGCATCTGACTGTGGTAGTTCCTACGCAAACCGAAATGGCGGGACGTATGATCGAGGCGGCTACACGTGCCACGTTGAGTGAGATCACAGACGACAGGCCAGGTACATCAGACGGACGTACAGCGTCTGCTTCAGACAAACAAATCGTGCCTTTGCATCGCCCACGCAAAGGAACCAACATGTACAACATCGATAATTTGTGTTAAAAAGTGAATGTATGTCTTTCTTGGTCATTTAATACCAAATTAGTAATTTTGAATTACAGCATGACTTTGGGGTTAAGGGGTCCTTTTCGTTATTGTATAACTCTTAATAAAGATAAACTTTTACTATAATAAATTAAAGTTATCACATCTTTTGCTTTAGCTTTTTTAATACATCATTATTTATAAGATTATTGACCTTTGTTGCTTAGTCAAGTGTCTTTTGTTTACTATCATCTCGATAGTTAGAAAATATCAAATGACCATTTTAATTGGTTAAAGACCTGTTGACGTGATGCTTTGTCAACTACCCAAACGGTTTATTTCAAGTAATTATTGTCGTTAGTTTTATTCATAATATTTTAGTTTACCTTTATCCATATTCACTTTTAATCTCATACTTAATTTAACTCGATTAATTAACTTAATCTTTCTAATCTTTCATCTCTCTACTTTGCTACTTGTTATCAATCTACACCTTGTTAACTGCTTAAGAGTAATAACCCGGGTGGTGCTGATTAACTTTTTGTAAGTGGACGCCGGCGGTGAACTTGAACTTTGATTTCGTCAAGCACAAAATGACTGCTGTCTTGTTGCAGGCACAATTATCAATCACGGACCCTATATCCACAAGGATGAACGACTGTTCTGAGCTCTGGTATAAAATGCACTGAACGGACTTACCTTAATTGGTGATAAACGGGCCTTAATACCTGGCGGTGACATGTTAATCGCGAATATTCCAGGTGTGCTATTTTGTCGCTTTTTGCATGACATCTAAAACGGAAATATTCATAAATCTTTAAGCAAAACCACTCCTTATTGTAAGATATATATACTTGTTCCAAAATTGTTTAAAAATAAATACTTAAGGATATATCAGATGGTATTGTGCATTTTTTGTCGTCACTAATTTACTCGGGAAATAAACATCAAATGTGACACCTTTTCCAAGGATAACACCGTTTACCCAAATCTCGTTTTTAATTGGGCTTTCATTAAAAAGTTTTAGAGGGATGTGGTCCCGAACCGATAAAACAAATGCGACAATTCATAGTTTATTTTAAAGCTAAAAATATTGTGCTCGGCGTTAACATGGTTATGTAATTATCACTTATCAGACTTCAATAATAAAGGCCAAAAACGTAGGATCATGAATGTTCAAAAATATGATTAGCTGGCTTGACAGACTTCGACACCAGATCGGGCGCAGAGCCTCGCAAACTTGAAAGCCGTCGCGCGCAGTGAAGCGGTATAGGCCAAAAAAAAGTCACCACTTTTTGAGCTTGCCCAAAAAGTGGTGCGGCGACGCGGCTTTTTTTTTTTTTTTACCTGATTTTTTTGCTTCAAATGTCGGCTGATGACTGCAAATGGTGCCCGACTAAACTTAGTGCAAATATATGGGAGTCCAGAGAGGCCACATAAAACTTATTCTCGACCATAACCCATTCTAAAAACACGTTAAAATTGTGCAGCAGCAGGATTCTGGTCAAACCAGTGAGTTTGGCGGTTTTGAGACATCATCTTTCATTGAAAAAAAAACTTTTTCATTTTGCCGACGCGCATGGCTACGGTGACGCACGCGCATACCAGAAACCGGAGACTTGTTTTTTTGGCCTAAGCCGTCTGTGTCTTGTTGACAAGTATTCATGGTATTTGCCACAGTACGGGCCGTTATCGCGTCTAACCAGGAGTTGGGCCAAGTCGTTAATCCTTGTGTGTAGGATCCGTGGATGCACAGGCTTCAGTGCTTTTTCCATTGTACTTATGATTTGCATTTGCATGTTTATATCACCTTGTACTGAATGGGATTTGGCTTCTGTTTTGGTCCCTGTAATTCTTTATATGTGCCAGGAATAGTTCACAACTCCTGTGGGTTGTTATGCACTATAAATAGAATGACCAGTCATCCATAAATTTAATTAAGTGTTTAAAGCTCAAACCTAGACTTGGAGATGTTACCAGGGGCGGCGGAACGCTTTTCAAACGGGGGGGGGGGGGGGGGGGGCAACACCAAAAGGGACACATCCAGAAAAAGGGGCACCTTCCGTTGGTGCCCCAAAAGTGGGTCCACAAATTCACAGCGTGGGGTCCGGGGCCCGCTTACGGGCCCCGGGGGGGGGGATTTTAGAAAGCTCTGTGGTGCGATCTAAGGCAATTTCTGACCACTTTAAAGCAATTCTGGTGAAAATATGGTGGTGTAAGTAGTGGCTGCCTTTTTTCATGACGTCACAAAAAAATGGGATGGTGGGTTTTTGTTTCAGGGGCCGGGAGGCATTGCGCGTTGACCACAACCCCCCCCCCCTCCCCCCGGATCTGGGCCTTCGGCAGACTGCACACCCCCCGCCCCCGGCCCCGGAAGTAACCTCTGTAAATCCGCCCATGAATTTGACTAGTTATGTAGAGAGACCTTCTTTTTTTTTCGCGAGAGGGGGGCGGCTTTGCTTTTGCTCAGTGACCATTTTATTCGCGTGAGGAGGGGTACTATTATTTTTAAAGGCCACTTTTCCATGAGAGAGGCACAATTTTAATGTTGCAAGCGGGGCACTAATAACACAATTGTGCTTTAGGGGTAGTTTTCCATTTCGAGAAGGTGCGTAATCTTGTTAATGCGAGAGGGGCACTTGTGTTTTTGAGGGGCAGTTTTCCATAACAAGACAGGAGACAATGTTATTGCTTTGTTTCCATCTCGGGGGGGGGGGTACATTTACAACCGCGAAAGGGGCACTTTTGTTGGCCCGGGGCAAATCGGGGGGGGGGGCGACGTCCCATTGGTCCAATTCGTCCCATTGGTCCGACGTCCCATTGGTCCGACGCCCCATTGGTCCGACGCCCCATATGATTAGGGTTAAGGTTAGGGATAGGGTCAGTCAACCTGAACCAGTGGAACTACACGGTACATCATGTTTCATCGGACCACTGGGACGTCGGAGGACCACTGGCACGTCGGAGGACCACTGGCACGTCGGAGGACCACTGGCACGTCGGAGGACCACTGGCACGTCGGAGGACCACTGGCACGTCGGAGGACCACTGGCACTGGCAGACTAAATTTTGATTCAGATTTGTTGATATAGCGCCCTCTGCAAAACTTCTACAAAATCGGACACTAGAATTCCTACAATTTCGATTAAAACATCAATGTCGATGTATAAATTGTATACAACACCGAGTAGGCCGAAGTATGATATATATATGTACATGTTTATACTTTTTCTTTTCTTTTAAAAATGATAATATTGTTTATGATAAGGTGCAATACCGGGGTTACACAGGGTGAGTAAAAAAAAAAAGGAAACCCAAATGGTGCCCCCTATTTTTTTAAGAATTTCTGCAGGTAGCGTTTACCAAATCTGGGATATGAAAGCCCAATTAATATAGCTTTCTTTTGGTGAAAGAATTATTCTAATCGCTCATGTACTTTTCCAGTTATGGAAGTTTGAACACAAGCTCTATTTTTTAACCTTGTCCATGGATCACATTAAGGTGATGTTTCAGTAAAAATGAAACCATGTCGTATCCTGAAAATGGTATCAGAATAATCCCATAAGTTTCCAGGGTAGCCAAGTAGAAGGCAGGGCAAGACTATAAACTCTTGACAGTATAAAGCATGTTATTTTAACATTGGAAGCAGCAGGTTTTTAAATAAATGTTATTATAAGTGCCAGTTATCATGGTAATGCGAGTGTTCTGATTATTTTTTTTTATTTTTTTTTTGGTATGTGAATAGTTTTCGTTTTGCTGAAATATCACCTACCTTTATTGTGATCTGGGGACATGAAAACGATGTTTGTGTTCAAAATTCCATAACTGGAAAAGTACATTTTAGCGATTTGAATGAATCTTTCACTAAAAGAAAGCTTATTAATTGGGCTTTCATATCCTAGATTAGGAAAGCGCTACATGCAGAATTTCTTTTAAAAATAGGGGGCACCATTTGGTTTTCCTTTTTTTTTGCCCACCCTGTATAGTTTCGATATCTATAGTTAAAATAAATAAACCCCTAAAAGAAGACTCCTTTGAGATTGGGTGCTACCCCCGTATCTTGCAAGTGACACGGACAGACAGAAGAACAAATGAATCGATTCTAGCCGAGATTCTACCTTAAGAATGTCTCATAGTTTCTGTCCGCCGGAGGAAGCTCTACTACATGTACTTCGGACATTAGGCCAGGGAAGTGCTGGGGAGTTTAGGAGCAACAATCCTAGAAGGCAAAGTGGAGGGAAAAGATCAAGAGGCCGACCCGCCCAAAGCAACCTAGGGAGATAACATTTGGGCTGCCACCCTCTGGAAGAGGACAGAATCGGATAGATAATTAAAATGATACCAGTTGTGAGCATACTTGTTCGAACTAATTTACGCAAACGCTGGCTAGCTTCTCACCGTCTATAGGCTCACTCCACTGACGTTATTATTATAGCACATTACTTTTCTCGCAATTCGTCACCGACACCACCCCCTCGAAGTGGAAAGTGTGTGTTTCGAGATACAAGCGATTTAAGTTGACGATGTTTTGAAACGGAGATCTGAACATAGTTTTTGCCTCAAAATTCATATTTTTTTACATTGTCTGAAAGCTGGGATTTTGAATGTCACGTTAATGTATGATTTTTATTGAAAACAAATAATATTAATGAGTTATCAACTAATTAACCTTAACGTCACTTCGTAAAAACTCTAAAATCAGAATACGCGCTGTTCGAGTTTTCACGAAGTGACGCTAACCATGTGTATTAGCTAATGGGTTATCGCTACTTCGTGAAAACGCCAGAAGTAAGTCACGCATATCTCGTGACATTTGTGTCGCTTTGTGAAAACGCAAAACCCGTTTTTGACGCGTTACGTAGTGTGCAGGCATTTTACACTCGAAAGAATGGCATAGTACACTTCGTGAAAACGCATTTTCCGGTTTTGACCCATTAAGTTGCAAACGTTCATTAATGTTAATTAATGTTTACACAAAACTAATTAACTATCTGTTTAGTAACTTCTTGAGGTGATAGATTATGTGTAATTAATCACAAATCAGGAAAAAAATCGAAATCGCAAAAAAATCGGTTTTTTGATGTTAGTGTCACTTCGTGGTGACGGTGACGAATTCGGCAGAAACTGAAATACTTCGGTTCTTTTATTTAAAAATAAAAACAAATAGTCAATTTTGTGCCAAAAACCTGGATGTTACTTTTGACTTTTATATATACGTTTTTGTAAAGGGCTATTATGCATTTGTTAAATGTAAAGAAGTTTAAAATAAAAGCACTCTGCATGTCTCCTCAATGGGCGTCTGTGCGATGAATGAATCTGTTCAAACGATGTGCTTCAGAGGTCCGGTCCATTAGAAATTAGGATTATTATGGGCGGCAATTGGGTTATATCCTATTCCCGGAAGTCGATTTGTCCATGAAGCAATAAGAACGAATTTCTTCATGATTTGTCTGTGCACTTTATCTGTAGGTACGGAGCTTTTAAAGGGACATAGATGAAAAAAAAAATTGAAAACATCTTCGTTAGAAAGAAAAAAATCTGCGTTCGAACGAAAAAAAATCTGCGTTCGAACGAAAAAAATCTGCGTTCGAACGAAAAAAATCTGCGTTCGAACGAAAAAAATCTGCGTTCGAACGAAAAAAATCTGCGTTCGAACGAAAAAAATCTGCGTTCGAACGAAAAAAAATCTGCGTTCGAACGAAAAAAATCTGCGTTCGAACGAAAAAAATCTGCGTTCGAACGAAAAAAATCTGCGTTCGAACGAAAAAAATCTGCGTTCGAACGAAAAAAAATCTGCGTTCGAACGAAAAAAATCTGCGTTCGAACGAAAAAAAATCTGCGACAGTTTCTCCACATTTAACTGGTTATCCATGGGCCACCAAAAAACATGTCGGGCTAGCCATGGCTATCAGAATAGCCCGACATGTTTGTCGATTGCTATGAGTATGAGTATGAATCAGCTAATTAGTGAATCCCGTATCTGAAAGTTAGGAAGCAGAAAGTACATGTACATGTACAAGTGTTAGACTAGTAAAATAGGCTTATTGAAAGCCAGAAATGATCAAACAATATATACATGTCAGTCGCTTCTAAAGTTTGGAACTATTACAAGGATTAGGAATGAAAATTTATACTGTAAAGGATTTGTGGATAGACAAATTTCTGAAAATCACAATGACGACCAGTTATATTTTTTTACCTGAAAAATTTGAAAGATAATTATATAGCCTTTTTAAATTATTTTTTAAAAACTTGCCTCACTTTATAAAAAGAAACCAAAAAGGCAAATTACTTTTAAAAATGTCTCATAAGTGTGTTGCCTCAGCATAGCATAATGGGTGGGACTGATGGAGTGGGGGGGGTTGTGTTGTAGCTAGTATTGTAACAGGATAGGGACTCTTAAAAAAAGGACAATTAGCTAGATCTTCATTGCAACTTCATGACCAACTAACAGCAAGCCCTAGTAAGACCGTTTGAAAGCTCATAGACTGCTTTAAGACCAGTTATTGAAATTCCTGTACTTGGGCCACGGACCTACATTGGGCACATATGTCATGCATGTAGGACCTGAAAAAACATGACCAAATCACCCACATAAGTGGTGGGGCAGCACAGGGAGGGCAAACAGCTTACAGCAAACAGCAAACAGCTTTTTCGTTCGAACGCAGATTTTTTTCGTTCGAACGCAGATTTTTTTTCGTTCGAACGCAGATTTTTTTCGTTCGAACGCAGATTTTTTTTCGTTCGAACGCAGATTTTTTTCGTTCGAACGCAGATTTTTTTCGTTCGAACGCAGATTTTTTTCGTTCGAACGCAGATTTTTTTTCGTTCGAACGCAGATTTTTTTCGTTCGAACGCAGATTTTTTTTCGTTCGAACGCAGATTTTTTTCGTTCGAACGCAGATTTTTTTCGTTCGAACGCAGATTTTTTTCGTTCGAACGCAGATTTTTTTCGTTCGAACGCAGATTTTTTTCGTTCGAACGCAGATTTTTTCGTTCGAACGCAGATTTTTTTTCGTTCGAACGCAGATTTTTTTCATTCTTACGATGATTTTTTCATTTTTTTTTTCACCTATGTCCCTTTAAAAGCTCCGTATGTAGGAGCATAGAGCAACATGAACAGACACAGAGGTTTTCGGATTTTGGCTCTTCCATCATCATTACAACAGAGGTGTCATCTCTGGCTTCCGCTTTAGAATAATTTGTTGGACTCTAAACAGTGCTAACATTAAAGCAATCATTGTGAGCCGGAACAGGGGCATAAAGTCTCCTTCAGCATATGCCCATAATTATGTTGGAGAACAGCCAAAACTATTGGGGCACAACTATGAGTACTATTCAAGGGCGCCGGACCCCGGTCGCACCCTGGTCGCCGTCGGGCTGTGGGGCTCATCCAGACATAGTCTAAGAAAACCGATGGCTATTAAGGGGTTCATGAAATGAATTTTTTTGGGAACATATTTTGTGCAACTTTCTATCCCTCTTAAATGTATAAAAACTATTCCTCTTAAAGGGAATATACAACATTTGCAAACATCGAAAAATAAAACTACCAAGTTTTTGCGAAATACCTTAATAGGATGTTGGTAAATGACAGTCTAAAGCATCCTGTAAAATTATGGCACCTGGTATACTGTCATTTTCAAGAAAAGTGGTATTTTTGTATCAATTTCCAACGCTGATCGGCCGATCAGCGTTGGAAACAACTGGCTTTTTTTTCAAATACTGACCCCAATTGACCATTGCACTTGTTTGCAATCGATTACAAACCTATGAACGGGTACGAGCCAGCTAGACTGGTTCCCTGACCTTACAATTCCCAAATGTATGTAAACTGCTCTGTTTCTTCTTATATGGAGTCAGGGAACCAGACTACAGGAAAATGATCGTTTTTCTTGGTTTTTATAGCATTTTCGAACCCAAAACCTCCAAAAAGTCAGTGTAACTATATTTGCTTTATATTTCCAACCCCCCCAATTCCATCCATTTCTGAAAATTACAGCAAAAGCAAATGATGTATATTCCCTTTAAAATGTATAAAAAACTATCTGACATCCCTTTTTGGTTAATTTTATTGAGAAGTGCACGTCTTTAAACCTACCATGGAGGAAATTTCAATGCTTTTCCGGACAACTGAAGGCGCTGTTGCGGTATTCAAGTTGCGTTCAAACTCAAACATTTGCTCATTGAAAACCTTTGTGAGAAATGTTTGCTAATCGGCTTACTGTCATGTAGTGACACAACAACGAACCACCACAGAAAAAGAAAATTTACTACAGCCTAATATCCAAAATTCCGGCAACTTTTGGTGCTGAAATCAATGACATCACACTTTTGCTCATAAACATGGAAATTTCATCAGCATAAAAACCAAAAAGGCACCAAAAAATGGCAAAAATGAAAATTGAAAATCAGGTTAAATGGGACACACAGGTGCTGCATTTTCAAGGATTGAATAAAAAATCTATTACATTTCATGCCCTTTAAGTCCGTGCAGGTCGAATAGCGCCCTCAAGAGATTAAATAATGTATTTATTTGAAACTTTGTGGAGTGCACTTAAGCAGGGTGACCGCTTTAGCCGATTTTCGGCTAACTTTGACAGAATTTTTGTTAAAATCGAGTTTGACAGAAAATTTGACAGAATGGATTTTTTTGGCAGATTTCTGAAAGAATTCTGCAACTTAATTGTTATTTGACAGAAAAACAGCAAATTCTAACAAAAAAGTGTAGCTTTATTTAAAAAAGAATTCAATCCTTTCAAACAAACCCTTGCAAAACTTGCATAATGGGACAGGTTGGCTGGTCTAGGTTCTGAGGTTCACTGGGAAACAGACTTCGTCGTGACCGGATTCGCGTTTTGCCCAAAATTTTCCAATACTTTCACAACATATTTATGTGACTAGATTGTTTATTATGTAATTTGAATCTTAATTAAGGCCATACTACTAATCTGCATGTGATTTTACGTGTTTATAGTGTATTTTGAGTAATTCTGGGGAAATTGGCAGATTTTTGATAAATCTGACAGATTTTTGATGTGCATTTAGCAGAATTTGGCTCTGACCTTACGGTCATCCTGCGCGTAGGCCTATATCGATATCATGATCTGTCCAAACTTCTGAACTTGACGTGCTTGACGGTGCTCCGATGTAATTGGTGAGTAAAAATGTCCTTGAAAGTTTGGAGCAACTATAGAATGCAGGGCCACGCCGGAAAAAAAGGGTTTTTTTTGTAGTTGGATGCGATGTGAGGAGTTACTCCTAGAACTATGAGGCTCCACGTAGTGGAGCCTCATAGAGGCAGAACCCCGCAAAATTGTTATCAACACAAAACACTAATTAAGTACAAAAACGTCCATCCCAACCAAGCTGTTTCCCACAGAACCGCTGCACAGTTTGCCCCTAAACTCCGTACAATACCTCATGACATACTCACGTTATGTGCACCCAACAAACATCGATGGATTCTGTCTGTTTTCGGCAAAAATGATGAAAAATATGCCCTTTCTGCACTGAGCCACCTAACACTTGAAACGAGCACGCTCAGAATGATCGCAGTCATTTTCGGGTTCGATCGCTCGGAGCGCGCCGTGGGGGGTACGTACTTGCACTTGTACGCATGCGCATACTATCGTTCCGCTCCTACACCATACCCCTCCGCTCCTACACCATACCTTTTTAATGCTTGCTATTTAACCTCTGTGAACAATTTCGGTTTCATAAAATTTAAGCCTAAATTAAAAAAAGGTGGTGTCCGGAAATTGGGCACAATTTGGCGGAGTGTTCCCTAACGTGGCGCACTTAGAACAAATTGCAATAGAATTTATTTTAACACTCTCACACAAGAAAAAATCACTGATTAACATACTGAAAATCTAATTTAATCTAGGGAGTGGAAAGGTGTTTTTACTCGCCTTTTCTTGATTGATTTTTCGCAACTCGTCAACGCGTAAACTGTCGGTTGGGCGGTACCATGTTTTACGCTGTCAGCGTCTGTTGCCCGTCAAGGCATCCTTTCACAAACACGCAGGAAACGTTGGGAAACACGACTGATTCACAGCAGACGGCTTTTCATGGCGATATTTCTGAAATCTGTGGGATTTTACTTTGCCGGCGGAGTGTTGCCGCGCAAACCATAGGGAATTATTATATTTTAAAATAAGAATTTGGAGTTTCTTTTACTCCCGTAATTGTTAGCCACCAATTGACTAAATTTCGCCAGCATAGCGGCTCAGTAAATCATGTATAACTTTGACATGGGGTGCAGTCACTGATCTCTATAGGCCTATAATAAATAGAGATCCTGGATCAATCTTACTATTTCTTCTAGTTATTTATCTATTTATTAAAAAAAAGGTTTGTTTGTTGGAAGGTGGGGTAATCTGAAATCTAGAATTCGTAGAGATGTTAAGGTCATCGGCACAACCTAAAATTGTTAGAAATTGTTATAACCTTAAACACTTAAGGGCGGATCCAGAACAAATTTTTTTGGGAGGCAACAAAATTGTTAGGGCCCTCCCCCCCCCCCCCCCCTCCAAAAAAAGTGGGTCCCAAAAATTACGGCGTGTGGTTCGGTGCCCGCTTAAGGGGCCCGAAAAGTTTTTGGATTCTAAATACTCTGTGGTGCTATCTGAGGCAATTTCTGGCCACTTTGGCATTTTTTTTTAATTAAAAGATGTTGGTGCCTGCCTCCATCACTTAAAAAAAAAACAGGTTCGTTTTGTGGGGGCCATTGTCCCCCGGATCCACCCTTGACCGTAAAAGCCGAAAAAAGATAAATATAATTGGATTAAATCGTTTTGATTGAGCAGTGAAAAGTAATTTAACAGAAGAAAGACAATGTAAAAATATCATTGAGTTCATTTTTTTTTCAATATTGATTTAGTAATAATGAAACAATCTCAAGAAATGGTAAATTAAGGCTTTGAATCCCCCTCTCCCGATCCCCCCCCCCCCCCCAGTCTGAGGTAAGGTTACGGGTTTGAATATACTTGCAACCTCTTTACTTGTTCCCATTTCTTTTTAATGAGCAAAAAGTTAACAATTTAGAAGAGCAATCTTCAAAGTTTGCTCCATTCTTAACATGTTTCCCAAGTTTTCTTCTAAGGAAAGAAATAACATTTCAGAGAAAGAAAACTAAAAATATTGCAACCTCTTGTTCCCCAGTTACAGCGAATAAAAAAGAAGAAAAAGAACATCTTCAAAGTTTACTCCTCGGGAAAAAAAATCAGAAAAATGAAAATGAAAACGTTGCAACCTCAAAACTTGTTACAAGTTTGGAGTGTTTTTTTGGGGGGGGGTGCCAAAAAATCTCAAAGTTTGCCCCTATGGAATATAAACGTTCACATTAATTAATACAAATAAAAATGTTACAATGTATTATCTTGTTCCCCAGTTTTGTACAGCAAAACAAAGAAGAGAAAAGGAACAAATCTGCAGAGTTTGCTCCTCAGGGAAGAACTTTAAACGAAATGAAAATTAAAACTTTGCCCAAAGGAAAAAGAAAAACCTTTTAGAGAAATAAAATGTCAACTGTTGCAACCTGTTCAACTTGTATCCAATGTTGTTTTTACAGCGAAAAAAAAAAAAGAGCAAATCTTCAAAGTTTACCCCTCAGGAAAAAAAATCTTGTAGAGGAATGAAAATTAAAGCGTTGCTTCTTAACTTGTTCCCAAGTTTGGTCTCTTTTGGGGGGGGGGGGAAGAACCCTAAAAAGTAAGTTTGCTCCTTAGAAATAAAAATCAGAGTGTTGACGCCTATGTTTTGCAGTTTTCTACATATAATTTAAAATTAGGATGTAGGCCTACACATGTAAAATTCAATTAGGGTGTTGGCGACGTGTTGCTCTGCGCGATTTTGTTCAAACTTCAATTGATCCTTCCAGTCCATCCTCATCAGTAAATGTCACATTGGAACAGCTACCTCTGATTCGAAGCCTTGTTTTGTCACTGTGTGTTGCATCCCATCATGCATCAACATCAGATTACCACAAGCAGCTCCCTTGCCAGGTGCTGGATTGAACTGACATGCGGCAGTCACTTGATCCCCTCTCATCATTTATTGAACTGAAGCTCCCTTTACAAATCGGATTGCAGTTCTTGCAGTGAAATTCAGTTTAGACCCTTTGGCCTGCCCTGACACTAATAAGTGAATCTTCCCGTGCTTCCCAGCCGCTTGCCCTACTTTATATCCATGGCATACCTTAACAACAAGCAAGCAGTTCGTGAATATCTATAGCGTGACGTGCGCATTTACATGCACATTACCTGCCCGCGGCCTTGCAACGGTGTGAATTTCTGATTAAGAACAGATAATATTCCACTCAAAGGCCTAAATATTAACCAAATCACACACAAATATGGTTTTCAATATATGATTAACTCTTAATACGTTTAGACAGCAAAAATAAACTCAGTATCATGTGAAATCATACTTTTCCGAGTTACCGTCGGTGCGTCGTCTGCCCCAGTCGCATGTGGTCATAAATCCTGCGCATTAGTTGTTACAATGTACGTACATCGAGGAAAGTCACCAGACGAATTAAGAAAGGGCGCCCTCCATAGTTCAAGTCCATAAAAACTCAAATTTTGATCTACAAAAAGTGCTTGAAAAAACACCTTTCCAATCCATAGAAAAAAATAGATTTTTCACATGTTGTTTGTACAGTATTTATTTGAAGATGATTGAAGCTTGAATGGTTTCTATTACAATTTGTTCTAGGTCAAAACGTAAATTGACCGGACTAATGTCTTAGATGCGTGGATGCGGGGTGGATGAGCATGAAGTTATCAATAGAGGGCGCTTTATTTACCCCAGGACCCTCTACTGTATTTACCCTATAGGACCCACTACTTCAGTTCCCTATCTAAAACCAACCCCAACCTACCCACTCATTCCGTCTTGGATGCGTGGATGCGCGGATGTGTGGATGCACGGATGCGGGGTGGGCATGAAGTAAATTTTAATCAATAGAGGGCGCGTTATTGGAAGCCTGGATGCGCGGATGCGGGATGGTCATGAAGTAAATTTTAATCAATAAAGGGCGCTTTATTGGATGCCTGGATGCGCGGATGCGTGGATGCGAAGTGGGCATAAAGTAAATTTTAATCAATAGAGGGCGCTATAGAAAACTGACTGCGCATCCACGCAGCCATGGATGCGCAGATATAGAATGGAGTGGCCCTGTATTCTATAGTTGTGATGCCGAAAGTTTTGTTGGAAAGAATGTTGCTTCCTGACGCCGCTTTTTTCACCATATATTATCTCAATGAACGTCAGTCATCATAAAACTGTGGAAAAGACTAGCTCTACTGAGTGGAGCGCTGGACATGCTCAGGATGCTGGAACTTTGGTACCCTCCGAGCGCTTGTACGTACAAGCGCTCCACCGAATCGGCATACTTTGACTACACATTTAAATCACTGACACATGGTATGCATTTTTGTGCATACCCTTGGGGAGAAAAGGCCCCAAAAAATGGGTAAAGAGAATACCATTACAAATGAGAAAAACAGTTACCCCGGACAGACCCACCACACGTTCATGACATGCCATAAGACCCCTTAATTTAGGGAAAATACAACATTTGCAAACATCGAAAAATAAAACTACCGAGTTGTTTACGAAATACCTTACTTAGGATGTTGGTAAATGGCAGTCTAAAACATCCTGTAAAATTATGGCACCTGGTGTGAAGTCATTTTCAAGAAAAATGGTACTTGTGTATGCATTTCCAATGGTGGTCGGCTTACCACCGTTGGAAAAACCTAACTATTTTTCAACAACTGCTCCATATTTACTAGCTTGAGTAACTCCAGCTGACATGCTCATATTCATTCACATGTAGCACTGGAGACATAACCTAGTCGTGAGAGTGTGGTAGCAAGAGACCCTAAAATAATGGCCTCTCAAAAATTGTCCATTTTCACCTCTAATATCCCACCCCAGATTTCATTTACATACCTCATACATTCAGCAGTCATTCACGAAGCTAATGATCGACTTGAAACAGACCACAAAAAAAAAAAATGTGAAAAATCTTGATGATTTCGGTGGCTTGTCTGTAAAAAAACGCCAGTTCCAACGGCTGTCGTCCATTTTGTTTTGTTAATTATGTAAATGCATGCATCATGTGATGACATCGAAAAAAATCTGCGCGCGCGATGTATATGGGTACCACACCGCTTTCAGGCGCCGCAAGTGGGTTCAGTTTTCGTCTGGTGCGTTGTCGCGGAAAACAAGACTACTGCGTAGGCCTTTTACGATGGCGTTCGGAAATTGGGCACAAAATTGGGCAAGTGTTTCCTATTGTGGCACACTTGAACAAATCTCAGAAATTCCCAAGTGAACATTTCAGAATTTCTTTAAGTATATTCAACTGCTATCATTACGGCATTGCAAAAACACTGTTCCAAATTTATATCACCTTTAAAGTAAAAATGCCATTCCAACCAGAGCTCTTTGGTACATGTACATGTAGCTCGATTAGTTTAACATTAGACTTTATTATTTTATTTTTTAATTTAGTAGTCGTCTGTGTTTTTGTTACATTTTTAATCAAATTCTACTTTATTGAAGTAGATTTCATTTTTTCTTTTTCTAGTAATGCGCCTATCAATCCCCACCCTGGGGCATGAAAAACGTGACCAAATCCCGACATCGGACCTGGGGCAGCGCGATTGGGGGAGGGGTGGGGAAAACATTTGATAGGCGCATAATCCATGGCTTACAATGGCTTATGAGGACTGTTTTGTAGGTAAACTCTGAGTCTGAGAATCCTTCAGTTGATAGTCTGCTTTATTATTGTTACAATGTAGGTCAGGGAACCAGACGGTCGAGTGCCATAACGATAGCCACTGCATTTCTTTCAAGTCGACAGTTCTGATAAACAATTATACCTCCACTCAACTTTCCACTCCACTCAACTACATGTTGTTTGTCAGAACTTTAGTTTCTTTTTTAAGAAAAGGGTCCACTGCCTACCTCAAAATAGCTCTAAGGGCATCCCTGTTTATTGGGTGATCAGGGACAACCTGATCACCCTTTTAGAATTGTTCGAATAAATCTTCGTTACTTCTTCCTGTCTTTCTTTCTTGTTTATTCCGAAGCCACCCGATACTTGCCATGCTTGCTGTGCTGTATGTCCAGGCCATATTAGTGGGGCTACTTTTCAGCATGTTTCAGTGGAAAAAGTTGCCTTTTCTACCCGATATCAAAACCAGTTTAAATAAAACTTGCCAAACACCATGCAGGAGTCATTAATGAAACACATACTTTAAACAATGCATACAATAAAAATTATAAAAACGAGACATTACATTTATGCTCCGATCAAGTTCCTTTTCAGGTAACTTTTCATTCAAACTTTTTTCTTTTTCTACCTTATCATGCTTATGTCATAACCATTTGAATCTGATACGTATAATAACAGTGGGTTCAATATCAGAATTAGTACAGTTCTGTTGAATTCCATAAGATTGGAGCCATAAAGCTATCCACGCAAGCTCGTTGGTCTGGTGGTGTACATGTAGTAGGCAGGAGGTCATGGGAGATGGGCTCTAGTACAACCACACACTTAGAGTTTGTGAATATTTACTCCCCCATGTAAAATTTTCAAGATTGAGTCATAAAAGAATGTAAGAATGTAATGATACATTCATGAGGATTTTACTAATTGTTGCAGCATTGTTTGCACTTTAACAGTCTGTCTGGGCTACAATATCTTTTCATTGTAATATTACTTTGCTTATTCAGTAACTATGGATACATGTGCATCATCACTGGTCACTTACTGAATGCTGGATGGTGATGAGACATCCTTCAAGAGAGTAAACCTTCTATAGAGACAGTGAAGTGAAGCGTGGCAAAGGAGCTAAGTCAACAAACCCATTGGATCTCAGGATAGCCTCTCTTCATCAGTCAAGTCAGCAAACAGCAACTCAGCTAGATACAAGTGCATCAAGTACAGTAGCTCTCACGCACACTTGTCCTTCCTGTCAAAAAGGCACTGCAGAGCAGAATGGCTTACACAGTAAGTAACTTTGGTAATCTGTTCGTTACCACAACGTTGTAATTTGTAGTACAGTGTGTACATCTTGAACAAACTGCTCTGATGTTGTTATAATTGCTTGAAATGGCTAACACTTTGTGTATATGGCTACATACTGTATATACCGTACATGTATGTTTCTTTCCCACTTTTGAAACCAGTAGTTTACTTCTTTGTCATTAAAGGTAGCATACATCATTTGCTGCTATCGAAAAAGTAACTGACAAATTATTGTTGAAAAGCTACTTGCTTTAAAGATAGTAATGGCACTACATGCCCTGTGAAATTGTTTCTTCTGACGTGCTGTCATTTTGAAGAAAACAATGAAAGAAGGCCGTTTCCAACGATACGTCTAAAGATGTATTTTTGGAAATGTTCGCTAGTACATGTACATGTAGTTCGTTTTTAATTTGGCAAAGCCATGAATGAGTGCGCGCAAACGTTCACATGATGCACATGCATGTACAGTTGCCATTTTTCATCAGTTCAGTGCGTGAAATCACGTACTAGCTGCAATCGGCTGGGTGAGAACGTGTCCCGGACGCTGAATTCGGGCATTTCAAAACATGATTCGGCAAATTTTGAATTGAAATTGAGTTGAAAAGCATGTGCATAACAACTACATGTATCCTGTGGAAGTCTTAGCTTTTCATAGAAAAAAAAAAAATACTTGTGCTCAATTGTTTTGTCCAATAACTGGAATCTGTCGCCATCACGTAAAAATGGGCACACTTTTGAGTGATTGTTTTCTTAATGATTCTTATTTCCTAATGATACCATTTCAGGCAGAATAATCTGATCTTCATTCCGAGCAGGGTTTTTCTCACTAAATTTCAGAGCAATTACCACTATTCCTACGCGCCTGTAACTGTATTTCCTTGACTGACAATGTACTTGTAACCCACTTTTTTATGCAGCATGCCAACAAGTTTGTGTTCAACACTCCTAAGACATACCAATCACCAGCCATGGGTGGGCCTGGTAAGCTACGATCTCCAACTCCATCCAAATGGGAAACAATGAAGGAAGAATTGGGTCTATCTGATGGTATGTTGACGTCTACATTTATGTAATATTATTAATTTGGTTTAAAAGGATACCTATTCGAAATATTCGAAAACAACTAAATATAAACAAATTAAAAGAATATTTATGACACCTGACCAGTTAATATTTTCCTTTAGGGTATAGACAACCATAATTAAAAACTTTTTTGGTTTGCCCTCATGCGTACATTTTTTCAAAATACACTTCTAATAATAAGGTGAGCTCAATGGCAATTTTTCACAATTAAAATTTGCCAATGTGTAGAATATTGTATGAACTTTGGGATTTTTTTTGTTGGCCCTAATAAATCTTTAACAATGATACATGTAGATTTGCCATGGATGTATCACAGATCATGCAATATGGTTGGCAGAGAGGCCACTTTGGTCACATATTCATTTTCCTTGTACATCCGCTTATTTAAAAATAGATTTGGGGTTTTTTTTATTTTGGGGCTAACTTTGAATTAAAAGAGTTTTAATCTTAAGTCTCTTAAAATCTGCATGTGAACAATGTTATATTGCAAATCACAACCTGTAATGTGCTTAGTTGCAAAATGCAATGAATATGATGTAAACTAGGTTGAGTGTGTTAATCTGTGAACACAGGGGAACACACGATGCATGTTATCTATGTCCAGTTTCATTTGAAACTCAGTTTGTTTTGACAAACAATTATTGACTGCTTCGAGTGGCGTAGTAAAACTAGCCTCCCGAGGTGATTCGTGAAGCATTCTTTTTCCCGAGGCGAAGCCAAAAGAAAATAGAATGCTCCATGGATCACCAAGGGAGGCTAGTTTTACTACACCACAAGATAAAGCAGTCAATATTGTACATGTATCCCACAGATTCTGCTTGATTTTAAGCAATAATTTATTAATGAAATCTAAATATATTTTAAAATGTACTTCTATTTGAATACAAAATGAGTTGAAAATTCACTTGCACTTTTCCAAACTATAACATTATCCATAATTTTTTCCTAATACTGTTTGAACCCAGCTCTGTAGCACCAGCGCTTTTAACGCACACACTCTTAATATGCATAGTACTTTGGTTGCTACGGGTATGGCATTTGGTTGCTATGGGTAGAGTACTTTTGGCCATGCACAGCAAGATGGCAAAAATAGCGAATGCCATGTGACTCACTCATTTCATTTTTCTTTTATGAGGAGAATAATAGTGTGGTGATGGAGAAGTTTTAAATGTCAGTTTTAAAATGAGTTAGGGGCCTGGACACAGATAATGGCAGGCCCAAGCTGACCGGGTATTTGTGTGACTTTGTGTGTACACATTGTATGTAACACTACCGGTGTCTGCATTGCACTCTGTGTACCACACTCATGGGATATGTAGGCCTACTTCTGCGAGCAAGCAAGCTGACAAAAGTTTTACTTCAGCCTTTAGTGTCGGACTTAAGCCATGTTTTGTGCTCTATTTACATGATTTACAAGACAAAATAAGTAAAAATGATGTAAAATTAATTTCTTTATCAAAAACATTTTTTCTAAACTTCAAAACCTACCTAAAGCAGTTTCATCTTGAAAAGTAAAGGATCCCTTTATAAAAAAGTTTACAAATATTACACTTTTACAAGCTCTTGCAACTTTGCAAGGCCAAGACTGTGGCTTTCATTCATTTTAGTGGGTTACAGGTACGACGTACGTTTAATCTTCATAATGATATATTTTTCACCTACCCAGCCTCCAACAGTTACATGTACATGTAGTACATGTACAATGTACACATGTACATGTTCATGTAACCAGAGGTGTCAAGCTGTCTTTGACAAGCCATCCAATTGTAGTCTGCAAAATTTCGCCTTTTATGAAATATTCTTCTTGGATCGAAATGCAAAGCTCTCAAACTTATTTGTGATTTGCATACACATTTTTTGTATTTCATGTTGCTCCAGTTGATAATGTAACAGATGGTCACATTCTTTTCACAACTTCTGTTGTTTTTACCCTAATTGTTTGTCATAAATGTTGCCCACAAAGTATGATTTGAGAAACCTGAAGCCAAGGCTAGTAGCTCCTACATTGTACCTACACTTACATGTGCTTGTACAATGTACATGTTAATTCTTGCTTGAAGTTGAAACCAAACAAGATAAAAGTAGTGAATACTGTGTGCAAATAGTACAGGTATGCCTAGTCCTGGTGATGGTCAGTATACTGTTTGGATAAGCCCAGGCATTGTCCTGACTTGACTCAGTCAACAAATGGATAGTTATTGTGTCCTGGTAACACTAAATAAGTTTGGGATGCTTTGTGCTGGTTTCCGTAGCAACCATACCAACCCATACAATTAGCTCAAAAGTAATATGCTTGTGTGTAATTTATGGCCCAAAAGTGTGAAGTGGTTCTGATGGGTCACTAATTAATTGTAAACACTGGTGAAATGTATGCATTAAGGTGGAGTAAGTGGGGAATTTGCTTTGTGTTTGTGGGATAGAAATATATAAACCTTAATGTGTATTCATTGTAAATTAAAAATACAAAAGAACATCCTTACAACCTGCAATACAAGTAGAAAGTTTTTTTTCAGTAATTCAATAAACATCACCAGCACTTATTGGTTGCACTGCAGTACTTCATTGTGAGAAAAAGACAAATGTATACATACATGTATGGAGACATATATCGTCTTCCAAAACTTGTTTTATTAAAAAATAATTGGATTCAATCTCATTTTAATCATTACACAAGGTGTTTTTACAGTCATAATTACAAGTACAATTTTAGTAAAAAAAAAATTGAACAAATACACATATTTCTTTCAAGTGAACCAAGATAGCATAAGCAGACTCGTGTCATACATTGTGCATTTCAAATCTGGCTACTTCTTTGCATGTTGAATATCCACATCTAAATGAAGAAAGCTCACCTTTAAATAAATTATTTTAAACAAAGAATATTCTGAAGAGTCAGAATTTAAACTTATGCAATTAATTACATGCTTCTGAAAGTACCAGATGTAAAGTTTGTGTTTCCCCATTTGTTTTCTTCATTTCCATTTTAGATGATTATCTGAAAAGTGAGAGTGATAATTCAGGAGATGAGAATGAAGTCAATGGATACGGTAAGTGAAGTCATTATACACTACAGCTTTGTATGTACAACCTGCGTGAAATTATGGTCAGACATTGGACCATATTCTATGTTTGTCCAAACAACTTTTGCACTGTAATTGCATTCTAAGTCCATTTGACAGCTCCAAATGTATTGTACCTGGTCAGTTTTTGTGAAAATAATTTTTGTGTCTAATTTTGTCTATTAAGATGAAGCATCATTGCCTGATTAATGGTATTTTTCCCACCCAAACTTGTGGATTTGTTGGCTTTCAGGCAGCTCTGAGTACAATGCTTTGAAAATTGTGTCTGTAAAGGTCAAAACCCAATAGTAGTGAGATTACATACATGTACATGTTTATATTCAGAAACTTGCACCCAGAGTATTGATTCTACAGGCAGGTCGTATGATTCATAATCAATATCTCCATTATACAAATAATGCTATCTTTAGATCGTGTAATTGAGGGTCCATGATAGAACTGGTCAATAAATCACAGTCAACACTTAGCATACCATTCCTGAATCTGTGTGCATTCCATTACAAGTTCAATAGGCCAGGCATTGACTGTGTGACTGCATGGATCCTACAAAATTATGAATCAAGGATGAATAAGGGCTAATAAAGTAATATAGGGATTATGAACTTCAGCAAAAACAGCCAAGCAAAAAAAAAAAACTTTTTGAAGCAAACTTGTAAATTTACATGTGTAGATTTAAAAACTCAAGTTTTAAGTTTGATACAGTTTTGTGGACATTTGCATCATGGCACACATAGGATGCAAATAAAACATTCTGACTTTGTTGCATACTGACTTTATTGCAAATTTTCAGTAAACTGGAAAGATTTCATGTAAACTACATGTACACACAGTACGGACAATGTTGCTCGTACAATGTATCTGTCTGTCTTTCTTTTCATTGGAAAACAAAATAAATGTACATGTACAAGATATATACTGGTTTGATGGAACTGTAAATAAATGTGGATAATAATGTTCCCATGTTTGCGAAAGCTGGATATCCAATTGCCTCAACCATATAAAACAAACTGTTCAATAATGTTTTAGGAATTCAGAATGAAAAACTTAACTTCATGAGTTTGTCTTACATGTACATTTACTATGTGGACTTGTGAACAAAAGATGTCCACATAATGCAGGTTGTTTTGACGTAATGTGGACTAAGCCGTGTCCACATAACGTTTTGCCCTCTTTGGAAAACAGGTTTAGAGGCATTTTGGGGTTAGGTTTATCCATGGCAAAATGAAGAGAAACACAAGGGAATCATAGAAAAAAAAATGGGTTGAAAGAGTTTTCACAGTTAAAGTAAAGTTATTTTTTGTACCGAGTTTTCTTAACTACACGAAAACAAAGGAATGTCCACATAGTGTATACATGTATAACAAACATGGGTGTGTTTGTGTGTATGCACAATGTGTATCTAATCCTTTCCCACCACTTTGTCACAAGTACATGTGATTCACAGTTTTTACATCACAATTAACTATGACAGTACATCTTCAAACTTCTTGTAATAGCTCCGGAACGGTTTGGCCGATCGGCATGAAATTGGTGACTTTACCTAACTTTTATTGGGAGTCAATATGGTACCAAAACAAATTCTGTATGATGTCCACAGGCATGCAACTGGGAAGGCATTGAAAAAAAAGGAAATTCAAATATTTCCTAGACTTTGTACAGTGTTTTTTTTATTGGAATGGCACACATGGGAAGTAAAAAAAAGAAGAGGAAATCGGCTGATCCAAGGAAAAGTTGCATGTTTTGGTCCATGCATGGCAACCAATCTAAAAACACTAGTAATCATAAAATTTGATAATGTTTGTATAAAAACATGGAAATTTGCATTTTTGTGAGTCAAAACCTGTTTAACAGTGTCAAATACGGTCCATCACATGTAGATCACCTTACAAGGGTACATACAGTATTTGGATAAATACCAAGCCAATTACTCAGACTGTAAACACACACATCAATCATATGTACCGGGTATTGGTTGTGATTCAATCAAGTAGATCTAATTGACTGGGTACAGCAATAATAGGCCATCTGGCCCTTGCTTCAAATGCCAATGGATTAGATTCTTCTCTATGTTGGACACATTTGTAGAGCGTATACGATTGTTACACACCACATCAACCACAGTTCTTCTCTCTAGAGCTTCAAAGACACAAAACAGATTTGTTTGGGGGAATTTGATTGGCCTACATCCCACAGTCCCTACATGCTTATACATTATGCATGTACACCACATACAAATATATTTCATTATAATAATATTGCCCTGCAGCAAGTTCATACAAATGTACAATATGCAAAGCATATTTGACATGTTTGACATCAAGAAATTTGTAGCATGGATACTTGACGTCGCATATTCCCATTATTTGCATTCACACTCACTATGACAAAGATTTATTTTATTCAGTTATAGCCCAGTAAATTAGGGCTGCAGCCTTCATTTTATTGTCTGCCTTGATTTTGTATCAACCTGGACCCATTACTGCTCCTCGCCCTTTTGTTAGCAGTAATACGTACATGTACATATTTTCTGAGTATTTGGTACATGTACATGTATGTGGTGTAATTCCAGAAATCGATTGAAAACAACTGTTTTACAAAGTTTAAATAAATGTGTTACACTTTCAGAAAGTGAAGTACCGGTATACAAATGGATGATGATATAATCAAAATGAACCGTACGAATGTTTGTACATGTACATGTAAGTCATGCATGGTCAAATGGTCTGACAGTGTTCACTCAACCAAATCAGACATTTTCAGGCAAATTATTCCAATATCAGACATGTATGTATAGTATCTGCTATCCTATAGGGCCATGACTCACTGTATTTGGAACCCTGGGGAGGGGAGCTGAACACCCCAGGTGACTTGCGACATCTCTAATGTCAATTAAACCTCGTGCAAGTCTCAATTTTTGTAAATTACATATTGATTAGGACGGTTCCATTTTTTTATGAAAGCTTTCCATCATCATAAACAGGCTGCACTTACTCATCATAACGGTCATGCACCGTAGGTAATTGCTTTGCTTTTGCTGTATGGATGAGCAGCAATATGTACACATTGCACTCCAGCAGTGTGCTGGGTGAAATGTAATCTCTCTGATGGAGACTGCGCAGATGTAAGACTTCATTGTGTACGTACAGTAAGAGCAATGTCTGAGCTGGTAGTAAGGTCATATCGCATGGACATATAGTCTTCACATCATCTTGAGTATTGCAGATCAGAGCAGCATCTTTCATATTTTTCATCCTTGTCTTGTTTCCAGAGTGTATGTACATGATGTAAGTTCATTATATTTGCAAGAGCTGTGTCTGGGTCTGTATTACAAGTAGTCTTGTGGATGTAATTATTTTTTAATTCTTGTGGTTTTGTGTTATTGCTTGGTCAGATCTGCACATGTACATTGAAGGGTAAATGTGCAAACATGCATTTTTTAGCCTGAGCGTGTACTTGATTTGGTGTAAATAAGAAATGCAAGTCTGGACATGTACACTGTACATGCACATCATGTACATGTACATGCACATCATGTACATGTACATGCACATGATGAACATGTACATCATGTGCACAGCGTTGTCGGCACAGTGCCCATCAGTGTAAACGTATCTGTTCTGTGTATATGTGTTCTAAATGTTTATAAAAATAATTAAATGTAAGATTTGTCTTACTAAGGTCGAGTTTCAAGGGATGTTGTTGAAGCCTTGCAGAAAGAGCTGGATGAAAAAGACAAGCAGAGAGAAGAGCTGATTCTGCAAGTCAAGGTGAGATCATGCCTACATGTAGGGTATATGGTCTCCATGCGTGGACTGTAGAGGGCGCTTCATTACCACTCATGAGAGATTTGTGAAATGGACACATTGTCTGCGCCTGCTGGTTCCTGCACATATGATGCAAATTATGCACAATAGACCGTGCGTTAAAGGTAGGGTTGATCATTTGTCATTTGTGCATTTATTTTTTCATTTGAAGCAATAAAACTGGTCAAAATCTAAAGATGGGTGCTTGATAACTAACCTGATGAATTTTTAGCTCTGTGAATACTGGATGTTTTGAGAAGAAAATATTATAGGATCTTGATTTCAATTCAAAAGTTGAAATCAGCATCCAGGAGACATTCTCATTATAAAGCCGATTGCAGGTACGCGTTGTCACAAACTGACCTGACGAAATGATAGCAACCACGGGCACGTATGTGTGCATCGTGTCCAAGATTGCGTGCACCCATTCACAGATTCACCAAATTAAATACCAACTACTAAGGAAAATTTTCAAAAATGTGTCACTTAACGCATCTTTGGAAATGGCCTTTTTAATGATATTGTGCCAGCACTAATAATTTCTCAAACCTGTATGGAGCTGCTAGCATCATGCCAGACATGTGGTACACTCATGTCCCTCCCTATTCTCTCTTTGTAACTGAATGACAGGGTAATTACGCACGTTATTCATAGCAGTATTGTAGTCGAACACATTTTGAGTACGAGTATGAGTTAGTACTGCAACTGATCCTCAAAGTTCGGTTCGGTTCGGTTCGGTTGCGGTTAGATTTTTTTTTCTCCGAAGTTCGGTTCGGTTCGGTTTGGCAGGCTGAACATTTTCATATAATTTCAACGAATCTGAATACAAGTATTCAGTTGCTTTATGTGCCGTTTATTAACTCCATTTTCCAAGTACAATTTAGTGATGAACCAACTGACAACTGTATTAAAAAATGAAAGCGTAAGCAGTAGTCAAACCTTTTATTGATCTTCATTTAGTTATTTTTTTAAAAATAAATTTTACCTTGTCTTACTTTTTACAGTTACAAAATGAAAGAAGTAACACCACTTGAGCATATTATTATGCAAAAACAAATAATAATGCAGCCCCTTGAATAAATCCTGATATTCAAAACCAAACAAAAACAATGTTAATCCGTCGTTAATCCATGGATTTTAAGGAGAGCGATTTGCTCTCCTCAAAGATTTGAGGAGAGCGATTTATAGCTCTCCTGGATTTTCTTTAAATGAAGGACTGCAGTGTAGGCTTCATTTTCTCCAATACATGTATGTATGACGGGTATTATTCCAGATAATTTTTTTTTGTTGAGATTATTAACTTTTTTAAGGAGTTCATCAGTTACAAACTAGTTTAAAAAGTCCTGAAGCCAAATGGTTCAAGCTCATGTATGGTAGTTTCAAGAAACTCTCTGCACCTCTCTTTTCCTTCCAGAAATTCCGTGACAGTGACAAGAAATACCGGTCGCGATGTGAGAAGGAACATGCTAGCAAGTGGCAGCAGATCAAGATCATGAGGAAAACCCACGAGTCCCATCTAGACGAGAAGCGACAACTCATCCGCAACCTCCAAGACATCATTGAGGAGCAGGAAGGCAGGATATATGACCTGGAGAGTGAACTCAAAGGTCAGAGACAGGTCAAGGGTCGAGGGTCGATTCCCTCTTTTTACCTATATGTTAATGTAGGTGAACTCTGAAAAGTATTTGCATGTATCAAATTCATACTGTTAAATTGTCAAAATGTCCAATTTATACATGTACATGTACATGTACATTGTTTACCATGATAGTGGACAAAATGCTGATCATTATTATCCCTGCTCATCCGGCTAATTTGTTCTTTGCATGGAATTGCCAAATTAGAACACAAATGACGACACACTTGCTAAACGAAGATAGTGTGCTCTACAGTATTTGAGTGATGTGAAGAATGTGACATTTGATTTTACAAACTTGACATTTGCAGGTTCCAGAACAATAAAACTATACGGGATGAGTAAAAAAGGATACCCAAATGGCACCCCCTATTTTTTTAAAAGAGGTTCTGCATGTAGCACTTTCCAGATTTAGGGATTGAAAGCCCAATTAATAAGCAATCTTTTAGTAAAGGAATCATTCAAATCACTCATGCATTTTTCCAGTTGTGGACTTTAAAACACAAATACAGTTTTAAAATGTTGTCCCCTACATTTTTTTTTTTTTAAGAAGTTCTGTATGGAGCACTTTTCAGGTCTAGTGATATTTCAGCACAACGAAAACAATTAACATTTAAGAAAAACGCATCAGAACACTCTCATAACCATGATAACTGGCTCTTATCATAACCTTTATTTAAACACCTTCTGCTTCCAGTGTTAAAACAACATACTTTAGAATATCAAGAGTTTGTAGCTACTGCTACATATAGTTGTACATGTACAGCTATGTGGAGTGGAGTGCTTTGGCCTCGTGGTTAAGGGCACTGATTCGTGGTCTGTGGGTAAAGCTGCAGGTTGTGGGTTCGAGTCCTGGTGGGGTCATGGTGCGTGTGCCCTTGGGCAAGGCACTTTGTCACTCATTGCTTCTCTCCACCCAGGAGTAAATGGGTACCTGTGAGGGCAGAGATGGTTATTGTGATTGAATTAGCTGCCTTGTGCCTAACAGGCTCCATCGAGCTGTATACTCCCCAGGGAACTGAGATGGTATTTGGAATGTTTCATGGGCCCATTGAGCAGGGGTAATAATGATGTAGCACTGTGAGCACCAGTACCTGGTGGATATGTGAGCTTTATAAATATCCACTATTATTATTATTCTTTTTTTTTCATCTACATAATGTCTTTCATTTCTACTTGCAGGTAACAACAGTCCCACCCCCAGTGCACCTAGCCTCTCTGAGCACGTGCAGAAGCTAGCCAGCTCCCTTGACCGACTGCAGACAGAGATGGCTGGTATCCGGGAGAAACAACTGGCTGCCGAGCACCAGCTGGTTGCCATGGAGCAGGACCATGACAACGAGAAGCAAGGCATTCAAGAAGACATGGCCCAGCTCAGATCTGAACTGAACAATGCACAGGGGATGATACAGACACTACGCAATGGAGACGTAAGTATAGAAACCCGTGATCCAATTGATAAAAAAAAGAAGGCAAAAGATATATGTATTACCAAAGAAACCTAATCTCTATATTATCCATAGATACCAAGTGAATACTAACAAGTATAACTTCTGTGATTTGAAGAAATAACCCCCTCAATATTTTTTTGCTCTTTTTCTAGAAAGTTTTCATTACAAGAACGATCATAACACAGCTGCATTAGCAGTGTTCAAAAGTTTTGGTTGGTAATTTCCCCATGTGTTACATAACGACATACAAGATATCACAACTGGAAAGAAATGGAAAAGTGCTATGCCCAAAGGCAAAAGCACTGTGCAGCCGAACTGCCGAACCGACCTGAAAATAGCCGAACTTGGCCTTCCAAACCGAACCTGAACCGAACCGAACCAAAATGTCAGTTCGGAAGAGTTCGGCAAGTATTTGTTGCTAGCGCTAGGAATGCTAATGCTTGCAATGAAAGGACAAAATTAAAGCGCACGGATGATTGAATTTACCATGTTGACAAGTCACCGCATTCATCTTCATTATTTGCCGTGTTTTAGCAAGGCATACAATAAGATATCGGGCCGATACGCTTTGAAAAAATTGTACGTACCTTGCGATTTTCTCAATGAAAAGTGTGCTCTTTGCATGTAATTCATCCAGCGTGGTCAGTATCTGGCCCTGCTGCGCCATGTTCCATGTTCATGGACCAAACCAATTGCGGTGAAGGGTGTGCTTTCCTCGGCAAAATTTACCAGCATTTTCAGTTTTTTTTCACCATGTCAACATTACAAAAAAATACTTTTTATGGAGTCTGAAACCTTTCCCATGTTCAGAATAAGTTCTTAATTTTCGCAATATATTTTTTTTCGTAAAGAACGTATATGAAAAAGAGGGTGAAACACCCCTTTACAAAATTAATGGATCCATCCACAGAATGAATATTCATGACAGTCGCGAATCAAAAAGTTATTTTTTTTTACGGTAGCTACTTGTCAGCTTGTTGCTAAAATAATCATGATTTCATAAGTTTGGCACAGTAAAAGGACGTGTTACGGACGGGACGGAACTCGTTGGGAAAACCGTCAGCACGTGTGGGAAAATTTTTATCATAGTCAACTCATCCTTCAACTTGTGTTGTATAGCATGTGGAAATTGCGGTGCCTATTCCTGTCAGACGTGCGCGGTGCACATGTTTTTGTTTGAACAGGGGAACAGCCTATGTGTTTTTCATTGTAGCCCAATACATTGTACCATGGACATGTACACATACATGTACATTATGTATGCACTTCCGAAGCCGAACCGAACGAACGGAACCAACATTTGAGGATCAGTTGCAGCACTCTATACAACCATATTCACACATGTTCTTCTTATGTAAGGTTTATACCAGTACTATTCAGAATTTGTCATATTGCCTATGGCTTTTCTGATATCTATAAACCAGTGTGCAATGTGACTTGGCTTGCTTAATGGGTGATCCACTTAGCAGCCTGTATTATGCACAGGAAACCTTTCCAAATTGTGAAGTCTTTACTTCATGATTGCATATATCAGTGGCTTTAACCATTGATGAGGTTGGTTCATATTCTACTCAAATTGAAAACAAACGTGAACACATATCTGTAATGTCACAGCAAGTATTCGCGCTGGAAATTTGCAAAGTGTTAAATACAATTCAACTCAAATCAAGGATGCTGTGATATTTTGCCATCTGCTGCTTTCTTAATTGCAGGCAATACCATCTGGCACAGACAACGAAAAGGAAATTGAACTTCTGAAGGCTGAACTACACAAATATGAAGATGAACTTGAGAGAGCTAAAGCAATGCAGCAGGAAGCAGCTCAAGAGCAAGCCATGCAAGACCAGGAGGAGATCAGGTCTCTCCAGGAGGAGGTCAAGTGGTACCGAGAGGAACTTGAGAGAGCCAAGATGGCCCATGAGAAGACAACTCAAGAACAGGTTATGCGAGACGAGAGAGAGATAGAAATGCTGAGGGAGGAACTGCGGCGGTATGAGGATGAGCTGAGAATTGCCAAGGAATTGCAGGAAAAGACGGCAAAGGAACGAGCAGAGATGTCCCAGAAGGACGTTGCCATCATCAAGGTTTGTAACCCTCTCTCTCAATTAAGAGTCGAGGCAAAAATTGGAAATTTAAGATTTTTTTTATAAATGAATCTTGTTAAAACACCAGCTTCCGAGTGATACATGTTTCTACTGCACTCATCTTACCAGTAGAGCATTATGACATGCATTATTCCCTTGAGGGCGTTGGACATTCGCTAGATGGATTTTCTCACAGTACCTTGCAGCCCACCTGCCATGACATTTCCGTTTTTAGAGCTTCTCTTTCTATCTCCCTTCCAGTTTCCTTCAAGTGTCTTTGGAACAGATTGATGTGAGGTTTTTGTGCTGCATCCGATGTTATTTTTTGTCCAAAGTAGAAAAACTGGTCACTTTTTGATCCAAAAAAAAGGGAAGAAATAAAGAAGGTTTGACAAGATGTCTAGCACTTTTGCCAACGAGACATCGTCTTTCTTAGTGAACAAGGCAGATGTTAGCCATTTACTTTCTTCTGCTGACTCATCTTTCCCTAATGGGCTCGATGGGCTACTATTCACTGGCTTATTATTTGCAAGCCTGTCAAACTTGACTCCAATATGCTGTTAATGTATGTGTTCACTCCAGCCCCATTCATGGCCCTCTATTACACTTGGTCACATCCGGTCTGCTGCCTGGTACTGAGATCACATGCCTGCCTGTACCCTGAGTAGATGTTAATGATCAGGACCCTTGACAAACACCTCACTGCTGGGTGGAGGAGGGGTGATAGGCTTTTGTCAAATGCCTTGTTCATGGCAGATATTCACTGTAATGAAACAATGGCAGTCTTGTGGGGTATATCCCTACAGTACCGATCACTCTTAACCTACCACCGGTTAACGGTAACCAATGGTTACCTATAATCCCCCCCCCCCACTATTCTCGTTGCGTTGTTACGATAGGACGCATAACAGTATATTCTTATCCAATTGGTAAACAGTCTGCGGTCAGGCTAAGGTCGTAAACTTCCTGTCTTCGTTCATTGAATCCATAAACAACGTTCCCCCTGCAGCAGCCTACACATCGTTTTATTGTTCCAGTACATGGACTTGTGGTTAGATAAGTGCAGTCATAAAATCCTGGGGTCAATTATCTGTTATCGTGTATCAACTTTTGACCACAATCTTTCCAGCTTCAAGAATGCATGCGATATGCATGCAGGCATGGCCGATGTATGGTGCAAGTACCTCCAAGGCCGCTTATCAACAAAGATATACAATGTATAAGTTTTGAAGTTCGCCTGTCAATCATTGTCTCGAAATGGCTTTCCAGACAAGAATATATAGGACACTATTTTATTCCCCAGCTGTAATTGGGGGACACGTATAAAAATGTGCTTGGTCGTTTTTTTTAAGTAAAACAACGACAAAGACCTACACGAACTCTCTGTTAAATATCCTGTGGATTCCTGGGAAAAATTTAATAAGAACTATGCTTAGTTTTCTTAACAAATAATATCAAGGTTGGACCATCAACTAAACGTCAAAGAATATTTTAAATATATATATTCTAGAGTAACATTTATACAAAATAATAGGCAGTGCGTTGTTATTTTTTAATAAACAAATTGTCATACCCCGCTGCTGAGTCAGAGAGAGACGCCGAATGTGATTTAAGGGGTTAATTTAATACAATTTGTCTGGTCCTCTCGATTTTTGAAACAAAACAATTCCCTACATCCTAACCCATTAAATTCTGAACTCCTCGTTAAATCCTGCGAATTCGTGGTTTTATTTAATATGAATTGTTCTAAATTTTTTCTTATTTTTAAAGGAATAAGGGTCAAGATTACCAACAGCCCTAGGTCTTTTAATCGAACAATCAAATATATTCTAAAGTACATTCTAGAGTAATATTAAAACAAAATAATAGGCCATGCGCTGTTCTTGTAATGTTCTTTTTTAATAAATGAAGAAAATCGTCATTCCCATTTAGGCAAAAAAATACTTCTGCTTCTGATTACATGCTTTTCCAAAATTGGGTCGGTCGGTCGGAAATTATATTTTTTTTGCCAATTTTTTTTTAATGCGGTTTGAATGGGGTATTCAATTATATGCAATGTTTTAGACTGAACTTTTTCCATTGCACTACGAAAGCTATACAAAAAATTGCCACAAAAAGTGAACGCTAGTCAAGACAGGAAACTGGCCAAAACTCCGTAATTCATGCGTGAATGCATGTGTGGCCAGCGGGCGACAGACCTCGTTTTAATTTTTACTGTGGACAATTTTGGGGAAACACGCTGCATCGTATCACTCCAAATACGAGTACCCCCGGTAGTGCCATCTCAAAATGAACTCTTGAACACGGAAAATACATGTACACAGACAAGAGAGACCAATTTCTGTGAATAAAATTCCAAAAATGTTCCTTCTCCATCGGTGTTTTCTTGGCATTTTTACGATGTCGAATCCGACTGACCAGTAAACAGTGCACCGCGTAGGCCTTCCATGCTAGCACTCTACATGTATGCACAGACTGGTTATCGCACTTTTTTGCCTTATTTTCCTAGCCTCGGAGACAGCGAGAGAGAGAGAGAGACACCGAATACATTCAAGGGGTTAATTTAATATAATTTGTCTGGTTCTAAATCTCTTGATTGTTACAATAAAAATGCGATTTCAAACATAACTCAAAAGTCCTAGCCCATTAAATTCCGAACTCTTTGTTAAATCTCCTGTGGATTCCTGTGGAAAATTTAATACGAATTATGATGCTTAGATTTGGTTATTTTCAGGAATAACATCAAGATTATCAGCAGCCCTTGGACTTTTGTACTGAACGTCAAAGTATATTTACACAATAAAAGGCCATGCCCTTTTATGTTAGAGAGAGACGCCAAATACATTCAAGTGGTTAATTTAATACCATTTGTCTGATTCTCTTGATTTTAAAATAAAACGATTTCCAACGTCCTAGCCCATTAAATTATGAAATCTCAGTTAAATCTTCTGTAAACTCCTTTGGGAAAATTTAATACGAATTATGCTTAGTTTTGGTTATTTTTAAAGGAATAAGATCAAGATTATCAACAGCCCTTGGACTTTTATACTGAACGTCAAAATACATTCTAGAGTAACATCTAGCCTACATGGAATAATGTAAGCACAGTGGGATTTTTTGGGGGGGGGGGGTTTAAATGAAGAATAGAGTCATACCCCGAAAAAAACGACATGGAGGGCCCTGCATTTAATGAATTATTTTGGGACTTGGAATATCCCTACCCAACTCGTTATTTTTTCATGTGCATATTCACAGAAGGGGCCTGGGTGAAATTTCAGTTTACCTCATTTTCTGTTTAAAGTTTTCATGGTCTTTGAAAATAATGCCCAAATAAAATCTTTAAAAAAAAAACCTTCCCAGCAGAATGATTGATGGCCGCATTGTTCAAATTGATACAATACATCTGTTGCTCGTTATATACAAAGGATCTGTTTGGTATCAGCTAAAGGCGCCGCCGAACTTTGAGGACGATGTCTGATGAACAGTCTCAGCCAATTAAATAGCCGGTTCCGGTAAATAAATACGCCATTGGTTGCTTTCTTCACGGACCATTTATGCTTTCATGAATATGACGCGCCTTCCACACTCAAATGGATATTGATGGCCAATGGCTGGAATTCCTTGCTAGGCTGAGCCGCAGGTGCAGCATGCCCACTGTCACATTCCAACCTGGTTGCCTAGAGATACTGTTGCTAGGGCGGCTCCCCTGTGATGTCCCAGACTGCCGGTTGCGTAGCCAGAAAATCTTGCATGGGAGAGAGAGGGTGTGACTATATTTTCTTGAATGCTGACGCTTTGGGGAAATTTGTGAAGGCAACAAACAAAAAAAGTTCTGCTTTCGATTTATATGCCATTCGAAAATAGGGTTGGTAGGTAGGGAACTGAAATTTTTGCCATTTTGGGGGGGGTACGATCATATTATGAGGCGTCTGCGTGTAATCAAGGGTAAAAGGTAGGAATTGATGGTTCTAAGGTGTTTTTTCCTTCATTTTTCCCATAAAAAATAAGATAGGTATACGGCTGTCAAAATAAGGTAAGTCGTGAAACCGGAAGCAGAACTATGTTTTGGGCCTAAGATGCGGCTTCTATTTCGTCAAATAAAAAAAACCACAAAATAATAGGCCATGCCCATTTATTTACCCGGCCTCAGAGAAAGAGATGCCGAATACATTTAAGGAGTTAATTTAATACAATTTGTCTGGTTCTCTTAAAAAAATTCTGAACTGTCAGTTCAATCTCCTGTGAATTCCTGGGGAAAATTTTTATATGAATTATGCTTAGTTTTTATTATTTTTAAAGGAATAAGATCAAGATTATCAACAGCCCTTGGACTTTTATTAATACTGAGCGTGAAAAATATATTCTGGAGTAACATCTACACAAAATAATGTAGGCAATGTTATGGTTTTTTTAAGCGAAGAATAATATCAAAAAAGACATGGAGGTCTCTCTCCATTTAATGAATTATTTCGGGACTTGGAATATCCCTACCCGACTCGTTATTTTTTCATGTGCATATTCACAAAACCGGCCTGGGTGAAATTTCAGTTTCCCTCATTTTTTGTTTAAAGTTTTCATGGCCTTTGAAAAAAATGCCCAGATAAAATCTAACAAAAAAACCCTTCCCAGCAGAATGATTGATGGCTGCATTGTTCAAATTGATACAATACATATTCGTTGTTCGTTACAAAGGATCTGTTTGGCATCATTTACAGGCGCCGCCGAACTTTGAGGACGGTGTCTGATGAACAGTCTCAGCCAATTAAATGAGCCGGTTCCGGCAAATAAATACGTCATTGGTTGCTTTCTTCACGGACCATTTATGCTTTCATGAATATGACGCGCCTTCCACACTCAAACGGATATTGATGGCCAATGGCTGGAATTCCTTGCTAGACTGAGCCGCAGGTGCAGCATGCCCACTGTCACATTCCAACCTGGTTGCCTAGAGATACTGTTGCTAGGGCGGCTCCCCTGTGATGTCCCAGACTGCCGGTTGCATAGCCAGAAAATCTTGCATGGGAGAGGGTGTGACTATATTTTCTCGAATGCTGATGCTTTGGGGACATTTGTGAAGGCAACAAACAAACAAAGTTCTGCTTCCGATCACATGGCATTCAACAATAGGGTAGGTTCGGTAGGTAGGGAATTGAATTGAAGTTGAATTTATTTTTTATTTTTTTGGCATTTTTTTTGGTACGATCATTATGGAGACGTCTGCGTGTAATCAAGGGTAAAAGGTAGACATTGATGGTATTGGGTGTTTTGTTCTCATTTTTCCCATAAAAAATAGGGTAGGTAGGGAAACCGGAAGCAGAACTTTCTTTTGGCCTAAGATGCGGCTTCTATTTCGTTTAATAATTTTTTTAAGAAAATCTGAGCTTGAACGTTACAAAATACAAATAAACGATCTTCCTCAGGCCTGGAAAATGTCTTTCTTGAAGTGACATTTTTGAAGTGACACTAGATTTGACAACACTAGCAGAAGATTTAGTTCTTCTTACTTTGTATTTCGCCTCAGGAAAACAGGTTTTTTTCTAACATCATTTTCTAACATCGTATTCCAAAAAAAAAAATACCCAGGCGGCCTCTCCAAGAAAGAAGCCTGATTCCCCCCCCCCCCCCCCCCCGCATGATAGGCCTTTTTTAGACCGCTCTACGTACGTACTATACTGTAGAACGTTTTCGTGAAATGTTCTGAAAAGGTATTCACTCATCATACTCGTACTGTAGTGTAGCGGCCTGTTGGTATGCTGGTGTGAGTAAGTGTAGAATTACTCTAGGTAACAATGTTATTATCTCGCAGTGTTTGCTAAGGATTAAGCACAGATAGGAAGCGTTCACCGTCCTCATAAGAAACAAACTACCACCACGAGATCTGCCTGTGGTTGACTGGTAAACAAAACAACGTGTACTGCAGCAATATAACGATATCGACTTGCCACTTGACCGCAGGATCGCTTGTGGTTTTTTAATCCCGATAAACTGCCTTCCGTAGTGGGCAGGGCTGAAACCCTTTGACGAAGAACGTGTTTACCGTTTATCAGGAATTATTAACGCTGAGCGGTACTGTATATCCCGCCCCCTCCTCCACCCTCCCCCCAAACCTTACCCCATCCCCCCACCCCCGCCTACATTGTTCAAACAAAATGAGGGTGGTCTCTTAATGTTCATTAACCGGCAGGGTAGGGCCTTTTACCTTCACTAGGCTTTTTCCATTGTTAGGGTAATTAGGACCTAGTTGTGGGGACTTTTTGCAGCCCCCACAGCGTCTTCGGTCCCCATATTACAATGGGAGAACTCATGTGTAGTCCCCACAAATGAGGAACAAGAATGGTTATACATGTAGACACACCACTATCACCCCCCCCCCCCAAACCTTACCCCATCTCTCTCCCCCCCCCCCCCCCCAAAAAAAAAAATTGTTCAAACAAAATGATGGTGGTCTCTTAATGTACATCAACTGGCAGGGCAGGGCCCATTCCCTCTGCCTCTGGCTCCTAACATGGTACTTCCCAAAGGAGTTCAACCTTTAGCCTCTGCTACCACTCCTGTTTTTCAAAGTCTCAGGCATGGCAAACTCCTTACTGTAGACCAACTGTTTGCCTACATTTCTCTCTCAACTCTCCTGAGTGTCCAGGAAAATCTCCCGTAAATTAGCCATTTACGGCTGGACAGTTCTTCAGTTTGTGGTTGCACTGCCCATGCACATACCTCAAGGCGGGGTTTTATACCCAACTCACCCAACCTCTGTCATGGCTCCTTGGGCAGGTTTCATACTATATAAGTACATGTAACTTGGGCCCCTGAGCCCCTCAGTTACATGTAGGCTGCTGTCCTGGACATCTCATTGGCGACGGCTTTTTGATGGCAGCCATGGCTTGCCGCAGAGCAAACTCCATACCTTGACCCTTACTCTGTTACATTCCTCTTGAGTCAGGCTGTAGATGTCTTCACCCGATCATAGCTCCTCTCTTGTGGAGGACAAGTAAGTGATGATTTATCAGTCTGACATCTTGATACCCAACTTCAAATCTGTCTCATCCGTTTTCGACGATACATTGTAGACTGTGGATGCCATCTGTGCCCTGAAATGGTACTTGCATCGGATGGCAACCACCTGGGGCGACTGTCAGACTATGTGCTTCCAGCACCTCACAACACTATTGCCTGCAGGGCTGTGTCTGCCATGCGCTCGGATTCTAGAGATTGGTCTGAGTCCCCTGACGAAGTGCACGCCTGTAAAGTCCACAGCATAGCTTCCTGGCAGGCATTTTGCAATGGTGTACATCATGTACCACTTATGGACATCATGCAAGCTACATGCTGAAGTCCACTAGCACATTCACAACCTGCTACCTCGGGACATGCTGCAGACCAAAGACAAAACAGACCATGCAGCCCCCAGACTTACCACTGTTGATTCATAGGGCACATGCTGCCTTGCAGCTTGCTACCGGGTTGTACACCTTCATGTTGTATGCTTGAACCCACCTTCCTGTAACAGTGCTACTCTGCATAAATGTATGTAGTAATTCTCTAGGGGTAAGACAAGTGCAGTAGATACCCCCCCCCCCCCAACAGAAGTGTGGTTTGATTCTACTAGTGAGTACTTACCTGGGTTGAGTGCCTCCCGCCCCTCCCCTCCCCTCCCCTTCCTTGCTCCCCCCTTCCCCTTCCTCCCCACTCTCTTCACTCACACGCTTGCACTCTGAGAAAAGAGAAAGTGTCATGGCGCTGGCCGCAAGGTACCGTGAAAAAGTAACTCTTATCAGTTGGCTAGCACCCTTAATGGAACAATGCATATGTAGTCATGCTCTACAGGTAAGTACATTTCTGTGGGGTGGGGAATCACTTGTTTCACACAGCTTCTTAATGTTCAAGCTTCTGAACTGCTCAAAATTGTTTTCTTTGGAAAATTAATTATGAAAAATATTGCCATGAATTCTCATTGCAGAAATTTGAGCTTGAGAATAGCCGTCTTAAAGACAGGATCTTGGAGCTTGAGGCAGACGTGGCCACTAAATCTAAGATCATGGTAGAGACTGAGGCCAGTCACAAAAAGCAACAACACCGCCTGGAGCGAGCAATAAAGGAACAGGCTTCTCGCCTGAAGGCGGTGGAGATGGAGTTCTCTGACCTTAAAGCTAATCCACAGGTATTTCAATTCCATCCAATTTCCACTACCCAACCCTTAAGTGTATAGAATGAAGGGAAATGCAACTAGAATTTACAGAGCGAAATGTATTCCCATTTCTCTTAAAACCACCCCAGCACTGTATGGTTTTGGGGCAAATGAAGCTTATTATGGTGGGCATGGTGTAGGGCCAATGATTTTCCGTTCAGAAAAGTGCAAATTCCGTTTTCAAAAATCCTGAATTCCGTTTCAGGCTGAAAAATTCCGTTTCACATTTATTCAATACATAAAAAGGCATTTAAACATATACCATGTACACAGTAAATAATTCCAAGACTATAATGAAATAGTCGTTTGGTTGGAGCGCGGGAAAACTGCCCCAAAAAGATTTCTATTTTATCAACGGCTGATCAATGTACAGACATACAGTAGTATTTAACTTCACCACAGTCAAGTCGTATACTGCACTGCCACTGCCACACACGCAAGAAACATGCAATAGCCGTACAGACCAATCCCAGGACGTCACACACATCAGCTGGCCGAAGCGAAATTCATGTTCGCCATTTTGTTTTCGGGCTAACGTTAGCGACAAAATAGGATAGTTTACGCATGGAGGAATAAGAACACACGGTAGATTTTGGACCTAAGCACAACATGCATTTCAATAGAGCCAAAGTTAGATGTTATACGAATGGTTGATTGATTGAACAGAGAAAAATAAACCTGCCGATGGAGCAAAAAAGACCCGCGAGAGCGTGCCGTGAGTGTGATGATTTTCACCGTTGCGCTGACCGACAGCTACGGCATGCGTCGGGACTGTCACTCCCGTGACTACGCGTACTACGGTAATGATCTCGCAACATTTATTGCTCTGATCTTGAACGTTTTTGTCCCCCCAAAATCGTGATATAAACACTGCTCATTTGTTGTATGGCTCGTCTCTTCAGTCAATCATCAATAATTCGTTTTGTTCTCAATAAATTTAACGAAATTATGTTTTTTATCAATAAAATTGCAGAAATTATTTTCTTCAGATTCAAATTCCGTTTTCCGTTTCGAGGAGCAGATTCCGCGAATTCCGTCCGTTTTCCGCGATCGCGGAAAATCATTGGCCCTAATGGTGGGGTCTGCAGATTCCACATTTAGTTCTCAGGAAAGAAATATATATATACTAAATTAGTAATGGGCAGTAACGAAAGGTTTCACCCTTACTCCCTTCTTATATTTAATAAGAACCATTTGTAATCCACCTATATTCCAACACAGTACTAATATAACTATATGTTTGACTTGGGACATTAGGCCAGTGTAAAGTAAAAGAAGCTCTACAGTTTGAATCCAGAAAAGTTCAATGGTTTTGGATGTGTATGGTTAAAACCAATGTTGGCTTTTCAACAACTTATTAGTGGAATTAATCTTTCTATCCCAAGGTGGTTGAAGTTGTCAAGACAGTAACCGTGGAATCAGAGGAGGCCAAAGATGCCGTGGTTGCTGCCCAAAAAACTAACATCAGACTAAGACAGCAAGTCACAACTCTCAAGGAGTCTTGTGAGGCCACAGAGAAGCAGCTGAAGCACTCCAAGACACATGTGCTGGCACTCCAGGAGAGGGTAAGATTTAGAGTGCAACTTGCTTAATGACTGGATGTTTTCATTCCTTGGATTTTCAAATGAACTTTCTTATTCAATTTTCAAATGATTTTGTATTTGTTTCTTTTGTTTTTAGGGATTTTGAATTTAATGACTTGATGAGGACTTTTGCATTAAATGTTACTTGCGCATTTGAAAGGGAAAAAATGTGCTCTTAAATGTTTGTATTGCCTTCATGCAAGAACTGTTAATGACACTATCTTGCCTGCTGGTGTGAAAAGAGTTCTACATGTATATTAAAGGGAGCACTGGAAAACTGGTGGCCCTGGTGGCCCTGGTGGTGGAAAGTTTTGGTTAACTGAAATGCCATGGAGTACCATTGGACACCGAATGCATGATCTGTGGGTAATTCTACAAGTTGTGGGTTCGAGTCCAGCCTGAGGCTTAGCGGTTGTGGTGTGTTGTTCCTTGGATAAGAGACTTTGTCACTATTTGCTTCTCCCCATCCAGGGGTAAATGGGTATCTGTGAGGGCAAAGACGGGTACTGTGATTGATTTTAGCATCAACGTTTTTGCTTCCCAGGGAGCTTAGATGGTCTTTGGAATATTTTATTGGCCTAATGAGCAGGGGTAATAATGACATTGTGATTGGAGCACCAAAACTGGTGGATGTATTTTTGCAAAATTTAATGTGAAGTCCCATCCTTATTTGATTGTTGCAATTTGGCCACAGCTGCAGGAGCAGGAATCCCAGATGGCCATCTTAGACAAGGAGCTTAAGGCCGTCATGGAGCGCTCAGCGGCTGAAGTCACAGATGCTCGTAAGCAAGGAGAGGAGATGGCAAGAACACTCACCCAACGCTTTACCGCTGTCCAAGCCAAGTTTGCCAACATCCGTCCTGGTCTCCTGACTGTAGCTCAAGAATACCAACAGCTGCGGTCACTCTGCGCCCAGTTTCCCTCCATGCTCAAGGCTGCTATTGCTCAGGCCAAAGAAGAAGTGAGTTGACAATGCCATCAATTACAAAACGGTTCCAATTCTGGGACACACTTAAAGTAAAGCATCCGTGTGCTGTTCCTGATTAAAACCTCACTTCAGTCAATTTACTTTGGTCAACAGAACTTTATGAAAATTGAACTTAGACAGTTTTCCCTCTGGAAAAAAAACAGTCCTTTTAAATTGATATGCTTGGGCAGGATCTGGTAGTTCTACATTTTTAAGTTGAAATTCTGTTGTTTTGGCTCTGTCACATTGTTATGATATTTGTTCAAACCTACACATGCATGTACTTGTGCATTCCATTACATCCCTATTAAATGTTCAAATTAATAAACACCATGATAGAATGTCAGATGAATATCCACTAATATATGTAGGCCTATCAGTTCTGTATAAATGTATGTTTTTGTCACCAATTCAAAAGGCAAAAACATTACCCTCACTTTAACCCTAACCCTGCAGATATTTGTCTAGAAAAGTGTCCAACTCAACAACTCGCAACACTTGTCAACGTGAGATGCCTGCCCAGTAAAACAAGATCCAATAGGTCAATTGTCCGAAGGCAAAACACACTCAAAAGTCCAAGGCTGCTAGCCTGCACAGGATCACACAATGGCATTGTTCAATGGGACTAGTTCCCATTGTCTCAGCATTGGGCTTTTGCATCTTGTTGTATTTGGTAAGGTTAAGGTAATAGTCCAACTGTCTTAATGGCCTAAATGTTTGCCATTTATTCCTTCATCATCCAGATTGGCAAAGCTCTAGCTGACATCACAGAGCACAACAGAGAGCTAGTGCACAAGTACCACAAGGAGATGGCCCTGCGAAAGAAGTATCACAACGAGATCATAGATCTCAAAGGGTCTATCCGTGTTTTCTGCAGGGTCAGACCCATTATAAGGGAGGACGGTGCAGGAGCCCTTTCCAAAAATGCTGTCAGCTTAGATGTTGATGATGATGCCCTTATCTACCTGCAAAATAAGGGCCGGTCAACGACATTTGAGGTTGACAAGGTCTTTGCAGCAGATTCGACGCAGGAGCAGGCAAGGATCCTACCAACTATTCTTGAACTAGAATGTTACACTATCATTAGGAAAACATGTATTACTCACAAGTCTGTGCATATAATTTAGACCTGCAATCTTCAAGATCTATCTCGGCTTTTTTCTATTTAACTACATGTAATTTTGCACAGTATTAGAACAAAATTGTGACAGTTTCATTTGATTATCATTGACAAGGTACATGTACAATGCACATGTACCTGCAAGATTTGCTTTGTGAGAATTAAGCACCAGTATGCACTAAGATCTTTAAGACATCGTGTTTACTTTTTGGAAAATCTGCGTGTGTATTTGTCACCTTTCCCCCTTCAACAGAACAAATAAATGCTCTGCCTGTTATGTCCCTCACAATTGGTTGCAGTCGATTACTGTGTCTTTGTTCATTCAGATCTTTCAGCTATTGAGGTTCTTGTCCTTATTTCTTTTTCCCACAGGTATTCCATGAAGTTCAGCCCCTTGTGGTCTCCAGTATTGATGGCTACAATGTCTGCATCTTTGCCTATGGACAAACAGGGTCGGGTAAAACTTACACCATGGAGGTAAATACAGTGAAATCTGAATTCCTTCTTTAGTTATAAAATGTGCAGAGTGCATTTTTACAACTGAGAATGTACATGTAGTACAACAAGCAGATAAAATATCACCAACCGATTATGTAATAACAATTGACTGATACTAACCAATATTAATAAATACCTTGGAGAGTTGATGGTTTCTGATTGGTCGAGACTCGATCACGTGGCCGGGCATTAACGGTGATAATGGACCGGCTTCAAAGATCAAGCGAATAAATGGCCACTGAACCAGCATTGATCAAGCCCCGTTCAGCCCCATGCAAGCCAATGATTGGTCAAAATTAGTAACAGTCCTGCGGTAGCTTGTAACAATAGAGCACTGCACATGCGCTCAACCCCCATCGCGTGAGACTGACGCGCGCGTACGCAACACAGTTGCTAGGGATGCGTGCGTGCACGCGCGTAAGGAAGTTTTGAAACGACATCATACAGCAGTGCAGTATATACTGAGGATGTTTACGACGAAAGCGTAGATCTACGATTTATTTTCTTTGAACACTTCACCCACCGACATATTTACCTTTCCTAAACCAAGCATCTTTGTAATTCCGGACACAAGGAATATGTAAACGAGATTTCAGCTTCCTCCATCAGGTAAAGATATGAAAACATTGTTGTAATTTGTTTCGCTACGGCAGCAGTTTCTGTTGAGTTTACGTCGTTATAGCTGTTAAGCTAAAATATGGCCCATGAACATGAACACAGAAAATCTGGAAATATCGCCGAAAGAAAGTCGCAAAATTGGAGCATTTTAATTGTTTATTTCGTTAAAAAGGTATTTCTTAATGGGAATAACAGTGTGAGGATCCGGTCTTCACTGCGTGATAATGACCGGGTGTCGGGGTGACCGCTGTTAATGGACCTCGACTTCGTCTCGGTCCATTAACAGCGGTCACCCCCACACCCGGTCATTATCACGCAGTGAAGACCGGATCCTCACACTGTTATTCCCTTAATGTAACACAAAATTGACTGATAGTGTAGTAAATGTTACTACACTTTAAGTTAAGTTTTGTTACATTTTCAGTTAATGTAACAACAATTGACTGATAGTGTAGTACATTTTGCTACACTATGGGTCAATTTTGTGTTACATTATCGGTTTATTATCGGTCACTTTTGTGACATTATCAGTTGGTGATGCGTTATCCGTTTGTTACTACATTACCAGTTGTAACAGTGCATATTTTATTCACAAAATGAAAGTTTTCTGCAGATGGACACTGTTCATTTTGTGTGACTTAAAATAAACAGAAATTCACTCTTTATTTTTCATGGTGTTGACGTGCTGGGTTACCCCTGAATGATTCTGAGGCTTGCTACCTGATTCCTGATTTTGTAATGGGGAATCAAGTTGTTGATGCTGTTAAAAAATGATCGATCTCATCAAAGACATTTGACCCTAACCCACTATGGTAATGTAGCTAACAACCGTGCTGAGCACACCAACATGCAACACTTGTCAAAATGACAAGCCTGCTCAGTGAAGCACGATCCAACTTGTCAACAATCTCAAGGCCAAACTGCCTCAGAGTCGGTGGTCACCAACTGCAGCAAGATACAACTGTGGTATTCTTCAGAGGAACTAGCTTCCATTGTTTCAGAATTGGCCGTTTATGCACTGGTGTTGATGGCTCAATGCAGCAAGGTCTCATAGATTTTTGCACTGTGTTGCGTGTGCCAGGGTTATGGATAAGAGTAAGACAGTGGAAATTTATGCACAACTATTGGAAAGGACCTGGCCCACAAGAAAATACAAGTTGATATATTGGCTCATCGTAAACCCTTGGTGCACAGATTATTTAGATTAAATACACATACATGTATTATAGCATTTCTTGGGCGGTTGCCAAGGACCCGCCTTTGCACCAGGGTTGATAAGAGCTAACTAATTTTAAAGGTACATGCTATTTCATGAAGTGGTTGATTCACTTATAACAAATGACAAACAAGGATAATTAGCTATGTCATACATTGCATAATGCATACCCATCTTTATTTGTTGGAATTGTACATACCGTAATTTTCGGAATATAAGCCGCGTGGAGTATAAGCCGCAGCACGCAAAAATCTGCAAATTCAGATTTGAAGTTGGCGTATAAGCCGCAATTTTGTAAGGCCTCCAAATTCTAGTGAAAATGCTCTGAACCAGTTCCATTTACACTACAGAAGCTATAAAAAAAAAGGGCCACAAAAGTTGTATTAAATCATTTACTCTTACAAACAAATGTGGAAATTGATGATGAGAAATAAACACTGGGAATTGCTGCCGGCTGCCCCGTCTGGTCCCAGGCCGTAAAAGTTAGTGCATCGCCCGGCAGCCTGCGCCGCGCCGGTGAATGACAACATTTTCCCGCAGCACGTGAGAGAGTATGCATCCCACCGGGATTTTCCCCCACCGCGTGTATTGTCTGACTGGAACGCTACGTACAAATCTTGCTTTGTGGCAACAGATGCTGAATTGTTTTGTCCTAAGAATAAGCAGGTCCGTTTTTACCTCAAAACTTATCAAATTGTTGTGATGACTAACGAGTAGTAACTTTAAAAATTCAAGTTTTCGATTGTAACTTTCTTCGAAAATAGTCAAAACGATGCTGCCATTTTCATGGACGATTCCATTAATTTTGTAAGGGGTGATTTAGTCCCTGTTTTGAGGTTTACATCGTTTCTTGAATACATTTCAAGAAAAAAAATTATATTGTGACGTTGAACAACTGATTATCGGATAAAGAAATGTTTCGAACACCATAAAAAGTATTAGTCGTCTTTTTTCTTTTTTTAAACAGCAGAAATATTGTACTTATTGTTCCCAAGAAAGTACACCCCTATATTACCACATATGGTGTGGTCCGCTGGGGGAAAGCATGCTGCATGTAGCAGCACTAGAATCACGTACGTACGGCTTGTCACAAGCGTCGATCGAAGACAGCATTCACCGTACTTTTACCGCTCGGCACCTTTACGTGGCACGTGGTTTCGGTTTGTTAATGACTTTCTTAATTGATCATTCATTTCAGCAACATACCTCTTCTTATATCAGTACATTAAATGCACATGTGAATTTCATTTTTATTCTTCAAGGCTCGGCGTATAAGCCGCCCTGTGTATAAGCCGCAGTAAACATTTTCATGGGCAAAATCAACGTATAAGCCGCGGCTTATATTCCGAAAATTACGGTACATGTAGTGTTGTGACACTGAATTATTTTGGAGCGTCCCTAAACACACATCCTGGTTTGTTTTTGTAACCTCCAGGGCCCTTCAAGCAACCCAGGAATCAACCAGCGAGCGCTACAGCACCTCTTCCAAGAAACAGAGCAGAGGACAGAGGAATGGGACTATACCATTACCGTCTCCGTAATGGAAATATATAATGAGCAACTCAGGTGAGAGAACTTGGAGTCGAGGCTGCATTTGGCCATGCATTGGCAGTATCCGGTTTTTACTGTGTACGCATTATTATCTACATTTCTAGTTCATGTATCACCATGACGGATGTAGTTTGCTTATTGTCCTACTTGCACGCAAAACACTAATTAATTATATGTGATCTTATCACCAACTTTAGCAGTGTAGGGACCATAATGTACTGGTACTTAATACTCCACCTTCTCAGTTCTATTTGAATTTAGTGCACATATGCAGTTTCTATGAAATGCAAGTAAGATGGTAAGTGGTGTGTCACATGTAAGTTGAACATGACAAAGTGGGAGGATCAGATGGCTTTGAAGGGAGGTGGAGGTACCTTTATTTTCAGTGTCGTTACTGGCCAGTGTTTTGTAATTAGGCTCCTAAGATGCCAAAACAGCATAGGAAAACCCTAATTGTGTCACAGAAACGTCATGTCATTTCATTTCCATATAATAACGTGGGAACCCAGCGAACTCCACCCAAAAATTCTAAGTTTGTGACATTATTAATTCCCAGTGAATCGGTCAGTCGGTCAATCGGTCAGTGAGTGATTTAGAGGACAATCGGCTAGCCCTTTGGGTCTAGCCAAAACAATTATCAAGATATTCAAAATTGAATATATTATTTTTGTCCATGCAGGGATCTTCTGGGCGATGATCCACAGTTCAAACTGGAGATTAAGATGAACCCAGACGGTAGCGGTCTGTATGTCCCTGGTCTGTGTGAGGTGGAAGTGGACTGTGTAGACGATGTCAATGAGGTAATACTAACTACAGTGGTGCCAATGTCGGGCGGAATTTGTAAACAAGTCATAATACCTTTGAATTAAAGATTATTGAGATGCTAAGCAGCTATATATATAAATAGATCTATTGTAAGAGTTACAATCAAGTCAGATCACATGTTATGTCGGATATACAGTGACAAAGGAATGTCTTTGTCCTGCTTCCTTTAAATAGCTGCTCATGGACTTGTGATCATACAATCATTTTGTAAAGACTTGATTTCAACACTGTCCATAAATAACCCCACTGCTGCCAATTTTCATCTTGGATAAACCTGCTGTTAGCACATAGCTGTTGAAAAATAAATGTTTTCAGTAATGCCAGCATTACAAAGAGAACAACAGGCTTTATGTTACAACATCTTTGTCTTTGTTAGGTTTTCCGCAGAGGTAAACGCAACCGTGCTACTGCCACAACGGACATGAACGAGCACAGTTCTCGCTCTCATGCGCTTCTTTGTGTCAAAATTGTGGGCTCGAACAAGACCTCAGGGAAGAGAGTCATGGGTAAGTCAAACAGAAATGGTCGAAATCAAAACCTAATTTTACAGGGAATCTTAGACAGAGATAAAATGACAGTGTCAGGTACTTTTTTTAGTTGCTTTGTACAAGACAAATAGTTTCAGTTAGACTTTAAGAAGATGAACCTCTCTCTCCATTATAAAATGTTGCTTCTGTAAAAATGGAAATTAAAAATCATTCTATCCTTTAGTGCTGCAGCCGAAATAACTAAAATTCGCCGAACCAAACGAACAGAACCAAACTGATAATCATTAGATAATCATTCGGAAACACAATTTTTAACGCCGCATATTTTTAATAATGCAATCAAAATAATAAGAACTTGCACCTTAAACCTCTCCAATTTTACTTCTAATTATTAAATAAGCATATTTTAGGCTGACAGTACCAACTTAAAATGAAAGGAAATTCACGTAGGCCGTCATGTCATGTCATGTCATGTAGTCAGTAATGGCACATACAAACTACAACAGCAACACAATCAAGGAAAGAAGAAATACAAAAGGGGTTATTTTCTGATTTCTGTTTGTGATGTCAAAATGTTGTTGCTCAAAAAGATGTGTTTTTGGTAAGACCAAATGCATGGGCGCCCCCCCCCCCCCCCACTTTTTTAAAGTGGGGGATATCATATCGTTTGTCCCCCCCCCCCCCAACTTTTTTGTCCCCGAATAAAAATTGTAGCCAACATAAGCTCAGAGAGCCGATTCAATGACTCCAAACTCGAAAATAATGTTTAAAAGATGATCTTTTGCTCACAAAACAGAGTTTTCAATTTTTGAGAAATCAATGAAAGTTGACGTCAGTCATGCATTGTGAATTAGTTAATTATTAAATTTGTCAATTGAACATCTTTTTTACTTAATTATACTGAACAACAAACTATGTGTTTAGTGAGTTAGTAATTTCCACAATTATTTCAACGAAAGTCTGTTAGGCCAAAAAAAAAAAGTCTCCGGTTTCTGGTATGGAGCTTACAATGTTACAATTGTGGTACACTCTATTGACAATCCTTCTATGTGATATGTTTTTTCTTTCAGGCAAGCTGAACCTGGTAGACCTTGCAGGATCTGAGCGAGTCAATAAATCAGGGTCCAGTGGAGATACTACCAGGCTTAAGGAAGCACAGAGTATCAATAAATCACTGTCCTCTCTGGGAGATGTCATCTTTGCACTACGCACCAAGCAGGGTCATGTCCCATACAGGAACTCCAAGCTGACATATCTGCTACAAGAATCACTGGGTAAGTACATTATGAGTGAAAGACAGAAACACGGAGGGCATGAAACAAAAAACTCTATTGGCATAAAAACCTTTCTCCCTGCCTTAAAGACAAAAAATCACAATTACACTTGCATTTTGCATACAAAACAAGATGCCAAAATAACTACCTAAACAGACCTGCCAACTAGTACGATTTTGCCGTATTTCGTACGGGAATTTGTTGTAAATACGACCGTACGTTTTCCCCCCATAAAATACGGGTTTTTACCATTTTGACACGCCTGAAAAAATCCTAGTTCAAAGCGGCCGTGGGTGTAAATTATGCTAGATAAAATTGGCTGAATCAACGTACAGTACATAACACATGTACACGCAGCAAACGATACGTACACGAACTGAATCTGGTTTCGCGATTCCCTCTGTACAATGTACATGTGTACACGGTATCAAAAACTAGAACCAGTCCGTTCCCGGAGTGTGCCGATACTTCAAGCAGCGGCACCCCTGCCGCAAAAATAAATGTCTGTATTCGTACACACACGTACCAGCAGGAGTACGTACGGCAGATCTTACGTGCAGTCAACCGACTTTCTTTTCTCGGTGCACGCACGATACGGTTGACGATAGTCACAACACGCGTGCACGTGTTCTGATTGTCAAACGTTTTTGATTACGTTCTGATATGAAAACAAAAATCGGGAAAATCAACAATGCCGCGCAAAGACCGGCCCAAACCGAACTGGAGAAATCAGCCAGCAAATGCAAGAAAATTGATTTTTTTTTTTTGGGTAGGCCAAGTTCTTTTTAATGTGTTTTTGTAAAATGAAACTGTTCGATCGCTGTGTATTTTATAACATTCAGTAGGACTATACTGATTTCTGCATGGTGCATGCAAATATGATTGAAAGTGGCAGTTTGTTTGGCGGCGACGTGATAAAACATGAATAAGTTTAGATTCTAATTTAAAACTTGGAAGTCCTTTGACGTTTCACTGACATCATAATTTTATTTATTTCAAACATTAGGGTTTAGTCTAGTCTTTAGTTAAGTACATCTAGACTTTTAATAGTTTTTGAAGCAGTTTGTTCATGAATAAGGTATATGATCAATATCCTTATTCATGCAAATTGTTTGATTGGGTTAACCACCCGCAGGGAGACCTCTGGTCATTTTTTTTTACTTTAATTAAGATGTAACGAGAGCATTGCAGCCACATTTATTTGTTCGTATAGCTCGTCTATGCATATTTTTTTAAAATACAGTTTTTTTTGTGAAAAATACAACTTTCGGAGATTCAGAATACAGTTTTTCGATCCCAAAGGTTGGCAGGTCTGCCTAAAATCCACAATTTAACCCCCCAAAAACCCATGGGCTTGTTTGGACCAAAAAAATACACTTAACCATATTCCATCTCACTGCCCGCCACATTTGAGGTTGTGATGCTTGTGGTTCTGCAGATTTCATAGATTGTTCACTTTTCAGCCATGTCCACTTTGCATGGAATTGGCCGTATGCAGGAGCTTTCTACCACGTGGTTCTTTCTGAAGTACCGGTATTTATAGGTCAAGAGCATTATTTAAATTTCATATTCCTGGACTTGACTAAACTGTTCAAGTTTCAAAGATAATGATTCCTACATTTGTAAAGAAAATAGTGAAAACTCAGACATTTATATTTATATCATAGTACAGTGGAACACCACTATAACGAACATCGCGGGATCCACAGAAATTGTTCATAAAAGCAATCATTCAGTATAGCGATTTTAAGCTGCCGGTGTTTCGGTACTCACTTTTCAATAAATAGCGCCCTTCAGAACTTCACCCTGCACGCCCTGGTAGTTACTGAAAGACGACTTTGAACACGTGCCGACTATTGAATTATGTAATTGCACAGTTTTTGAGCTTACTACCTATGGCAATGGGAGGCTTTCCCCTTCTATTCCTTAGGGAAATAATAGCCACTTGCCACTTCTGTTGACATTTTTCAACAACAGTATTCTGTATGTTTGGTACACAAAAATCGGGAGCCAAGGACGATGTTCGGTGTAGCAAAATGTTTGGTATAGCGGTGTTCGATATAGCAATGTTCCACTGTATATGAAGCCTGTTGAATGTTGTTGATGACAAGCTCAATCCAAAACTGAAATGTAAGTCACTGCACTTACAGAGCGTGACAGTAGACACAAATACACTTGAACAAATATGACAAGCATGGATCAACTGTCATGTTCTCTAGAGGAGCTTCCCTAAGAAAACAGGTACATGTATATCAAGGGTTTTGACCCTAGTATTTGTTTATATTGCTGGTCAAGATGATCATTATTTTGTGCATCTCATCAGGTGGGGACAGTAAGACCCTGATGGTGGTACAGATTTCACCTGTTGCAAAGAATGTGAGTGAGTCGCAGTGTAGCCTGTCGTTTGCTCAGAGGGTGAGGGCCGTGGAGCTTGGGGCAGCATCAAAGCGCACTGAGACTGCTGAGGTTGCTGTCTTGAAGGATCGCTTGGCACAGTATGAGGTAACAACCAGTGTTTGGTTTGATCTTAGTATGGAACAATCAGTGATCCCAAATTACCTTTCCATTTTTCTAGCATAGGGACTTTAGGGGCTTGATTACTGGCATCGTTGTACATGTATACATACTGGTTTATAGCTTTTGAATTGCGCCTCTTGAGAAAAGCCATTTCACATTCACAAAGAAGACTGGATAACTCAGTTTGTAGGACACCATAATGGTCTTTCAGGGAGTGCAAATATAAATCCTTTTCCCTTCAATGTTTGCTTCACCATTCAGATGCATTAAGTCGGTGTTTGTATTTTAACAAAAAGATGTTCAAAAAATGCATGTACCGTAATTTTCGGAATATAAGCCGCGGCTTATACGTTGATTTTGCCCATGAAAATCTTTACTGCGGCTTATACACAGGGCGGCTTATACGCCGAGCCTTGAAGAATAAAAATGAAATTCACATGTGTATTTAATGTTCTGGTATAAGAAGAGGTATGTTGCTGAAATGAATTATCAATTAAGAAAGTCATTAACGAACCGAAACCACGTGCCACGTAAAGGTGTCGAGCGGTAAAAAGTACGGTGAAAGCTGTCTTCGATATCGACGCTTGCAACAAGCCGTACGTGATTCTAGTGCTGCTGCATGCAGCATGCTTTCCCCAGCGGACCACACCATTTGAGGTAATATAGGGGTGTACTATCTTGGAAACAATAATTACCAACATTTCCGCTGTTTAAAAAAGGGGGAAAAACGACTAGTATTTTTTATGGTGTCCGAAACATTTCTTTATTCGATAATCCGTTGTTCAACGTCGCAATATAATTTTTGTACTTGAAATGTATTCAAGAAACGATGTAAACCTCAAAACAGGGACTACATCACCCCTTACACAATTAATGGATTCGTCCATGAAAATGGCAGCATCGTTTTGACAATTTTCGAAGAAAGTTACGATCGAAACTTGAATACTGCTCGTTAGTAATCACAAAAAATTTGATAAGTTTTGAGATTAAACGGACCTGTATATTTTTAGGACAAAACAAATCAGCATCTGTTGCCACAAAGCAAGATTTGTACGTAGCGCTCCAGTCAGACAACACACGCAATGGGGGAAAATCACGGTGGGTTGCATACTCTCTCACGTGCTGCAGGAAAATGTTGTCACAGGCCGGCGCGGCGCAGGCTGCCGCGCCGGGCGATGTATTAACTTTTATGGACGGGGAAGCCGGCAGCAATTCCCGGTGTTTATTTCTCATCATCATTTTCCACATTTGTTTGTGAGAGTATCGATTGTAAATGATTTGATACAACTTTTGTGGCCCTTTTTATAGCTTCTGTAGTGTAAATGGAACTGGTTCAGAGCATTTTGGCTAGAATTTGGAGGCCTTACAAAATTGAAACCGCTGCCGTCGGTGCGGCTTATACGCCGGTGCGGCTTATACGCCGACTTCAAATCTTAATTTGCAGATTTTTGCGTGCTGCGGCTTATACGCCGCGCGGCTTATATTCCGAAAATTACGGTAGTTAACTTTGGAAAGTATTTTGTAGTCATACGTATAAAACTTTAAATGAAATATAGTACATGAGTTGTAATTTACGGGAGTTGTGCAGTTGTTTCATACATTTATAAGTGAAGCAAGGGAAATCTGTTGGCTGCGTGTACTTTTGAACTGTGTGCACTTTTACTCATTGCCATCACTGACTGATAATGTCACTTTGTTCGTTGCAAATGACATATGAATCTTAGTTTTCAGATAAAATAATAATAATAAAATTCCTTCCCGCTCCTTCAGAAAGAAACAATATTCTTACAGGTTTCGTTCACATTCTTGCTTCCTTTTCCTTATGTAGGACGGTCCATCCTCTGGTTATCACTCCTCACCAACAAGGAGCAACAGGAGCACTCCAACAAAAACCCCTCGAGGCACCCAGAGAAAATAACTCCCTGTCACCACATAGCTCACAACCGTCTTAACTGCAACTAGGAGTAACAAAGGTGCACCACCAAGAACCACTCTAAGAAGAAGATATCTCCCTAACCTCAGAGTCTCTGTTCAGTCATCCAGTCACCAACTATGAACAGGGGTACCCCGACCAAGAAACCCTCATAGTACCCGAAGTTGATGGCTCCCTGATCACAGAACCCCTACAACAACCATCCAGTTACTATCTTTGAGCAACAGAAGCACCCTAAAAAAGACCCCTTACAGTATCCCATCATGATAGCTCCCTTAAACCTCTAGTTGCCAACTAGGAGCATCAGTGATACCCCAACAAGAAACTCATGAGTCACTCCAAGATTGTAGCTCCCTGACCCCAGAATCCCCCTTCAACCCTCCAGTCATGCCATATTGGAGCATGGGGGTTACCCCAAAAGGCACCTCAAGATAATAACTTTTGACCCCCGAATCCCATTCACTTTCCATTCCCCAATCAGGAGTAACTGCACTGATCAGGGGTACCCCATCTCAAAGCCCTTGAAGCTAATTCGTTGGCACAAGATGCATAGAACTGTGTTGTAGTACAACACCACCTTTTGTAGAGTAAACATACATCTCACATAAGCATGATGCAGTACATGTTGTGTACGTTGAAATGAAAAGATCAAGTTTGGTTGTGGACACAATCTCCCTCCACCCCCACACTCCCAGTGTCTGGTCAGGGAACAGACCTAATGTGCCATCTCAGTAGCTCATAAAGGAAGCTAAAACAGTAGGCAATATCTATGGCCTATAAAACCCTCTATGAATATCATTTTAACTGCAATCCAGTTTGGTCGATTGATTCTGATATTGTCAGAAACAGATTGTTATCCAACTTGACTTGACTCAAGTCAGTTTTAAGGAGGAATCCAATAGTACACTATTGTCAAACTTCCAAAACCAAAGGTTCATGTTCAGTATTTTAAACTTACACGCCAAACCAGAAACAATGGTCGTATCCAAGTATCTTATGGAATGCACCTCTGCCACTTTTTGTACTGAATTGACATGTCTGTGCTGGCAGTTCTCAAAACCTATTGGAACAATTGACCATAAAATCCCCCTTCCTTGTAATGTACATTTGAACATGTGTTTATTTCCGAAAGTATGTCAAGTATGTCTTATGACAGCTATGCATCATATTTTACATCAACTGGCCACCAAAAGTAGCCAAATTTGGCAATATAGCACAATGTAGGCTGCTCCTGTTTGAATGCCTGTGTCATGTTGCAGAGGCTGTTGCCCATGTGCGGATGAGCTCAGGATCTTGTCTTCACTTAATGACACTGAAAATGCATGTCAGTACTAATGTAAATCAGTATTGGCGGTGCACCATGTTGTGGCACTTTTTGAGCCTTCTGTTCTAAATGCTGATGCTTTGAATGCTGCCATTTGGTTGAGTCACTATGGTAGACAGACTGCATTTAACCTGCAGGTTGATAGGTCTACCCCCCCCCCCCCCCAACACACACACACGTTTGTTTTACATACGCTATGTGGACATTCCTTTATTTTCGTGTAGTTAAGAAAAAATCGGTACCAAAAATAACTTTACTTAAACTGTGAAAACTCTTTTAACCCAATTTTTTTTCTATGATTCCCTGGACACTTTTCTATGATTCCCTGGTTATGTGGACACGGCTTAGTCCACATAACGTTAACACAACCTGCATTATGTGGACATCTTTTGTTCACAAGTCCACATAGGGAATGTAAGACAAACTCACGACCACCACCACACCCCACCTCTGATTTAGCAGCAGCCAAGATTCCAGGTAAATGACTGTGCTTATGCCAGGAGTTGTTTCTTGACAAAGTTTTTTGTTTACACCCTTCCCCATCCAGATAAGTGTGTCAGCGCTCACGCCGGAAAGATGGTAAACCTTGGGGAAAGAATTTGTGTTTTTCTTAAGTCCAACTCAAAACAAAATACTATCTTGGAATGTAATTATTCCTTAACTCTAAAGTGTGTAAATGTATTGAATTTGAAATTTCCTGAATACTTTATTGCTCAGAATGTTTTGGGAATATTTATGAATCTTAAAAAGAACCTAGGAATCCTGAAAAATCATGAAATTATAACAAAAAGGCTCTTAGAATTTGACCAAGAGGATCTGAAAAGTCTTTCTTATACATGTACTACAATTGCCCTGGAAAATTTTATTTCGAAAATAATAAAAATTGCCCAGAAAACTGTTTATTCCTTGGAAAAATATCTAAAGTCATTATCTTATTGCTAGCTTTTGTTGTATGTAATCACTGTTAATATAATCTTCAATTGTTGCCATTGTACCTAATGTATTCTTGAAAAGAACAAAACATTGTCTTGTACAAATATGTAGAAAAAAATGTAAATATTGTTTTTATTTCCAAGAAATCATGTTTGATATCTTTTTTTGTATTTGCTATTATGTCATTTTGCAATGAACTGAACCCGTTTAATTTATTTGAAATTGTATATAAAGTATGTATTTGTTGTGATACTCTGCAAGTGTTTGGATTCATAATGGATACAAAATGTAGACATGTATTTGTATCATATATGAATAGTACTGGAAACTGTTGGCAAATGGTCATAAGAACATTCAAATTCAGGCAAATACAAGACCAAGTTTTAAGCTTGAACAATTATGAAATTGTCATTGTGCTGGTGAACAGTGTCAATAGTTTTGTATCATTTCGAATTTACATAGCACTTCTTAAATTTGTTGTTTAACTTAAAACACCCACCATTTTGCTATAGTGTACATGTTATGATTGCGATTTTTAGAGTACTATAAAAGATGTGTTCTGAGAAATTATCCGTCCTTTATCATATATACACCATCATGTGCAACTGCTGCATCAGCCCATTTTTTTATGTCGATTGATTGTAGGGTTGGTTTTTCTTTTCTTTTTTTCAAAAATGTGTGAGTTTGGGGGGGGGGGAAATGGCTGTATTTATATTAATATTTCTCAACTTTCTTAGACTTTTATGTGACCTACATTGGAAAAATACCTGTACGTGTATTACCAACAATGCTAATGCTATGAGTAACAAGAGAACAAATTACACATTAACAGCACTGTTTATAAGCAGTTCAGAAATGTGCTATTATTCAGTGCACCGTCACAAGTATTTGGCTACAGGTATCAAAGTTCATTAAGAAGACAAAATTGACTTTGTATTCAACACTAATGGGGACAGTTTTTCTCCAGTACATGTATTTTTATGCTGTAGGCACTGCAAGTTACAACTTCAAAATTCTGTAAGATTCTTCAGAAGATATTTCTCGCCTTTCCTGTTAGTATGAACCAGTATTCCTATATTATGTAGTCGCCATTGGAATGAAACATCACAACACCAAGAAGGACCAGAATATGCTTCCTCCTCAAACTACACCGTACTTAAATTCATGTTCATGGTTTGCAAGTTTATCCCTCAAGTGAAAATTAAGATTTACGACAGTTGCAATTGAATCATGAAAAGTGAATCACAAGTCGTGCAATCCCAAGACAAGTGGTCAAGCTATTCAATGAACTGTCACCAAGGCATTCCTTACATTGGTCAATGGTCATCCCTAACCGGTGACCCGACTTGTGGATTGACTTGATTTCAACTTGGGTTTACGATACGAGCATTGGCTTGGCAATCTGCCTTGTTATGGGACTGCGACATTACAAAAGGCTTAAGAGTCTAGGATCTGCATTTGACACTCAGATTTTAATGTGTATCCTCCAACAGTACTATCATCCAGAGAATTAGTTTTAAAAAAACAGGTCCAGGATTTAGATATTTTTTTTTTCCTGACGCATTAAAAAAAATGACCAAGAGGTGTGCTTGCTCATCAATATGTAGATGGTAAAGAAAGTATTCCACATTTCAAAATGGAATTGTTGAAAGTACATGTAGATTGGGAGCATGTTTTGTTTCATTTTCAAGTTGCAAACTAGAATTGAATAGGAAACTTACTCAAACAGCCTCAGACTGGAACACTCAAGAAAATATCAGACCTTGGAGGCTGAAAATTGTGTGAAGTGGAATTACCAAAATGTACAACTCGTGTGTTTTTAGTTGTTTTCAAATAATCCACAAAGGGAAACTGACTTATAATTTTTAAAAGTTGAAATAAGAAAGTGACTGAAGGAGGGTTTGAACCTGCGACCTCTGGATTGCCGTTCCGGTGCTCTACCAACTGAGCTACACATATCCAGCCCTATGTTGGGGGGTTCCCATTCACAATATGGGAAACCGCAAACATAGGGCTGGATAGCTCAGTTGGTAGAGTACCGGAACGGCAACCCAGTGGTCGCAAGTTCAAACCCCACTTAGGTCAATTTCTTTGTTCAACTTTTAAAAATGCTTTTAGATGTGTTAAGACATGAGCAGTATATCCGGGTTTGGGATAGGAAAGGTGTGAAATGCATCTTACATTCCCGGCTACATGTAGTGAACTCAAATGAAGAATGTACATTAATTATGCACACAACAAAATACTCAAGTAAATTGTTTTTATGAATGCATAAAAAAAAGTATTAAACCAGAACTGTATTTCAGATACAGTACTTCTTTACAAGTTTGTGGGAGGAACATGATGTGAACTCACTGAATGTTCATTACTAGATTTGTCACAACTTGCAGTTATTTTTCAGATGTGGGGATATTTCTATCCAATTTTAATTTGTGTTAGTGGAACTAACTCACTCCATAGTAATGTGAAGAATGCAATAGTTTAATTAGTGTTTATTTTCCTAGCAAATGATTAAAGTAACTTCATGACACAAGTAATCAAGTCTGGCTTTTGTTTCTTTTTATTTCCAAGTTGTATGTACACAGTAAATGCAAGTATTAAAAAAAATCATAGTTAACAAACAAGTGGTATTCAACAGCAAGATTATATCCAGTTTCCTTTTGGACATCTACATGTTTAAGTTCATCATTCATGTGTGCATGATGCAGCATCACTTCATAATTGAAGTGTGTTGAGATCCCAGCTTTATAAATTACATTGAAATGGTATGGAGTTCAGTGAAAATTGAAATACATGTACACATGTACATAATTAATTGGATGGTAATGCACAATGGTAATAAATAGTGAACACTTCACCAATAAATAGTATACAAATAACGAATGTTTGTGAGTGCGATGGTAAGAATAATTTCATGAGGTGACAGATTGAATGTTCTATTCCACGAGGCGAAGCCGAGTGGAATAGAACATTCAATCTGTCACCGAATGAAATTATTCTTTCCATCGCACGAACGTAAAACATTCGTTATTTGTTTTATACAACACCAGAATAAATTCTCGTCAGTTGATTGGTAAATTGTAAACTACAATTTATTTTGATTTTAAAGATGTTGAACTACCCCTTCACGAAAATGTTTGAACCCAACGCTGTAGCGCTGGCTCTTTGGAACAATACGCGCTACGCTGAACGCGCACACCAGCATGCATTTTGCACGCAAATACCGCGTCATGGAACAAGCGCAAAGTGAAACAGTGTAACGCATGGGTATAACGCATGGTCGCACCGTGCATTATACCGAATAATAATATGTCACGTGATCTACAATTCACCAATCAGATGACGGGGATTTATTCAGGTGTTGTATAATATGCAATAGAATGATTTTAGGAACCAAAACTGAAATTTGAAATACAATTTATAAATAAAATTACATTACATGCAACTATTGGGACACAACATGTTGCAGTTTCCCCACATTCCACATCCTAATGTGTTACCGCCTGCACATGCACACATTCCTACTTTTTTCCCCATGTTTTCCTGCTGAAGTTTATGTTAACTTTCTGTGTGCTTACAGTCTCTGGAACATGACCAACTAGAACAAAGGTTCTGTGACCAGAAACCTAAGAGAATTAGTACACATACATGCACATGAAACTTATGTCCTGTGTGTGACAACTTGCTAGCCCTCCATTATTTACTTATGGATTGCAAGCGTGACATGTACTTAACATAGTGTGAAAACAATACATGTACACATAAATGTCAACCCCAACATTAGCTAGACCTGTTTGAACATGCGAACTTCAAGTGGAACAATATCATCATTGAATATGTGTAGCCCAGTGTTGCTTCGCATTATTATCAGAAGGTTTTCTCAATTCTCTAACAAATTCTGGAGAAATGTATATTAAAGGCAAATCTCAGCCATGTGGGGCAAGACGCTCACTGCGCGTGGGTTTGCTATTTTAGAAAACAATGGTGAATGAGTCAGGAAGGTTGTTTGTTTTTGTTGCTAATATTTGCCAACATTTATGGCAAACATTTGGTCACCTTTGCTCCAATGGTTGTAAATGCTGGCAAACAATAGCATAGTTTGTGTAAGTGAAATGCACACAGGGTCATTGCAGTCTTGTAACACAGGTGTACGAAGGCTAGTTGCAATTTTTGATCAGTTAATAAACACTACTTATCGTGAAAATATCTCTCACTGACAGAAATGTGCAATGTTTCAGAGATGAAAAGGTTGCTTGTCCATGGAGTCCATTGACTGTCAGCATCCTACCAGTAGCTTGCCAGGGCCTAGTCCGTCCAATTTGAACATTCAGCATTTTTCAATACCAGCCTAGCCACAGAACTCATTCATCTGGCGGTTTCCTGAACTCTTTTTTGACTCTCTTCTCCTGTGGTTCGTCAAGAGCTTGTGTTCGGTTGCGCTTCTTGGTGAATTTATTAGTAATTGTTCCAACCAATGTGCTATATCTGGAGATAAAAAAACAAAGGAACAAATCTCAAACTTCTGATGAATGTACAAACCTATGATAAGTAAGTTCTTGTGCCAAGTGGCAGATCAACGGGCATGTTGTCAAAGCAATCATTTAATGACAATCCACACATTACCTTCTGGCCATTTCTTCATCAGACACCGTCATTTCTCTTTCTCTCTGCTCAGATATAGCTTCCAATTCTTCAGCCTCAATGCTGCGCATTATTTTCTGCAAGATAATGTTCCGAAGCTTGAGAATTCAACTAAAAAAATAGCATCCACATATTGTATACATGTATGTTTAGTGCTGTGAACAACCAATGCAGGCCAAGCAGCTTTGGTTTTTGTGCAAGAGTGAGAGCTGTTGCATGACAAGCAAATGGGCTGTTTCCGTTTGTTTCCCTCATTGATGCAACATTCCATTCTGAGCATTCTTGCGGTAGACTTGTACCACCAAATATCACTTTTTTCATAAACGTGGGAGAGAGATGGCCTTTTCTTGCTGACAGGTATATTGGTATAATAATAGTGAACAAGTTTCTGACGAGAAAACATTTTTCTGGTAAGGCAAATTGAGTTTTTAAGCCACAGTGACAAATTTGGTCAAGAAAATTGATTATTTAAAAATATTTTTAAAAAAAATTTAAAAAAAAAAGCATTCAGCAACATAAATTTGCAGATTTTCTTTTAGTGTGGTAACTGCTTGTTTGATTTGTCAGTTGGTAAGACAGTCAATCGACTATTCAATCACACAATAAATTTGAGATCCAACAATCAATCAGCAGTAAGACTCACTTCAATAGAAGGGTTCATTCCCTTGTATGACATCCGCCCAAATTTAAGATCTTCACAGACAGCAAAGCTTGGTTCCACATCAAAATTACTCCTTATTTGTTGAGAAAAAAATTGGACATGTGCATTTAATTAGTTTGCAAACAGCAGAAATATTGAGCAACTTCTTTAAAATAGATTTTGCATTCTTCACTTTTCCAACTTATTTTTTATGGTAATAAACCCCTCAACTGTGGTTTTGGGGATATTTTTAATCAAGTTGGGTTGCAGAAACAGAACTGACTCAAGCAGGATTGAACTTGCAGTTGCAACCTCCGGATTACAGACTGCACACCTAATTCAGTTCTACATGTATGTTTATAACTCCGTTGGCATTTTTCCAAAGAAGCTTACTGAATCCACAGCAGGGTTGGTTTCCAATTCCATTTTTTTTTTGGGGGGGGGGGGGGGGGTATGAATCACAGACTTTGCCCTCACTCTTTGACAGTTATCTCTGGTAGATCAAGAAACCAGTGAGTTTCATCAATACGGCGTCTCTGTTCTGCTTCAAGCTCTTTCTGTACATTGGACTCTTGAGTGCGCTGCATAAACTGAAAGTGGAGACAAGATACATGTAGGTGGTCAAGCATGAACAGAAGAAAGCAGCACTGACAATAGAATGGAGATGACAGTAACGGTCATGAAGATCAGCCATGTAAGACATTTGGGAAAGTTCTCTTACTTTTAATCAGGGATGGTTATGACTGTTGCCATATTAAATATAAAAAGGGGGAGGGTTACATTACATGGATCTGTTTGAAATCAGTTTTCAAACACCGAGTGGAAAATTACAGCAATTTCTATCTCACATGAGAATCATGTGAGGTTTGAAATCATTAAGTGATCAAAGCCGTTTTCAGTGCATTATTTTTTTCTTCTTTAGTTTTAAGTAGATTTCATGTCTTCTTTATGATTCTTGGCTCAAGATTTTTTACAGAATTACACAATAGGTTTGCAAACCATTCCTTAAACAAGTGATGAATAGAGATCATTTAAAATTCCTGCAGTCATTTTGGACAAACGTTCTCCACTTTTCCCCTCTAGTTACAGGATAGCCCCATAAATGCCGCTCATGTACTGAACTTCCCAGGCACATTTAAGTAGCTTCCGTAGTGAAAAAAATAGTTTTAAAAAAACAGTCTAGATTTTCAAATTCATGAAACAAATTTTTAAGGAAATGTTGCACGCATTGGTTTGTGGCTCACATTATGGAGGAGGTCCAGTATTTGAGCCTCAATCTGTCACTGTTCTCACAAAGTGACGAAATTTCTATAACTGACAAATGTTCATCACAAAATAATCACATTTTTTAAGTTAATCCTTATCATAAATATATTTTCGACCAGTTTGCAGTTGCAGAGTTGGGAAACTTTTGCACTGTCCAATCACTTATAAAATGCTTTGTTCTTTGTTTGTATAAAATCTTCTTTAAAATTAAACTGGAATTCATGATTTCAGTATTGTGCACATCAACCCGGCCCGATCTGATCGAGCCAAGCAGACTCCCCCAACCCGTACCCATCTACCTGCGGCTGGACACAGCAACAAAATCACCACGGCAAAAAAAACACTTGGCGTCTCCCCATCCCGTACCCAACCGCCAAATGCTCTCTAGCTCTCTGTCTCTCTCTCTCTCTGCCTGGAAAAGACAGCATAAATAGGAGTCCAAATTGTATCCCGTCAAGTAGACCCGTGAACGTGGCACCAATAACATGCCACGCGTAAAGTTCTGCGAAAAATAAAACTCTTCGACGTGTTCAAATTTTTTTTTTTTAAACATGAACGTCATTTGTCCCATGATTACATGTAGGCCTACTTACACATGAAGAATAGGGTGAATATACATTTCAATATAACAATCGGCATCTACATAAATTTGACTTTTGGGATAGTTGGGAAAGAGAATTACGGAGGCGGGTAGAGTCCGAAGTTTTGCAACTTTTCATGTTTCTCACCTGGGCCCCTGGTAACAAGTACCTGTTACCTCTGCAGAATGCTGCAGAATGCATGCGCGCATACGATAAGACGGTTCACCCGATTGATCGACGGCTGTTTCATGTCATATTGGAATCAATGTGACAATCAACTAATTCAGCTGATCGTAAATCTCATAGGGGTGCACACCGTTAAATAGGCCTAAACCCATCCTCTGAGCTCATGAATAAAAGTTATACCCTAAAAATATTCTATATTAGAGAGTTCTGAGAGCCATAAAATTGGGGAATTGAAGAGATATGGCAATGAACCTTTGCCCCGGACTTGGGGCTTCATCATTCTCGTTGTCTTGCTTTCCGCGACAACGCACCAAACGAAAATTGAACTCACTTGCGGCGCCTGAAAGCGGTGTGGTACCCACATACATCGCGCGCGCAGATTTTTTCGATGTCATCACGTGATGCATACATTTACATAATTAGCGAAACAAAATGGACGACAGCCGTTGGAACTAGCGCTTTTTTACGGACAAGCCACGGAAATCGTCAAGATTTTTCACATTTTTTTGTGGTCTGTTTCAAGTCAATCATTAGGCTTTGTAAATGACTGCTGAATGTATGTATGTAAACGAACTCTGGGGTGGGATATTAGAGGTGAAAATGAACAATTTTTGAGAGGCCATTTTTTTAGGGTCTCTTGCTACCACATTCTAACGAACAGGTTATGCCTCCAGCGTTACATGTGTGAATGAATATGGAACATGTCAGCTGGAGTTACTCAAGCTAGCCTGCACCTAGCTCTACTGAGTGGAGCGTTGAATTACGGGTACCCCTCCATACCAACGCTCCACCGACTCGCCATACTTTGGTAGCACCATCACAGTAGCATAGTCACAAACCCACGCGAGGACAAAAAGACCCCAAAAAAACGGTAAAGAGATTACAAATGAGAGAGACAGTTATCCTGGATTGATCTATACATTCTTGACATTCCATGAGACCCCTTATATTGTTCCCAAAATAGTCTGAAAACTTACAGTTCAATGTGTTTGCATGGAGGCTCAGTTCTTGAATTAGCTTGTCAATGAAGGCGTCTGACGTGACGTCACCGTCGTTGCTCGATCGCGAAGAAAAACAAGTCGCGCTTTATCAACGACTGTTTCGTGTAATAATACGTGCGCCGATCCGCGCCGCGCCGTACGACAGTATGGGCTTTGAACACACCCAAGGAGCACGTATTATTACACGAAACAGTCGTTGATAAAGCGTGACTTGTTTTTCTTCGCGATCGAGCAACGACGGTGACGTCACGTCAGACGCCCTCATTGACAAGCTAATTCAAGAACTGAGCCTCCATGCAAACACACTGAACTGTAAGTTTTCAGACTATTTTCCTGTTTTTTTTCCAAAATGTTCGCTGTTTGGGAACAATATAAGGGGTCTCATGGAATGTCAAGAATGTATAGATCAATCCAGGATAACTGTCTCTCTCATTTGTAATCTCTTTACTGGTTTTTTGGGGTCTTTTTGTCCTCGCGTGGGTTTGTGACTATGCTTCTGTGATGGTGCTGTCACGCCCCAACTATCGCATCGGTCCCAACTATAGTTGGGACTGTCCCAACTATAGTGCGGCAGTTGGGTCGGCCCAACTATAGTTAGGACTGGAGTTGCGCCGGATGCTTCATGCTTGATTGATCTTGTTGGATTATAAAATGTTCCGCGGCGCTGGCACCGTGTATTCGTTGTGCATGCATGCCGCAAGGCTGGCCGGTCACGTGGTACTGCCTAGTTGGATGAGTTGTCCAGCTGCTGGGTTTTATTATCCAGCAACATTTTGCAAAATTCAAAGATTGCCATGGCCAGCCAACTATAGATGGGCCCCTACCATAGGGCATAGCTAATGTTAAAGGTCTCAAGTCGGACATGTAATAAGCAGAGCTGTAGAGAATGTTTTATAGTCGTACATCAATGTAAACTATAGTAGGGACTGCCAAATAAAAATATTGCGGTGGCCCAACTACAGATGGTCCCCAGTAAAGTCAGATGTATTAGAGTTGTAGGGAATGTTTTATAATCGTACAACAATGTACACTATAGTTGGGACCGCAAAATAAAAAGATTGGGGTGGCCCAACTATAGATTCGCCCATCAATAGCTAATTTCAGTGGTCCCCAGTAAAGTCAGACGTGTATCAGAGCTGTAGGGAACGTTTTATGGTTGTACATCAATGTAAACTATAGTTGGGAAACTGCAAAATAAAAAGATCGGAGTGGCCCAACTATGGAACTTACAGTTGGGACTGTCCCAACTATAGTTGGGCCAGCCCAACTGTGGAACTACAGTTGGGACAGGCCCAACTATAGTTGGGACAGGCCCAACTATAGTTGGGACAGGCCCAACTATAGTTGGGACCGATGCGATAGTTGGGGCGTGACAGTGCTACCAAAGTATGGCGAATCGGTGGAGCGTTGGTATGGAGGGGTACCCGTAATTCAACGCTCCACTCAGTAGAGCTAGCCTGCACCTAGCCCCATAATGTGGCCAGTTTACTGGACTGCCTCCGTAAACATAGGCCACACAGCCACCATCTTGGAAACTGACTCGGCGAAATTTTGAAAGTGATTTCCACATTGCGACTTCAGACCCAGGATCAGGAATAGTCATCGGGTGTTACGCTTCCGCGTGACGTCATGCGCCAACAGCCAGCGCAGCCGGCAAAAACGAGTAGTTGACAGCGATCGCTCTCTCTGTGCTTGTTAATCGACCGCCATTCATTGTACACAATTTTTTTTTGTGCACAAACCAATTGCGGTCCTGGCCAATCCAGCAAGGTTGTCAAGTTAGCGGTTATTCCTCCTGTTTTCACTGCAATTGTAGGCTGAATCTTCATCGTGGATCGTTTTTTACTTCAAGGACCTGTGTAATGGTTATTCCAGGCAAGTTTGGGGTGAGTTGCAGTTGCAATTAGTGTGTAACGGGGACAAAATTGAACATTTTCCAAAAAAATTTGCAAATACTACAAGTTACGAGAAAAATTCGCTCCAGCCCTAGATGACAACCCAATGATAAAACTCAGGGCTGGGTAACTCCAGCTAGAGGGGTACCCGTAATTCAGCGCTCCACTCAGTAGAGCTAGCCTGCACCATGACCCATGTGCACACGCTTTCGAGTCAACTCGTACCTTGGGCGACTCGTACCTTGGACAACTCGTACCTTGGACAACTCGTACCTTGGACATCTCGTACCTTGGATAACTCGTACCTTGGACAACTCGTACCTTCAATTAAGACGACTCGTACCATCAGAATAAAAAGTAGAGTACATGTACACTGTACGTGCGCGACTTAGTGTGTGGTTCCTTGACTCCCAAACGATACGATTCTTTTCAAGTCAAAGTTAATTTCCTTCTCACAGAACCACATTCAAGATCTAATGGCTTTGCCAGGCAGCATTATTTTACGCATTGGGCCTGGCGGGCCGGCCTCCGAGGGCGCGAGCAGCGGTCGGTCGTGCGCGGTACCGATGCCGGTGACTCGGAAGCGGCCGGCGGTTTAACAAGTACACCCAAAGTGTCGCTCATCTATTGAAGCGTCGCTCATCTATAGAAGTGTCACTCATCTATAGAAGTGTCACTCATCTATTGAGTTTTATAGTGGAGAAACTTCAGATGCGGATTTGGTGTGGTTTAATTATGCAATACAGCCTAACCACCGTAACATCCTGTTTCCAGAGCGAGCTTTATTAAACTCTATTAAAACCAACCGACAAAATTTATAAAAATCAAATTTAAACATTTAATGTGTCTAAATAAAGTAATTTCTGCGTTTTCTTGTGAAGTCTAATAACCAAAGTATACAAGAGCAGTCAGTACTTTTAAATGATTCAGTCCTTTCCTAGCTATAAGTCTGAAAGTCTAAAATGTAAAAAAAAAATTCACAGTTGGTTTATTCATCAACTGGTTTATTCGAAACATTTACAAATTGGGGGCGGGGGTTTGGCCACTTTTTTCTTCATATATATATCATCTCAATGATGGTCATTCATTGCAGAAATGATGGTAAGACGTGAATCTTGGATAAAAACATCAGTTCCATAATATTTTCACGTAGCTTAAGTCTCTAAACGTAACGGCAGACTGCATCAATGTCACCGTGCACAGACGTCCATATTGACCGGTCAGCGCGGCGCAAGAACCGTGTCACTTTGCACGGATGCCGCGTGGGCCTGTGCATGCCGCGCACACAGTGCGTGTAAGCTGCCGCGGCCGGCTTCGCGCTAAATAAATTCCTCTTTTTGGGGGAAAAGAGAGCCCATACCAAAAAGAGATTCACCTTTATTTTAATAAGCAGTCCACTTCCAATGAGTTACGGTCCACTTTATTCAGCCTCGGATCATTATCCTGATTGACAGTACGACTTGTCTTACGCGTGATGGTACGAGTCGTCTTAACTGAAGGTACGACTTGCCGAAGGTACGAGTTGTCCAAGGTACGACTCGGTATAATGACGTCGAGTTGAAGGTACGAGTTGTCCAAGGTACGAGTTGCCCAAGGTACGAGATGACCCGTTACCGTGCACACGGGGGTGCAGTTTCTACTTCTATTCTAATTATAGCCCCACTAGTGTGGCCGTCGGTATGCTGCGCTGAACCTCTTGAGGTTCAGCGCAGCATACCGACGGCCACACTAGTGGGGCTATTCTAATTACGGATATGGCAAACCTTCATTTGCATCAGATTCTTGGATAGCTTCGTCTTTCCACGTCCATCTACCCGATGGTCGTTCGCCATGTTGTTCTAATAAATAGCAAATCGTTAAAATAAACGACAGACAAATCAGACATGCAGCTAGTGAGGGCCGGCCGGGGACGTACATAAGCATGCATAAGGCATGCATATACATGTACGTACGTGGGCCATGTGTTGGTTATTGGAACAGCGCCCTCCAGTGGCGTCACATTTGGCATTTTTGGCAAGTTCTCGGGATGCACCCCTCACCTGTATTAAAATTCCCATAGACACTAGTGCTAAATGCCCATACCTTAAAAGTCTTTATAAAATACTCAGAACTCTCACAGGTATTTAAGCTCCACAGAAAAATGATGATCAACATGGCATCTTTCAAATTCTTGGTGGGTTGACCATTGACTTTTCGAGAAATTTTCACCCATATAATAGACTATCACCGACCTATTTTTCCCAAAGCGGAAAAGTAGCCATCTCGAAAAACGATCCCTCCACAACATGGCAAATAAATAGCGCTACTTTCGAAAATTCGAAAATTCTCAGAATTGGAAGCCTCAGAACTCTCAGAACTCTTCAATTTAGAATATTTTGAGGGTACAGGTGGCGGATCCAGGAACCGGCAAGGGGGGGGGGGGTGGGTTTTCATCAGCAAACAAATTCTGAAATGTAGACAGGTTTTTTTCTCCGGACACTTGGCCTCCGTAAAATCAAAAACTGGGGGGGAACCATATTTCAATAGGGGACGCTGTTCAAATTCGACGATTATTAACACCGGAATGGCGTGTACAAATACCCCCTATCTAAGCTGCCTCTGTCCGTATTTTGGACAGGCGGACATTATACCAGTATAATTTGTTTGGGGGTGTCAGACCATGAGGGGTTCGCATTATTTTTTAGGAATTTCTATTTAAAAAACTTTTTGACAGAGCTGGGGGTTTTTTGGACCCCCCCCCCCGGATCCGCGCCTGGGGTATATAACTTTTATTCATGAACTCGGTGGATGGGTTTTGGCCTATCTACAGGTGTGCACCACCCTTCGCTTCTATAATTCTCCTTTTTAATTAGACTGATTCCCCGTCCCTCCATTGTCCTTTGGACCCGAATGTAGGTAGCTAGCAGCAATCTCGTCCCCAGGATGTCGAGCAGTACGCGCCCACTATTGGAAACGAGGTTGGAAATAAAGTGAGCACTGGGGACGAGGTTCAGCTAGCAGTGAATCCGCAATGCATCAGGAGGCTTTCCTCCTAATTAATGCAAATTATATGCAGGACGTGCTAGGTCTGAATCCAAAATCACTACGTTAATGTTAAAGGGAATATACATCATTTGCTTTTGCTGTAATTTTCAGAAATGGATGGAATTGGGGGGTTGGAAATATAAAGCAAATATAGTTGCACTGACTTTTTGGAGGTTTTGGGTTCGAAAATGCTATAAAAACCAAGAAAAACGATCATTTTCCTGTAGTCTGGTTCCCTGACTCCATATAAGAAGAAACAGAGCAGTTTACATACATTGGGGAATTGTAAGGTCAGGGAACCAGTCTAGCTGGCTCGTACCCGTTCATAGGTTTGTAATCGATTGCAAACAAGTGCAATGGTCAATTGGGGCCAGTATTTGAAAAAAAGCCAGTTGTTTCCAACGCTGATCGGCCGATCAGCGTTGGAAATTGATACAAAAATACCACTTTTCTTGAAAATGACAGTATACCAGGTGCCATAATTTTACAGGATGCTTCAGGCTGTCATTTACCAACATCCTATTAAGGTATTTCGCAAAAACTTGGTAGTTTTTTTTTTCGATGTTTGCAAATGTTGTATATTCCCTTTAAACTTTGCTTGGAACCAGCCTATTGCAAAATGGCAATATAGGCCATGAATGTGCAATTTCTGTGGCGATGAGCTTCAATTTTCGCTGAATTCGAAAGTGTCTCTGGCAAATACCAATCAAGAGTGGGGCATTACTTCAAGTTTCAGAATTTGAACCCATGCAGTTGAAATGCTTGAAAGATACCTTCATGAAGACATTCCAAAAGTGCCGGGACATCTGCTTTTCTGCTGACAGAATAGCAGAGAAGCAGATTAATGAACGTATTGCCAAAATGCATTTTTCTGCCATCAGAAAAGTAGGTTTCAGTTTACTTTTGCCCTTCACTGATGCATGGTTCAAAAAGGGACATCACAGGAGGGGTCCTCAACTTAATCTGTTTCATGTTTTAACCCAGCTCCTGACTATGGAAAAACGGGATCTCTGAAAGGAAAATACACAGTTTCTTATCAGAAATTAAATGAAAACTGGATGTGGTCTCCTTTTGTTTGCATAATGGACCATTATATTCCTGTTGAAACCATTAGTCAAAAACCGTTTCCTTTAATTGAACCCCCACCCCCCGCCAACACGGCGCACACAACTGAGTTTAAGATATTCATCGAGGTTAAACTATTTCTGTGACGTTACACTACTGTTATAAGTCTTCCGGCAGTTCTTGTCCTATGAATTTTACTACCCTGTAGTTGCAATTGCTCACATTGGTTTTGTATTTATTCTATCATACGATAAAACCTATATATTTTTTAAATGTTGAATATATTATGAAAGAATAGTATGAAGTAATTGTATACTAAATGCATACAAACGCCATGCACGTGCAGGTGTCGCATATGATGCAGAACATATCGGATTTCGTGCTTCCAATGGAATATTTTCATTGGCTACTTGTACTTAATCTTTAATGTTAGATCCAAGGCATAATTTTGAAAACTATACTGCATGGGAAATTTTTCCCGCCATCCCCGATTTCTCTAGCGCAAAAAACTGAGGATTTCCAAACCCGTCCGTCTCAGGAGTTATGGTCGTGAAAGGTGTTCCTTCGCCAGGAATTGGTTGTCTGCATTTCTAATCAAAGAGAAGCGGTAGGGACAGCAGTCGGCATATTAAATCAAACTGAAATTTTCCTCCAATTTGGGTTTTTGTTTTGTGTGAGCCGACTTTCTTTCCACCGAGTTCCGGTATCTGCGCTTCACGGGTTCCGTACGATAGTCCGAAGGTTTGATAGTCCGAAGCTTTGATATTCCGAACGCTTACATTTCCCATAAGAGGGGTTCGACAGTGCGAAAATGAAATAAGGTTCATTGATCCGAACATTTGATGCGATAGTCCACATATTCGTTAGGCCTACTCCGAAGGTTCGATGATGCGAACAGGGGCGTAGCAAGGTAATTTTTATTGGGGATAAACATTTCTTGAAAAGGGCACTTGCACATCCGTGCTGAAATGTAGACACGTTTTTTTTCTCCGGACACTTTGCCTCCGTAAAATCAAGTAATAGTGGGAGGGGGGCTGGTACCATCGATGGGCAAGGGCGGATCCAGGGGGGACCAAAGGGGGCCATGGCCCCCCCCAAAAAAAAACGAAACCAATTTTTTTTTTGTTTTATGTGACATCGCAATAAAGGCAGGCAATGAGTACACCACCATCTTTTCCTCAAAAAAACATTGGTTCAAGTGGTCAGAAATTGCCTCAGATCGCACCACAGAGCATCTAGAATCCAAAAATTTTTCGGGGCCCTTAAGCGGGCCCCAAACCCCACGCCGTAATTTATTTGACCCAATTTTTTGGGGCACCAAATTTTTTTTTGGCCCCCCCCCCAAAAAAAATTGTGTTCTGGATCCGCCCTTGTCGATGGGGGCGCTGTTCAAAACTGACGATTATGCACACTTAAGGGACAATATAATGGTGCTTTTCAGTGCGATACATGCGCGAAATTCAAAAAAAAGACATCCGTAACGGCCAATGGCACAAGAGAGGGCACGATTTTTTTTTTAAAGGTCACTTGTTAAAAAAAAAATTGTTTCAGGAAAAAAGGGCACTTGTTAACAATAGAAGGGCACTCTTTACTAATATTGGGGGGTAAGCGCTAGTGACAATAGAGCATTTGAATGGAAAAAGTCAGTCTTTACAAAATATTGGGGGAGGGGTTAAATACCCCCCTTACAACCCGAGGGTCATTTTCTTAAGAAATCATTGTGCCAACAATAATTTTTAAAACTCTCGACTTTTACACGCTAATTTCCTATTCGGGGGGCCGGCAGCGCGCCACCAGGGGTCAACTTTCAGGCTCTATAAAGACATCGTCAAATCATGGTCAAACTTTATCGCCGAACGCCCTCTGTCGTACGCATCGAACGGCCTACCAGGTGGTTTACCGCGTGGCTTGGATAAAATAAATCAAATTCTGAAATGTATCGAACAATATTTAATAACATCGTCTGAATGTTTTCATCGGAAAAGTGCACAAAGTCCCATGTTATGTTGTACCAGGTGGAATGTTCCGAAATAATGCTCAACAGCTGAAATTCGTGTGTACAGTTTCCATCAAAAGTTATACCTTAGGGAGACACAAGGGCGGATCCAGGGGGGGGCCAAAGGGGGCCATGCCCCCCCCCCCAAAACGAAACCAATTTTTTTTTTTGTTATGTGACATCGCAATAAAGGCAGGCAATGAGTACACCACCATCTTTTCCTCAAAAAACATTGGTTAAAGTTGTCAGAAATTGCCTCAGATCGCACCACAGAGCATCTAGAATCCAAAAAATTTTCGGGGCCCTTACGGGCCCCGAACCCCACGCAGAATTTTTTTTTGGCCCACTTTTTGGGGGGACCAAATTTTTTTTGGCCCCCCCCCCAAAAAAATTGTGTTCTGGATCCGCCCTTGGGGAGACAAGGTAGATTAAGGAATCATTTTAATGTCTCCCTAGTGTTTCAAGTCCTGTTTTTAGGCAAATTTTAATGTCGCAATTAGGCTAAATTGATTCCTCGTGATACAAAACCCAAATTTACAAAGTTTGGTGAGGGTATAAAATAAGCTTAGGTTAGGGTCAGGGGTCATCAAAGTTAGGATTTTTTTGTTAACAACTATGGGAATGTAAACGTCAGTTACATATTACAAAACGTCGTGTAGTTATTTCAATGCATTTTCTCTCCATAACTCCCTTGTGTCTACCAGCGAGATGTGATGGATAATGCGGTCGCAGTCCCGTCTGGTAATACTTCAGCTGTCATTTCAATATTTCGACTGCTGATGAAGTAGTACGACTGACTGGAAATAGCACAAGCATTGACGAGACCGGATGAAGGAAGACTATCTCATGAGGATTGGTTAGGAGGAATGAAAATATAGTACACGAGGCCGTTGCCTATAACGTGCACATGCATAAGGACTACTGAATACACTCTGAAGTGTCAGCTGATGTTGTGTAGAAGTTTAGCCATTGATCTGCAAGTCGCGATATGTGCCGCACGAGAGAGTCAGTGTGAAATGAACCGACTTCGCTTTACTCGTCTTTCTTCCCTTATCCTCACATGTTCATGATCGCGAAGGCCAAGCGATTCAAGCAGACACCTTCACTATACAAGAGTGTCTGCCTTGGGACAACATCAGCAGACTCGTCCGTGTTCTTGGCGAGACGTGAATGATTTAACCATGAATTAGACAGAACGATGGTGTGAGGTACATGTATGAAATGCACGCGGGAAGACTCAAGATGACGAGGCATGATGTAGCCTGACCACACAGCACGGAGGAGGCCAGTGAATTATGCGTCTGTCTCCGCTGATGTTTAACATTTTCCTTGCCATATTTTGTTCGCCAGCTATCTCTGCATACCGCATAAGTAAGTTTCAGTTCCCCAATTTTGTCTTCTCCAAGGCCCCCCATTACTTACCGAGTAATCACTCCTAATATTTAGCAATTAGAGCTTGCATATGCACCATTCATGCTTAATAGCACCTCGTGTTGCTGTCCCCTCAACTCAATTCCCGCTAATGTAATTCGTGGAATTAAGGCTTGTACATTGTCGTATGCGCGTCATGTGTGTTGACCTGTAGATGCTGTAATAGCGAGCCGACATACAATGCCACAGGCTTTTAGGCTAGAATATCGCCATCAAATAATCTGAAATCCTTTTTCATTATAAAGTAAAACAACTGTCGCTTTTGTTGAGATGCATAAGTAATCCTTCCGAGTCTATATCAGATTGGAGTAATTATTACTGAGGACCTTGTCTGTCAGGGTATATACTAAAAATACCGAAGGGAGTTCTGTTCCATTTGTACTTTCTCTCCATCAGTTCTGGAGAGATTCTTGCGTGATTCCAGCATCGATGATATTTTATATCAAAGGAGTAATGGTTATACGCGAATAGAACAAAAACGATAATAATTTCGCAATTGTACAAAAACCATTTCTGTGGAAATGCTTCCTTATAGGCATAGTATTTTAAAAAGACATTTCTTTTTTCCTTCAATGTACATCACTTTAAAGGACAATCATTATTAATAATAAATTTAATAATCGCAACGCCTGACAAAAGAAGTTGAAACATTTCCTCAAAATTGTACCATATTTTTATGTTCTATATTTTAAATAACCTTATCTCAGTGCTGCAAACCTTGGAAATAGCTCAGTAAGTAGAGGGCCGGTACACTTTTCCGGAATTCGTCGCCAGTTCAAATCCCGCCACGATTCATTTCTTCAGGTTGTTCAATATTATATTGATAAGAGTGAATCTAGTCATTTTCCTTTTATTCTCTTGATGATCTGTTTAAAAAGTCACATATTCTCTGAGTAATCCCCGATTATCACAGCGGGGCAGCATTGCTGACGTTGCCAGCAGCGTGATTTCGGTCTTGGTCCGTTGCTATAAATGGTATACGGGTATATGGCTTCTGACTAGAGCCCAATTGAATTAAGGCATGGAGCGCTGGTACCAATTTCTGTCATCGACCTTATACAGGGGCGGGTCTAGCTTTCAGGAAACGGGGGGGGGGGTGAGTGAAGGCATTCCGAAGGCAAGAACTAGGGGGTCCGGGGCGGCATGCCCCCCGAAAATTCTGAAATCAACGATGCTTTCTCTTTGAGCATATATATTTGAGCATATATTTAGGAAATTTAGCATTCCATTTACTATTTTGGACCCATTTTGCTAGTATCACAACATTAATCAGCGGCTGAAGGGGGATTGCACCCCCTCCCCCCCCCCCCCCAGATCCGCCATATATTACATTAACAAATCTGAAAAGGACGAATATTTCAAATTAAATTTAGATAAAAAGGAGAAAAAAACATTCCCAAACATGAAATTAACTATATCTTTGGTTAAATAATTGCAAGAACAGGTGTGTAAAGTAATTTAAGTTAATTAATAACTAATCCAACACCTGTTCAAATGAACTTGCGTGGGTGGTGGAGTCGTGTATTTCAGAAGATATTTGTCATGCATGACTACACTTTGCCAGCGTACTTCAGTCTTGACACTATAGATAGATTATTATTTGTCTATAAACGAGGAAAGAGTGCACAAGAATAACTGCAGTGATGATGGACCATTGATCTTTGTGGTATAAAAACGAAGATTTCATTTCCTTTAAAAGACACTTAGACCTGCAAACATAAGTATTTTCTCTTGATTGTTCCTGAATGTTCGTGTTGTTCTTTTTGTTTGTTTGTTTTTTGGTTGTTGTTTTGTAGTATTTGGATTGTTTAAATTTATGATCTTAATTTGCAGACTTGCCGGCGGTGGCTCATGCAGATGCCGCGGTATATAGAAACTGACGTCTGGATGGGTGGTCACGGTAACTAGTAGTTTCAGTAATGTGCTCATCAATGAGTAACCATTGTTTTTCAATATAGGTGATGGGAAAACAATTCATGAAGTATTAAATAATGTTAAAGGTGGAGGTCGCTAATGATGTGTTCTGTGAAATCTGTTGAGGTGGTTAAAAAGGTTTATACATAAGTGTCTTCGTTCTCCATTAAATGGTTATATATCATTAATTAAATGTTCGCCTTTAACTATATGTGCTTTAAATTAAAAGGGCTTTCGTTTGTTATCTTAAAAATTAATCGGTTCATTTTTATTGAAACAGTTATGAACTTTTATTCAAAAACCACGTTGTGAAATAAAGGCTTCCATTCAAAGGACACAAGAGCATTCGCCAAAAACTAGCATTTACGACAACTTGACCTTTAAATATTCTACGCACAAAACTCATAAGGAAGTGGCATACGAATGGAAAAAATGTATTCGAAGACCATAAAATTAAGACCAATACTCCGTAAAAATTGTTTAATACTAACTTTTCTTATGCTTAAATAAAGAGATTGACCGGAGTGGGGTCTGAACAGTCGTTGACCTCTGGGACATAGTACATGTACCGGTGCTCCGTTCTGCATCTGTTACTGAGAAACGTATCTGGAATATCTTATATAAAAAAAACCTGGAAAATAGGTTTAGATTAATACTTGAAAAATAATCAGTTATCCATTGATGAAAATAGCAATTGGTTTTGCAGTATTGCATACAGATTCGCAGTATTGAATACAGATAAACGACTCAAAACGTAGGCGGCGTAATAAGGCCGCGTCCGAAGTACTTGGCGGCTTTACATTGCCTGTCACACGAGTCGATGGGAAGTGGCTGCAGCTCCTTCCATAGATATGTGTGTAATTTCAAGCCGTAGTCAAGTAATTCGGACACAGCCTTATTCATTAACGAATACGGGATTTCATTGACCTGAGGAAGATGAAATGAAGTCTTGGGTACAATAGTACTTACTTCTTATAAGCCTATCCTAATCGTTTACTTCGAATTATACACCAAGTAAAGAAGATTACTGACGAATAATTTGTTTTTTATTATTCTTGTATAATAATTAATTAATGATCTTGGGATCATAAAATTGAGGCCTGACGTTTGGTACTTCTCTTATTTTGGTGCTTTTATTTCAGGCATGCATGCACACGGTCAAGCTGCGTGCTTAGTACATAAAACAATGTTTCATTGGTGCACATACTGATAAACTATGCTTGTGACAGGTGGAAAATATGGGGACTTAAGCCAGCTGCTTCATGATTTAATGTTTGGTACAAACAAACACTCATCTGGCATAAGCGCACATTTATATAGGCCTGCTGTAAGTCAGCTACCTCGAACTATACCAATAGGGGGAAGGACAGTTTTAAAAAGTGTTGGTTTTTTATTTGTCACCAAATAGCCCCCCCCCCCAACTCTCCAGAGGAAAACACACAATTCAGAGACATTCATATTTAGTTTGTTTACATGGTATTTTGTATTCGGTTAAGATTCCAAGACGATCTCGACTGAGTCAAGAAATGTTCCTCTTGTACTACGATTATCTGAGTGTTAATGACACCTATTTATAACCACCGTTAGTGTGTTTATTTATTACTATAATTTGTTCAATTGAAATAATTGGGCCGATTCGTACCTCAAAGGCCTCGTTAATTCATTATTTCCAATCGGAGTTTCATTTGGCGACGTGTCGCCACATGATTGTGTGATCCAGATATGGAGGGAAAGCGAACATTCCGCATTAATTTTCATGGCCGCCTTGACAAACATGAGATTTTTTTCCTGAGGTACATCATCAGATGCACAAGTGGATGAGATGTGATTCCCCGCACTGTCATCATCATCAGCATGCGGGGTTTCAGGAGAGGCCTAGTCGGGGGAAGGGGGGGGGGCTTTGTCTTGGACAGCATGCATCTTATTACAGCTCATGATATGGGAATGTACCCAAGTAATCTAGAATGTTTAATGTCGAAATATTCGGGGGAGTTTTGATCATTGCTTAAACAATAATGTTTCACTATCGATCAATGCATTGAGTATTATGTACGAATACTGTATAGTGTTTCACAATATTAACTGTTAAATTTGCTAGATTTTCCGACCGAATAATGTAAACATCCATTGCATGGCCTTGCTAATAATTGGCTCATGAGATATATGCAGGTCAGGTTTGCGATGTTGATATTTCGTTGTTTATTAATTGATGTATCCAGGAAATGTAAGATGAGTTACAAATCCGATTTATAGGTAAGTTATCGAAGGTTTTACATATTATCAAAGAGACATTGTTTAAGTACAATTACTTTTAGCCCTGTGAAATTGCATCACAATGTTTCGTTGTGATAGAAGATTTATGAGTTTCCTTGCAGAAGAAACTGTTTCAGATGTAAGAGGAATAAAATAAAATTTTCTTAAAAAGATAACAATTTCCATTGAAAGCGAAACAAACAAAAACAAGCGGAGACACATCATTGTATTCTTCCAAAATGCTATTGCTTAAACTCTGACAATTATTCGAGTAAATACAAAAAATGCAGAACGAAATGAAAAATTAAAATGTAAAAGTGCTGGGGAAATGTGTATTCAGTCCAATATGACAAAATATAACAAAGAAATAACCATTTTGTCTGCGTTGCTATACGAATAAAGGAATAGTTAATTTGGCTTGATTTGAATTCGCTTTTTCTGTATCTGAAAATAAAATGTACCGACAGACCTTGTTGTTGATATCTAATTGATCAACCTGATTTTCTGCTCTTCGTCGGTTTTTTTCTGTAAAACTAGAATGACTCAGACATTTCCTATCAAGACTGGCTTAAGGGCGTAGAAAACCAAGCTACGTGATTTGCTTGTGTGTATGTACAGGGGACGGATTTCAGTTGGGAGTATTCATATACAGTGCCATACACATCTTCTAATCTGCATACATGTGTCGGCCGTCTCGCAGTCTCTTGCATCCCAGTAGGAATGAGCAACAGCCTAGAAAAGAAAATGCAGACGTTGCTTTCTTCGGAGACATCTCGCATTTAGTGCCATGCTCATACATTATATAAAGCTCTCTTCACGCAGGCAACAGTTAACGACAGGAAACTCGGCAGCCATATTATCGATCCAGGCAAATTTGTTGCATTAGAAGCGACTACATCGCGACAAGACAGCCTTGGTATTATACATTGACCCTGATCAAATGAGGCGCGTCGTAGTCATGTGTAATTCAGCAAATGCATCATGAAGAGGGCGCTACACAGTGCTCTACCTAATTATTGACATCCTTGACCGTTTACTCAATAGTATGATGGTGAGGAGCTTACGGCAATCTTAAGACTCAACATCTTCTTGACCCTTAGCAGATCTCATTCTGGCATGAGGGTTCAGTGCAATGTGGTTCCCACTTAGTGACGATCCATCAGTAAATAGAAACTGAGTTTTGGTATTCTTGCTCACAGAGGCCATCTATGAGGCATGCGTGTTTTTTATGTTTCTCATGACAAAAAGGTGCATAAACATAAACATGTCAGAAATACATCAACATACATCAATACTGTATATACCTGCAACTACGTGATGAATATGCCATTTGGGTCTTAACACCAGGAAAATATAGAATGATTCAAAACTACTCTTGCTTCTTTCAAAATAAAAAAGACGTAATGTACCAATGCTTAAAGATCAAGGAGACATCTCATGACACTTCCAGGTCATAACGTCTAGGGCCTATGTCCGTTATTTCGATTTTCATAAAACTTTTCATAAAACGCAAGCTATTTCCAAGAAAAACAATAACAGGTTTTGAGGATTCAACTGACGTTATAGGACACCACTCTCTAGAACACAGTTCTTGTGTATTCATGGACTCCCGGGCAGGGAATGTATCAGGTGGATATCAGCCAGGTGTCCATTTTTTGATCAAGTTGGATACGTATAGTTCGCACAGTATTAAATATAACGTTCAGAAATTTTAGAATAAGAAAGCAATGCGGATTCGACATAGCCTAAGTGGTTTCAGTTCTAGTCTGCTTTAGGGCAAGGGAAATCAGACGGCAGTAGGTGGGCTGCTGCGATACAACATGCCGTGTAAATTATTAGCCAAACTCACGTCATGAACATGAGGAATGATTTACATTCACATGTCCTGCATTATCTACGTACATTTGGGCAATTGGACTGCACACGTTGTACTGGGACATTGTCGATTTGCTGGAAACAAATTATTCCAAGCTATCCAGATAACGACCATTAGCATGGACTATAGCATTTGCGATGTAGCGAACCAACATAATATGATACGTTGATTGTGTTGTACAAGTGATACAAGTTTTAAAAAGACACTCAGTCAATAACAATAACAGCACGGTTTTTCTGCAGTTCAAAAACATAATAGAACGTTGTTTATTGATAGCATATTTATACAAAGTGGCAATATTCCGGGGTTTGACTAGTCCTATTAACTTAAGTCCATCCCTAACTGTTAAATACAGGACTTGGATAAATGTTAAGAATTTATAAAATTGACGTTTTGTGGAATTTTTGTGTCGGAGTGAGGTAAACTTTGATATTGTTGGATTTGCTCCATTATCCCTTCACCATCATTACGTTGGTGGGCGACAAACCAATATGAAAAAAATGGAAAAATTTCTTAAAATATGAATATTAATTGGAAAATTCTTTTCTGTCATCTGAAATGTTGTTCCCCAGTCTATGTCCAAAATGAACAACTTGGCCATTACATGATGTTTCTTTATGTAATTTGTATTGTCTTATGTGAAGACCGAAATCTCTGCAGCAGAAACTTACCACCCCCCGAGCAGGAATGTTGTTTGACATTAAGCTGTATACTTGTAAGGATAATTCCACTACCTACATGTTGTATCCAGTTTGGTGCACACTGATATTGCGATGCACATCTGGTTTCATCTTGTTCTTTATAGTTTTGTGGTTCTGTAGTTGTTTGTATAGTGTTGTTTCTTTGTTTTCGATGTTTTTATTTTGAATGCAACGACAAAATGTGAACTCGCTGTTTCGGTAGATGTGCCCTTTCAGGAGAAACTCTATTTTCGCACGCAATTTCCTGCCTAGTCAACCATCCTTGACGCTGGCTGACTATCTAACCATTAATAATTGAACCACTCTGCGATTTAGTTACAGGCTCGCCACTTATATAAATACTTTCTAGGCGCAGGAGCGCTTTTTATAGCACACGAAAGATAGGCATTTTTCGTTTATGGCCGTTTCGGACTTTAAAAGCATTCATTTATTATTTGTCTGAGACATTTCTTGGCCATGTCATTATCCACGGGCCATAAACCAATCCGAAATTTATAACTCTGGGCTGTTGAATAATGAATGTGTGTGTTTGCAATTTGTGGCAAGGTGAAGACACGATGTTCTACGCTTCGATGGAGATGTGCTAGATGATAAGCTGTAATGATTTATCCCTTATGTGGATACATAAAGCAGCAGTCTTCGTATAGCACTCATTATCAAACAACGTGTTTCTTCCGCGGTTTAATATGACATCTTTTGCTTTAAGTACAAACGCCAAGTATGCATATGCAGAATAATATTGGTTATAAAAAAGAAATTCTGCAGATATCGGTTCGAGAAAGTCAAAATCTGTAATCGCATACCCAGGAACTGTGAATGCTCGCTTTCGGAGATGCCTAACGAGCACAATCGCCTACTATGATACGGGTGTGAGAAAACATGGCAAATATCGCTACCTCTGTCAAACAGCAGCCATCTGTAATGATCCTGAAGCTAATACTTGCGATTTAAAAGAAGTGTTTGTTTTACAGAAAACCATACATGTGCGATTGATGGGTTAAGACTCAGCTTTGTCTGACCTTTGGGGGAAATGTCAAGAGATGATCACTTATTAAGCTAGCAACTGCACACATTATGGCTATAGGGCTATGAAGTCAGAAGATACCGGCCTCGGTGTGAATTTTCTATGTAGGCCTACAACCCCGTCAATAACTTTCCTCTTTTGAGAACTTTCTTTTCGAGGACATGTCCAGGTTATGCAAATATCCGGAGAACAATCTACTGTATGATCTAACAATAATGTTAATTATCGGTAACCACTAATGATCCGTATGTTGTTGATGAAAGCAAACAATTGCTCAAAAATAGATCAGCTTCGATTGTTTTTTTCCCACATCATTTTGTAGAACACGATGCACAAAAATTAACCCGTTACGACGCGAACGGTCAAGTCAGACATGGAACATAACAATCGCTTGTCCTTGTTGAAGCAACGGCTATTGGAATGGTCGAACAAGTAGCGACTTAGTATTACGGCTATACTGGAAGCCTCATGGTCGAACAAGTAGCGACTTAGTATTACGGCTACTGGAAGCCTCATGGTCGAACAAGTAGCGACTTAGTATTACGGCTTCTGGAAGCCTCCGTGGTCGAACAAATAGCGACTTACTAAAAGTAGCATTAATGCACCTAACCATTTTTGTTTTGCAGTTTCTTTTGAGGATTACTGCCCCCAGTCTGCATGTACCATCCTTGAGGACCAATCTGGAGAGCTCCAAATCACTTTCTCTCAGCTCACCTCATTTCAACAATGTGCATTAGTGTTTTCCGCTGCTCACTACCACGATCACGTCTTCCTCAGTCTGGTTCCCGATCCACTGGAATGTCAAGGCTTCATTCTGCATGTCTATGACGGTAGGACATATGCCACCAAATCAGAACTTAGTGTTGGCGGCATATGCACCAACGACAGTGACTCCGGTCCCAAGTTCCAGTACCGGTCTTTCATGACAAGTGGACGGGAGTTCAGTATTGTTCTGGAAAGGAAGAGGGGTGTGGCAAACTGGAGCAGTAGGGTGTCATTTACGATGTACTACAGGGCCTTCGTCCAGGAAAACATCTTAATTCAAGGTTTGTTAGTCACACTGCAATGCAAAATCTTTAAACACGCGTCATTAAACTTGGACAGCTTGTTGCAATGATTTTTGTTCATGATTGATATGAGCGTACAAAATCAAGTTGGTCAAAATTTAGGATCTACGTTTACCGCCTTCTGACTGTTCTGACTCGAATATTGTTATGCTCCGTATCTATAAAAGTTCCATGCATTCATAATCTTAATCATGAATTACTTAATTTTGTTATATTCCTTTGTAAGGAAAATGATACGAAATCCCCTTCCATCATTACAAGTGTGTTATTATTTGAATAATTCACATTGTCACAATGTCCAGTTTTTCCCATGCATTCCGAATATGATTTGAGGTCTGGATAGAATCAGACTAGCCATTCTCAGCCCGTCCAGTCCACGAGTGAGTCACGCCATCATCCCTACAACCCAAATTGGATTTCACGCCGCACAACAACAGTAAATAGAATGAATTTCAGCCTGGTGGATTCCAGCTGATTATTTAATGTGATCTGCATTGATTCCGGGCGGTATGGAACGCAAATTACTTGAGCTCGACATTGACCGGTTGGCGCACGGAAACGCTGTTCCTCCGCAACTGACCTTCGGCGTGACGCGTGCTTCACACACCGCCGCGTGCGCAATGCGCGGTTGCAAGATATCAGTTGATCCCCGCTTAGATGTTGTTGATTCCCACTCAACGGAGAAATAATTCACACTTATACCCGAACTTGCTCTGATCACCAAATTGTAATTGTTCAATGGATGATCCAGAACAAATATCGGAGATCGGAACCAGGGATATAAACCCAAATACCTCAACTCCATCCTAAACAGAACGGCATGGAAAGACAATGTTCTCAACTGCATGATCTTTCTGTAGTTTCTGCTCTGACTCATTTAACAATTAGACACAATTATACACTCTTAATAGTCCCAGTTCAGATTCGACCCAAATGCGGGTCAGATTTGACCTGACTCTTGTCCAGGTCAAAATTGCACTGAGTCCATGGGCGTCGCCAGGATTTTTTCTAGAGGGGGACAAAACACATTTTCCCCCGAAATCCCTGTACTTTTCCAGCATATTCTCGATTTATCATTTTCGAGGGTGGGCAGGGACATTTGACCCCAACCAATTAAACTAACAGCAATATGACTTCGCGTCTCCTTTTCTTTCCTTTTTTCCCCTCTTTTTTTTCTCTTTTTTTTCGCCCCCCCCCCTCGCGACGCCCATGACTGAGTCACTATTCGACAAGGAAACGTGTCTTTTTTCCAACGATGAAACTTGTCATTTTGACCAAGAAGAGTGTCCAGTTAGATCTGACCCGGATAGCCAATGGGGTCGAATCTGACCCGGCACTTTTGAGAGTATAAGCTTATGGAATTCCTGCATTGTTATCGCGCTAGTACACAAATCATCACTTTTTACCGGTGTTATCCAGTGCCGTAGCCAGGCTGCCAGGGGGTTGATAATCCACTCCCCCCCCCCCCCCGCCATATTTTCGCAAACAAGTGCCTTTTTTCACCAGCGTCCATTTTAAATGAGTGCCTCTTTTTTAAATATCGCACGAACGTCGGCAATTGTGTTGCCCTGAAAAACGCGACCAATTATTGTGCCCTTCGCTCGTACCCCCCCCCCCCCCTGCAAACAGGACGCTGGGAAGGGCTGACGAATTAACGCTCTGATTGGATAGATTTTGCGTGACCTGTGACCTGCAATTCATCGCGACCACGACCCTGCAAGGTTTGAAACGGCCGTTAAGACTGAGTCATTCATCACTCTTTTATTCCCATTCATAAATGCCCTTTTTTCGTTGAAAAGCATAATAAATGTAGGAAAATCTGTAAAACTTATCTGTTTTGTAAATTTTCAACTCCCGTCAGTTGCTCAGGCTCCGTTTCGAATTCACGAAGAGTCGAAATGCATATTATTCGACGCTCAACATTTGTCCACATGGTCCGCAATAAAAAAAAATCACATCCGGTATGGTGTGTATGCATTTCTTTGGCAAACTTTTCGGATTGCATTTGCGCACCTTAGCTAACCGCGGTCTTAAACAGCTGCAGCCAGATGCTTTATATATAGGTCATGATAAATTACCCAGAATGCCATCCTCCACTTCCTTCACAAGATTCTGTGAAGCTCATCAGCCCTTCCCAGCGCCCTGTTTGCAGGGCGGGGGTACGAGCGAAATTGGGCCCATGATCGTCCGGTTTGAGCAGCGCCCCCATAGGAAGATAATGTCTGGCCCCAGCCCCAGCCCCAGCCTTGTGAAAAAAACCTGTCTACCTTTCAACACAGATGGGCGAGTGCCCTTTTCACGTGTACCCCCAATAACATTGACCTTGCTACGCCACTGTCTAATATCCCAAGCGAGACATTCCAAAATTGTAATTTATATCAGTTCAAGACTTGAGTGTTATTTGGAATATTTATCATCATTTATCAATGTTTGTATATTTATTTTCCAATAGTTTCTGAAAAAAATTGGATTATTTCGTTTCCAAACAAAACTGTTGCATCTAGTCTGCAACCCAAATTCTTTAATTGCACGATATGAAATTAATTCTTCTAATTCTATTAAATAAATAGTGACTTGAAGTTGCTCTTTGCAAACCGGAGCTTGACAAAGTTTCGTATGCTCGTAATTTACAGAGTTGCGCATAAACAAATTAACAAAAACAAATTTTTACAAATTTTGAACGTATAAACGTTTAAACTGTACGTGAAAGTTTCGCTAAACGTTTTCCAAATTAAACTTAAATTCCCATCCTTATTCAATAAATTTTGTACATAGATTATAATGTGTTCATTTGAAAATAAATGAGAATGTGCCCGAAAGTGGCGTGAAGTCTGTAAAGGACTAGCCCACATAATCCGTGGAAAACAGCTTGAATGCAATCTTCAACATAATGTCAACTTCGTCAACCTTCAAATCCTTCTCTCTACAGATATTTGCCATATGTGCCATGAAAACAAGACGAGTGAATTGGGTATGGATGTGTGTGAGGGCCTATTGCCCAACTGTACGGGTATTGCCCAAGTCATCAAAGGCTCATGCCTTGCTGCTGACGGTAAGTGTTTCGGTCAATTCAAACTAAAATTGTTCTTGAGTGTCGATGTAATAAAGGGCGAGGCTTCGCCCGACGCCCCTTATTACATCGATAAAAAGCGGAGAAAAATACTCATTTGATTCGCACCGTGAACACTCTTTCAACCTTGAAGTTTGAATCATGATTTCCTTGAGTGTTCCCTTTTTATTTTGCGTCTATAACCCTAACCCCCAAATTCATATGAAACTGTTTATCAGAGAGGAGGAGACCGTGTGTGGACCTGGGTAAGTATCCACACAATGTCTTCACTATAACAACGTGGACATCTATCATCATTTGCTCACATATACTGGAATTTGTATTCTTGTGGAGTCATTTCTTTGTTCTCGTGTACTAAAGTTTTCGAGTTTGAAAGTGTATTTTCACAATGCTCCTATTTTAACCAGAATTAATTTCCTGGTCTGAAATTCGGATTTAATATCCCTTACATAAAATACTTCAATTTGCGACGAATCAACACACCTAGGAAATTCCTAGTTTTTGATTAAATCCATATATTTATTTCGTGATAACCTTGTGGAGACGTATTGATCTATTGAAATTGCGCTGTGGAGACGTATTCAATCATTTGTTCCCTATGATACCCTTAATGTCTCCACAGGGTACCGTGTAACAGATCAAAGGTCCACACATGACTGCAATGCCTGCATATACCTTTTGTGCTTTGTCTAGGAAATTATTCTCCAAAAGGAAGCCATCACCGTGCTTATCATTCTGCCACATGAAACGTATGCATTCTAGTTTCGTGCATTTTGGGTACTTGATGTTTATCTGAACTATTGTGGTCGTATATAGTCGTATATGCAAACTAATCCGGGACCTTATAATTATGACTGAGCACGTTTATTGTAGATTTCTTAAATAAGATATAGGCCTATCCCTTTGCGACGAGTATAACTTCAGACTAGTGAATTGTTTTCGTGATTCTACGGGCAAAAATATTGTTAAAAATGTCACTGTGCTATTCCGACACACTGGCGGATGGTGGACTAAAGGGGGCCATACCCCAAACCCCCCCCCCCAACCCCCACCCCCAACAACAAGTGTCTTTTCTATTTTTAGTTAATAAACCAGAAGAGGGGTGAAGCCAACTGTTTTTAAAACCAATGCTATACTCATCCTCTACAGATTTGTGAAATATTGATAAAAAGAGAGTGAAGAAAAAGGTGGACAAATTAACCCCCCCCCCCCCCACACACACAATTTGGTTCTTGATCCGCCCTTGTTCTGACACGTGCTTAAAAAAAACTTGCACGTTGTCCTTAAAATACTTGTGGTCATGGTCAGCGGGCTTTGAAATAATATTTTTAGCGTAAGCAATCCCACGAAACAGTGCAAATCGCGAGTCGGCGTCTGGAAATAAAGACCACCTAGAAACGAATTTTCTGTACGATTTCTAGCCAGTCAAGTTCAGTGCACATATATTCCACCAGTGCTCTGTAGTCTGCAGGCATACAGAGCCTCGCTACAGGACTCGACTAGACTTGATCGGGTCTGTATTGATTTTAGCTTGTTTGTGTTCAACTATATAGTCGCCCATATTCACGTAAGCAGGGGCCTTCGAATGGGTTCTGTCGGGAAAGGTGTGCTATTCAGTTGCCATGATGGGCAACAATATTTGAATTTGATACGATATTTCTTTATTTTGTTCTATTAATGTTTATTTATTTTGTTAAGCCCTCTTTTTCTATTTAATGGTTTGGCACTTTTAGTGGGTTCCATTTCATCGCTTGTTATTTTGTATGTCAATGTTTCAAACCAAAGCGATAAATACGTACTTGAGGCTCAGGACCTTCTTTGCTGACGGTGACAAAACTAATCATGCAAGGCACGCTGTACTGTCGTTTCAAAAAAAATCTCGTCGTAAAATTTGCAGCATAGACTGTCAAACCGTGTCCAATTTCGTCACCCGTCTTGATGGAAGTTGGCTTACATTTCATTATCGTCAGAATGGTGATGACTGTGAGGTATTTTGAGCCAGACTTTAAAATGAAGGTTGCCGGTACATTGCAATAACAATTAGCTTGTCACACCTCCGGCTCGTGTAGTTAATTTGCATAATCAAGTGCCTCCAGGTATACTGTCAAACAACTCGCTGACTACCTCTTTTCAAATATAACTCACTGCTGTCGATTTTTTCATTCTGCTTGAGGGTGTTGAAGATATGCTTTTCAATTTGAGCTTTTTTTCACATGCGGACGAAATGCAGCCTCGGGCCATTTTGACAGTGTGCGAATCCAGAGAGAAAGGATGGCGAATCTTAGACACACATCTTCTTCTTTTTTGTGTAGGGTTGCATTGCCATAGTCTGAATATTAATGACCGGGCTATTTTACCTCTCTGGTGTCGAGGGTTGTTGGTTAAGTTTAGAAGCCACTGATCACGAGACCGTCAGTGCGGGTTTTGTCGGTCGAAGGAGGCGCATGGTCAGGAGGTACATTATGAACGTTGCTTTCCGGGCCCCCAGGGCCTACAATGTCTGGCTGTGAAAAGTGTCTATAAAATATGCGCTGAAAGAAAGGGCTGTCACAAAGAAATGGACGAACTGACCAACGAGACGAGGCAAGTGAAGCCAATTGAAGCTGGTCCCAAAGTGCTCACAATTCTATTGAATTGATCAAGGATGACTGATGAATATTAGAAGTCTTATAATGCATCTGGTCCACACAATGGGCCGGAATAGTCCAGTGTTTGTTCCAGAATATATGTTTAGAATTCAAGTTCAAGCTTTTTTGGAGTTGGGAAGTTTGCACACTAACTGTTCTTTTTCAAGCTGGCTTCATGCCATCAGAAACGTCACGGAACTGGATCGATGGCTTTCCTCGCGCGAAATATTCCTCTTGATGCAATATTATGAGGCTATTTGCAAACCTAACAAAACTACTCCTGGCCTTGCAGGATTTGTTTGCTTTTCAACTAATGCGTCAGCGTATCGATCGTGAAGTGCCTCCGATATGCAAGGAACGTAAACAATAACCTTTGATCAGACACTTACTAGAGACCACTGATTTCACCCAAATCGGTTCTTCAGAATTGTTTATGTAATGATCAATTGCAGATCCATATATGAATTCTTAGAGTTTTATGTAATAGTGCTTCATTTGATGATTTGTCAGCATCTTGTCTTAAAATCTCTAGATAATTCAACATTTGTGATTTAAAGGTTTTAGTCATTCTTAGCTGTTAATAAGTCCCGGCCCAAGTCTTCTCCCTTTGATCAACAAATCTAACAGCTGCATACGATTACGAACAATCCTCATTATTAGTGTTTAAGATCAGTTTCCTATTTCAGCCTTTTTGTTATTGCTCCTGATGACCTTATCAAGCACCTTCACTCTGTTTCTCTAACATTCAATGATATTGTGGAGTGATCTCCAGTTTTTTTGGATGGCCCTAGTCTTTAAATGCCCCATTTGATAAATGACGTTTTTACAATCCAATCTTTTTTTCTAATGCGCCCTTGTGTCATTTACATGTAACTTCCAATTCGCATGTAAATTACATGTAATTTTCAATTAAATAGTACTAGTTTGAAGGAGTTAGCAGGTCCGCTTTGGTATGATGCTGCATGATACGTCTATTACATATTTAAAACAACAGTGTTCAGCTGCATCGACATCAAGAATTGCCAGACTTTTTGAGTTTTTGCCCGCGCGGTCCTCTTTCTGTTTTTGGTGTTTCGTTTTTCAGTATTTGACGGTCATTTCATTGCAAACATTATGCAAAAATTCTCTTTCAGTAAGTTACATTTTAGGTTCATCATTTGTAAAGAAAACCCTTGAACAGTGTAGTGTGTAGCTGAAGGGACATCATAATGGCAATAGCGCCTTCACTTTTCAGAATCAGTATATAGGACTCTTTTCTTTAATGAATGTGCATTAAAAGGTTTTAAGTGCAAAATCCTGACACTAAAGGGTGCTACTGTTGCTGAGTGGCTTTACGGGTACTCTCATAACATTTTTAAGATCTTTGTGTACAAATTACGAAACAATCAACCAATTGCGAATAAAGTTCGCTGACTGACTGTCGTGTACTACATCAACCAAGGAAACACAAACTTGGAGAATTAACCACAGCTGCACAGCAAACAGTGTTATCCTTCCGATGACATCACCGTTTTCCTCGATAGTTAAGTGATTTTGGTATTGGTAGGGATTTGTGTTAGTCCCAGAGCGGTCTGCCTATAGGCCTAGTCCTCTTCATACCTCACTAACTGACTCACTGACTGACTTGTGAATTAGACTTGCTTAAGTCTCACATTGGCTCAACAGTTTGAAACAGGATTACGACTGGGCTTAATCCAGCCTTGTTTGTAGGCCACATTCCATGACAAAATCTTCAGTGAAAAGGAATTCTGAATCGATTTAATAGCATTTTGAGCGCTAGAGGCCCAGCTCTATATATACTACGCGTGCCGTGTATTTTTTCACGGTAAGAATACTTTTCTTTTTCAAAGTATCAGAATATCAGCGATCACTTTTCTCAATGCCAAGCAATTATTTCTTTGTGATGAATGTAGCTTTTAACTTTTTTTGGCAAGCTCTTAGAAGGCACTGAGTTTACGCTCATATACTACAAAGTTACCTCAGTAAACATTTACATTTCCCACGTCTGCCAATTAAAAGTACTTGTTTTTAAACTTAAAAAAAAGAAGTATCATGAAATTCACATGAATGGCGATAAATCTTTTCACTCATTTTACAAGTATCCCTTTGACTTATCGAATGCGTTGTTAAGACAAATTGCCAGGAATGTATAAAGAAACTTGTTTAATTAATCATAATTATCCTACATGAATTAAGCGCCATGTCAATGTCCTCGTTGGGGATGTGATCTCTGCATTCATGTCAATGCACAGTGCAGAGATATTCTGGTTAGTTTATGTAGATTGATGTCTGCCCTCACAAGACCTCCATCTACACTAGGGACGGGATCCAGTCACAAAATGCCAAGCAATGCCA